CGTTTTGTTTTTTGCCGAATTACATGGAGGCTGGAAACATGAGTATGACTTTGTCACTGATCAATGATTTGGATGAGATGGATGGTATATTAGCATGAGAATAAATTCGGCGCTTATCCGCCGCGTTACGCTCCTACACTAGCTTCTTCTCCTACCCCTAATGTGATGCCTAGCGGAAGCATTTCTTGTCTCTTTTCTCCGGATACTGCATGCATGTACTCGGCTTCACTCCGAATTGCTTCCAATCGTGCGTGGAATGAATCACATCCTGGTGTACGCCCCATTGTTCCAGACCCAAACCCCCCTGTTTGGCTTCCTTGTCGGGGATGGAAACGGTCTCACAGGGAAGGGCCACGATGGTCGCCGGAAGGTATCTTATATGCCGTCGGCTCGGTTTTCCGGCTGCGGGTCACGGGTTTGAGCCTGCGAGAGCGACCAAAGGCTGTCCTCAGGGAGACGGCCCGGGGTGAGGGAAGTTCCGGACCTCAGGACCTAGCAGTTGAACTCGTCAGATCACCGATGAATGGTAAGAAGACGCGACGTGTACTGACAGTGCACAGGTTGCAGCGCTGGCCAAACTTTCCCACCGTGTTGGTGCATCAGATGGAGGACTAGCAGCACATAAGGAGCACTGTCAGCGGAGTCAATTGATGGTTTCCCGGCTCACGTACGTAAAAGTTGGCGCAATAGCACACGCTCATGATGTCGTTTGGAGTCAAGGGGCAGAGATGCCAGCAGGACGGGCCGTATACATACGAATGTGGAGTTATGATGAGCAGAGAAGAAGCTGTAGGCAATTGATGTCCCAGTGTGTCAAGAACAGAAGGGATGGGTGCAATATCAACTCAGGTTGGAGGTATGAGAGGTCGCTTATATATATATATCCCTGGCGCCGTCAGAGACATTGGCATTCCTGGCAATGAATACGTGAACGCGGCTTAGGCTGGTAGCCAATGACCTCGAGCTGATCTCACCGGCACGGTGACGCTCCGCGCAGCATACTCCAAGTTCGAGCTGGGTTCGAGTTGGCTATCGACTTAGCCCCATCTCGTCTGAACGCATAAGCTCTGAAAGAAGGAGAGCTGCGAGGAGGAACCATGTACACACGAGAGAATGCAAGCCATGTCTGTGATGCCTGCCGAGCTAATGTATGTACTGCGTAAGTATAGCTTCCCACGACTGTCATGTATGTCTCGGCCCATTAAATCTAGACCAAACGAGGAACGGCGGAAAAGGGAAAAAAAAGCATCAGGACATCCTCCGAGGAACCCTTGCGTCTCCGGAACGCACTTGAGACAAAGACTTGCCCTTGATTCGCCGATAAGCCTTTCCTTTCACCACTGCCTTCTTCGCCCATCTCCCCTCTGTATGCCGTCAGATCAGAAAACGGCTCTTCTAAGGGTACTTTCACGATCCAACAAACGTGGAAGAACAACAACATCCTTTCAACCCCCGCCAAGCCTAGAACCCAATGTCTCCCTCGGCCCTTCCAGCCCGTCTTAACGTCCGTAAGGCAAGGCGTCCCACAAGTAAAGGCTTTAAAGCCAAGGCACCAAGACGTTGAGATGGGCGAGTTTCTTCCCCGCTCAGCTATGTAGCTAGCTGCATGCGTCCAGCGATGCATCGCCCGAAAGTGCCGGCGGCCAATCGCTTCCCAGCGGCGCCTGCGGGGGAACAGGCTGTGGTGACCAACATCGAAACAGGGATCTCGTCCGGGGAAAGAGGGTTTGGCAGGGGGCCGCTTGGCGATCGATCGGAGCGACCGTGGGATGGGGATTGGCCAGGGGGTGGGTGGGCTCGTGGGTATGTTAAGATGTATGTAAGTCGGTATGTAGGGGGGAGGGGGTGAGTTCAGCTTTGGTGTCAACGTTCATGATGCAGGACCGGACCCAACAGGGACTATCATTTCCAATCTGGTGACGACGGCCTGGGCTTTTCTACGAATAGCGGTCAGCCGTTTGGCCTATCGGGTAGGGACGAGATTAACGCCGGGCTGGCGATGACGATGGCGTGGATTCTAATCGTGGCATTGGAGGAAATCAAGATCAAGATCAGATTGTTGTTGGTCCTGGAGGGGGTTCTGATCAGGAATCGGGTGGCCCTGTGTTACTGGCAGTAACCTTCCACAATCTCCTCGCTGCCTACCGCTCCAGAGCAAGCCCCCCTAGGCCCCAGAAGCAATACATCTCGATAATGCAGGGAGGGCTGCAGTATTACTCTGGGGGTGTTCACGCGCACTCCGCTGCAGTATGATGCAGGCATCTGTCCCATTCAAAACTTTGGGTTGCCTTGTGCGACATCCGACTTATCAGACAAACTAGCGGGGGATGTGATTTTGTGATGCCCCGCTCCCCGATGGGACAAGCAAGCTGAGAGCGGCCAGCTGAGGCCGCAGCGATTGGTAGATATCACCAGGATGGCTGCAGTGGCGTTATCGATGCCGCAAGGGAGAACGCAAAAGCGACAGGTAGCTAGAACATGTTTCTGGTCACGTCTCGTGAGCCACGCCTCCTCCATATGCGGCAGTCAGATCTAAGTGATGCAGGAAAACAACCAAGGAGCGAAACGAACCTCACTTTGGACTCTGAAGGGGGTATCTCCATGCCCCCGACACAGGCGCGGCACTCCATGTTCAAATGCTTTTGTATTCCATCTACACAGTATAGACAACACCTACCCCCACCATCTATTGGCTTTTCACAAACTTGCTGTCCTTGGTGACATACAAATCAACGTACTCATCCACATTCATGGCCTCGAGCTTCTTGGGGTCCTGGCCGAGCTCAACAATCTCCTTTACCTTCTCGGCGCTGAAATGGGGCTCAAGGTGGCCTTTGAACTTGGCGAGGATATGGGGCTTGGCCTCCTCGCGACGCAGGCGGTGGCCGAGCGGGGCCTCAATGACCACCTCGGGCAATACAGTGCCGTCGTTCAGCTCGACGGTCAGGCCGTTGCTGATGGTGCGGAGAGCCGGGTCATGGTAGTCGGCCGTGAACTGCGGGTCCTCGACGCACTTGATCTTCTTACGGAGTGACTCAACCAGCTCAGAGGTGGCCGCCTCGGAGCTGTCGGGGTAGTCACCGGCGGTGAGACGGCCAAAGACGAGCATGACAGAGCACATGTACTGGATGCAGTGGTCGCGGTCGGCAAAGTTGTCCATGGGCTTGAACTGCTTGTCGATGATGCGAACGCAGGCCTCGTGTGTCCGGCAGGTGACTGCCTTGATGTCGGCGGCAGACTTGCCCATGGCCTTCAGCTGGGCATGGAGCTTCTCAGACGCTCGACGGCGGTCTGGGAGTGGAACTCAGCTGCATCAAATAGTTAGCGCACTGATTAAAGCGGTTCAAGACACCGAGAGGGACGACCAGGATATGACACCTTGAGAGCACGTTCCCATGACGTAGCTGCCATAACCACGCTGGAACTCAAACTTCTTGCCCTTGAACAGGACGTCGTAGAAACCCCACGTCGAGGCAGAGAGAACAGTAGGGATGCCAGACTCGCCCTTGAGAACCTTGAGGGCGAGGTTTACGGCGCGCTGGCAAGCATCACCGGCAGCCCACGACTTGCGGGACATGGTGTTGGGGGTGTGGCGGTAAGTGCGCAAGCTCTGACCGTCAACCCAGGCATGAGTGATGGCGTCGGCTGTCTGCTTCTCGCTGAGGCCCAACATCTGGCTGACCACGGCAGTGCTGGCAACCTTGACCAGGACGACGTGGTCGAGGCCGACCTTGTTGTACGAGTTTAGCAGGGCGAGGCAGCCCTGGATCTCGTGGGCCTTGATCATGGCCTCGAGCACATCGCGAATGGTAAAGATCTTGCCGCCGGCAACCTTGTGCTGGCCAGCCTTGTTGGTCCGAGTGGCCCAGTCGGCAACGGCGAGGATGGCACCCAGGTTGTCACTAGGGTGGCCCCACTCAGCAGCGAGCCAGCAGTCGTTGTAGTCGAGCCAGCGAATCATAGCACCAATGTTGAAGGCGCCGTTGACGGGGTCGAGCTGGAAGTCAGTTCCGGGTACCTTGGTGCCCGATGGGACAGTGGTGCCCGGGACGATGGGACCCAGGAGCTTAGTGCATTCCTTGAACCGCAAAGCCTCGAGGCCACAGCCTAGCGTGTCAAGGAAGACCCATCTCGCCGTGTCAAACTGTTGAGGAAGTCATGTTAGCATGCTGGTTGTGGGAGAAAGAGCAAGATGGCCCAAAAGCAAAACAAGAGGATTGCCCCACTTACGGCCAGCTCCGAGTCAATTTTCTGGTTGTGCACATAGCCGGCGATATCCAAGATCTCTTGGTCGTAGCCCTTGTGAGCCGAGGGCGAGGGCGCCGTGGCGCTGGCAGATTGCAGAGAGGCCATGGTGGAGAAGCTGCTGCGTTTGTGGGTTGTAGCAACTGGGAGGGGGGCAGCGGCGTTCTTGAAGGCTCGCAACGGCCGCAAAGCCGAGGGCGGGCACGAGCGGTGGAGGTGCAATGATCTCGTCGCCTGGCGCAATCCGCGGTTAACAGCAGACATGATGCCTCGGTGTCTATGACTGCTCTTTCACCGTTTTCTGGGTGTCAATTGGTGCGGTGCCAATTGCAGATCCAAAGACGGCAGTTGTTGGGATTATTTATTATTGGGATGAAAAGGAAAGCGTTTCTCTTCAGATGTCAGTGACCTTGTCAATTCGACCTTATGCCGCTCGGGCGGAGGGCCATTGCCGCGGCATGCCGAAACCCCTCCACTCTTGGCACTTGACCCCGGCGGGTTTCCCCAGACTCGCTCAACATTTGGATGTGCCAAGCCATGAGGTCGATCTGATAATTGAAAAGGGTTAGGGTTGTCCAAACTCTCGAGCTCTCCCAGGTTTGTCATCACTGCACCTAAAATCCGGGCTAAACTCCGCCAAGTGCGAACAGCTGGACCCCGCCGGCACCGGCACCGTGTGTAAGGTCTCGCCCCAGTGCTTCCGATTAGCTCATGCTGTCTGTCCTATTATCTTCCGCGGGGATATGATGGACGACATATCAAGGACTGATGCGGAGTGCCTTGCTTCATCTTTCTAACTTGCATAAATGTCAATGTGCTAGCTTTCCCAAATCTAGAACCCCGCGCAGCCGGACAACACCCCCCGATCGTAACGTCATTACACACACAGTACCTTAGGTACCTGACGGTGTAGATTCACGGTCAGGATCCAGGTTCCTCTCAACCCAACGACTTTTTGCCTTTCTCCATTCCCTCCATCGATAAAGGTGGCAAGGGAGGTTCATCATGAGCAGCAATCGGAATGGCTCGGAACACGACGAGGAGCACGATGAGGAGTACGAAGATGAAGAGGCTCTCACACATTCGTCTGATGAGTGGTTAGACGCATTACAACAGCAAGATGATGAAGATGAGGACGGCGAAGGTAAGTTCGATACTAAAATACACTACCATCCTCTTCCTTGACCATGTTGTTGACATTCGATGGCTATGTAAGGCAACGGCATCGAGTTCGAGGTGCTCATCGAGGAGATCCTAGCCGAATCCGCCGAGCAAGGCGGGGCCTCTAACGACAACGAAGGTGAGGAGAGGCAAGGCACTGCGGGACCCCAAAGACGAGTCGTCGTGTTAGGCGGCGGTACGCATACCCGGCAGCGGTGCCCGCAGGTCGAGGAAGCACGTACTAACTACTTCCAGGCGGGGAATGGCGTCCAGCTCTCACCCGGCACGAGTTCTTGGCCCTGCTCCGCGGCCAGTATCTCAACCCAACCATTCTCAACGCTGATAACGGCGAAGGCCAGCGCCTCTCTTGGGGCACACGTCGCCCCCCCAGAAACAGACAGTTTCCCAAAGTCCCTAGCGAGGAAGGCAGGAAGTTGATGGACTCGGGCGTCTTTGGAGCTTTCGATAGAAGGGTGCCAAACCGCAAAGCTTTAGCTCGTAGGCTTCTAGACCGGGAGCTGGGTGAACGCGGCTGGCCAGGCCAGAAAGTTAACCAGGGACTCATGGCTCAGGTAAGGGAAAGAAGTGTTTCTCATCATACCATGGTTTGGAACTAAATGTGTCTAGTCCATGATACCGTCAACAAAGCCTGAGATGGTTGTCCACTATGATGATCCGGTTTGCTGTGGGCAATTCTCAGATGACGGCAACTTCTTCTATTCATGTGTCAAGGCAAGTACACACCGCCGTTAACACCCGAATGGAATGGATGCCACCATCGGTCCCTCTAACACACCTGGATAGGACTTCAAAGTTCGTTTGTATGACACGTCGAGCCCACATGCGACTGGAAACACTACAAAAACCATCACCTACCCTTTTGGACAGTGGACCATGACGGATGCGGAACCCTTAGTCCGGACAACAAGTGGCTTGCCTTCTCGTCTCTCCAGCCACACGTCGGAATCGCTGCAACGGATCCAAACGACACGGGTGACCCCTACTCGCTCGACCTTGCCGACGGCGGCCATCCAGGACGGGACGATTACATCTTTGGGGGGTTTGCCATCTTCTCTGTCCGCTTTTCGGGAGATGGGCGCCGTATCGTGGCGGGAACGGGCGCCAACTCCATTGTGGTGTACGACATCGAACGACGCAAGGCAGTCAACCACGTCATGGGCCACCAAGACGACGTCAATGCCGTATGTTTTGCCGACAAACTATCACCGCATATTCTCTACTCTGGTTCGGACGACTGCACCATCAAAGTGTGGGACACGCGCAGCATGGGCGATGGCAGAGAGGCCGGCGCCTTCGTCGGCCACACCGAGGGGCTGACGTACATCGACAGCAAGGGAGACGGGCGGTACATCCTCAGCAACGGCAAGGACCAGAGTATGAAGCTGTGGGACCTGCGTATGGCTATGTCGACGTCGCGGTTCGAGGAGCTCAACCCCACTGCCGTGACCAACGACCGCGAGTTCGACTACGACTACCGTTGGCAGACGTACGAAGACGACCAGTGGTTCCAACACCCGCACGACAACTCGCTAGTCACCTTCCGCGGGCATCAGGTGCAGCGGACGCTAATCCGCTGCCACTTCTCGCCCCCCAACAGCACCGACTCGCACTACGTCTACTCGGGCAGCCACGACGGGTTTGTCTATGTCTGGAACCTCGACGCTACCCTCGCGGCCAAGATCGACGTCAACGCAGCCACGAGAGCCGCCGCCGCCCGGCCACGACCGAACCGTCGCCACCGTATGCATCATCGCCACGAGCACGGCTGGGGGACCATGGTCCGCGATGTTAGCTGGCATCCCAACGCGCCCATGCTAGTTGGTAAGTCTACCTCGTTTTTGTGTCCAAGTGGCAAGGAAGGATTAATACTAATAAAAATTTGGTAGCTTCGTCGTGGTGTGGTCGGGAGTACGAAGTTGGCACGGCGTCCCTGCATTCGTTCAATGAGGGCGAGACTGACGAGGGAGATCCGGTGATGGGCCGTGCGGTGAATGAGAAGCTGCAACCCTACATGGAGGGTGTTTTTCGAGGGGGTTGATGGAGGAAACATGGATTTGCTCCCACTGAGAACCGGGAATTTGCTATCGATCGGAAACGGGCAATGCTCTAACTATAGGTGTCAATCTTTGAGGAAGGATATTAGGGTTTGGAGTTTGGGATGGGATGGGGGTATGATATGGTTGGTATATTAACTGCTCAATACACAACTGATTTTTGATGGACTCCTTGATAGTTTCTAGAGAAGTTATTGTAAAAGAGAAGACAAGACCATTCACGATCACCAGGGGCTTCGATCGGTCAAGTCAATCAGACGACAACCCCAACCCTCGCGTACCTCGCCACAGGGGCTTGAAACCAGCAAGATAAGATAAGCTTCTGGTCACGGCTCCACTTCGACCCACTGCTTCAGCCTTGCCGCGGCCATTGAAAGGCGAAGGCAACCTGAGAGCTTCGGCTGCTGCCCTTGTGCAACCGTTCTTTTCCCAACATTCCTGATCATCGCAACATTTCAAACCCATTCACGGTTCGCTTCACGGGCTTTTGTCTACATCCCACGACTTCATTGGCACACGTGAATCACAGAACATTACAAATTTTTTTTTTGTGCCCACGATTTCGAGCGACCCGACGAAACAATCGCGACTCTCAAACCGTTTGCACTCGGTGGCGCCCGCCGTTTCCTTCCTATCCTAAACTCGCCGGACACTAACCTCAAGGTTTCCTTCGACCACCGACTACACTCTAAATTGGAGGAAAGGACACACTAGCTCAAGGAGTTAGTTGCAAACTGTGGACTCTGCAGGTGGTTCGAGTCGAGAACCGGGCATTCGCATTCAGTTCAAAACGGACAGGCCTTTGCGCCAACCCTACTTGTACTTGTCCAAGGGACCTAGCCCCAGAGGGTGAACGGGGGACAGACCATAAGAAACGAGACGAGAACACCCGACCTCCTGTCACGAGACTGCCAGCACAGAGCTGCGTCTTGGAATCTTTCTTCTCTTCAACGGGGCAGCCTTCTCTCGTTGGTGATTGTTGTGTCGTGGATTGGAATGTACGTATGACGAGCTCTCTACCTCCGTTTGTTACTTTTTTTTCCTGTTTGATCTGGAAATTCATTCGTTACACGACCTTGGCTTTTCTCGAGACCCGATCTATTCGGCTGGCCAGCTGGTCTGCTGGTCAGTGGAAATTTTACATCGTCCCGATGAGGTCGAACCATGAAGTTTGGGAAGATATCTTCAGTCGCTGATGGGATGATGCACCACAGACGTTTCTGTATCTCTAATCCATAGCCAGGCGCTCAAATCAGACTTGAATTATCACACAACAGCAGGTTTCAACTCATCACAACCACAAGCTCTCGATCGACGCCGTTTCGAATCACGAAACTATCATCATGGCTGAAGAGGAATTCGAGATCGACGTCTATGGCGACTCTGCCAACGACCATGGCGATCAGGACCACGGCAACCAGGACCACGGCAACCACGGGCAGGATCATGGAGATGACCACGGCTATGAGGACGAGGGCAATGCCCAGAACACAAACGGTGATCACCGCGATCATGATGACTACCACGAGGAACACGGAGACAACAACATGGATGACGTTGGCGCCGAACGGACCCAGTCTCACACCCCTTCCTCCGAACGCCCCCAGCAAGGCGTGAAGCGCAAGGAAGGTTCTGATGAGCGCCCTGTTGATCCCGGCGCTACCACGGCGCTCATGATCTCGGAGCTCAACTGGTGGAACACTGACGATGACATCCGCGGCTGGGTCCACCAAGTCGGCTGCGAGAACGAACTCAAGGATATCACCTTTAGCGAGCACAAGATCAACGGCAAGAGCAAGGGGTGAGTTGTCTTGTCGGCGGGCCCCTAAATAAAGTACTAACAAGTTGGCAGCCAAGCCTATGTCGAGTTCACCTCTCAGCAGGCGGCCACCGCCACCAAACACCACGTTGACTCCCTAACCAACGAATACAGCCAGCCGGGCCAAAAGAGACACACAGTGATCTACTCGGCTCCGACTCACAACCCGTTCCGCACCCTGCCCAAGGACGCGCCGAACCGGGCCGCCAAGGACGGCCAAGGTCGCGCGGTCTCCGGCTCCGGGTACAACGACCGCGGCGGCAGTTATGGCGGCAACAGCAACTTTAATAGCGGTTTCCGCGGCGGACGTGGTGGTTTCAGCGGCGCTCGGGGCGGCGGCGGCATGAACCCGGGCGGTTTTAACCGCAACTTTTCCGGCGGAAACATGAACTCATTCAACGCCAACAACATGGGCTTCAACAACCCCATGGGCGGCGGCGGTTTCGGTGGCGGCTTCAACCGCGGCGGCATGATGGGCGGCGGTATGCGTGGTGGCATGCGCGGCGGCCGTGGCGGAGGCATGAACATGATGGGCGGCATGCCCATGCCCGGCGGTATGCCCATGGGCGGCATGGGTGGCCCGATGGGTGGCATGGGGATGATGGGTGCCGGCATGGGCGGCGGTATGCCTGGTAAGCCTGGACTGACCAAGCTCGGTCGCTAACCCCTACCACCTCGAGATTCCAAGCTGACCAAACTCCCACAAAAGCCTTCCAAGGCATGTCACAAGGTTTCAACCCGGCCTTCTTCGGCGCGGGGGGCGGTAACCAGCAGTCGAGTGAGTGGCAGAACCCGCACGGCGCCAAGCGAGCTCGAGGCGAGTAGGTCCACGCCTGGAGCCCTAGGCGCTAGTCCTGGCGACCTGCCACTCGATTAGGCTGCCCGACCCAATTTCTCTGATTTCACCTCCCGGGCCATGCGATAGACGGGCGCTGTCTCGCCATTCCGTCTGATGCCACGAGGCAGTTTGAAGATTGGGTTCTGGTGCCGCCGCATTTGTCGGTTTGTATGACTTGGATGGGGACGGAAAACCGGCTTTCCGTTTTTTATTTTTCTTCTATTTTCTATTTCTTAAGGTGTTTCTCCGGCGTTGGGGATATGCAATCAAAGGGGCCAGGTTCATCTCGATCGATCAGCAATCATCACGTTGACTTTTATTACTTCTTTGCGATGTTCTGCTCTGCTCTGCTTCGGCGCTCTCTTGTGGCTGGGAAGCGACTGTTTGTGGGTTCACTATGGTTGGTAGTGTTGTGGTGTTATGCTCGGCATCATCCCGCGTCATGGGTCTCTTGTCATAGTGTGGCGGTGTTGGGGGTGCATGTGGGCGTGTTCTGGGACCCCGGATAACTGCTTGAGCTGGCTATGCGTGCCTCGGTGTTGAGTTTTTACGATGTGTGATGGTGGAATGTCTGAGCAGGCCATGGAGTTTGGGAGATTTGGCGAAGTCCGCGTATACCAAGTACAGCGATTTGTGATGATGATGGGGACAATATTCAAGACTGTAATTCCTACAATGAGGGATCAGTATTGGTCAGTATTGGCATGTTTTGTTAGGCGAGGTACCATGGCGGGGGGGGGGGGAATCTACGTTTCATGATTTCTACCTTGGTCCTTTGGTGAATAATAACCTCAAGCCTCAAGACGCTTCAATTGTCTGGTCTACCAAGCTCGCAATCTGCCGCCACCTCGCACAAAGTATCTGCCGCTGACAAGCCTGCCCAACATCCAGCCCCTCGACCTCCTCGATCTTCCCAGCCACCACTCCCCTCCACTTTCTCAACAACCCCAACAACAACCGATCGACCTCCTCCTGCAACCCCTCCCCACCATCCTCCCCCTCACTCACCAACCGCTCCCACTGCCCAGGCGTCACGCACAACACCCTCAACGCCACCTGCGTGCGATAACACACTGTGCCGGCATCCAACACATAATTCCCCAGAAACCCGCGCTCCTCCAACAACGCGCGATGTCCAGCGCCCAACGCCGGCAACACCGCCTCATCCAGACACACCTCATCCCAGCAATTCCCACCACCCCGTTGTTGTTGCCCTCCCCCCTCCCCATTCCCATTCCCATTCCCATTCCCATTCGCACTTCCCCCATCCCAGGGCAACACGAACCCATACTCTACCAACAAAAAGTCGTTGTGGTGTTTCCCGTAGCAGATGGCCACCTCGTCGCCTGTGGCATAGGCGCGGTCCGCCGTGATGGTGAATTGGGTGGGTGTGGAGGTGAACCGCGCAGCCCGTGCCGCTGTGGTTGAAGAGATCGGCCACGGGCTGGAGCACCATCCGGTCTTCGCGGGGGGCGCGGCGAGTGAGTGGCGTTTCGTGGTAGAAGGTACGGGTGTTGACGAGGAGCCAGGTGTAGAGGTAGTCTTGGCGGGTGATGGTGGGGTTGGGGGTGTCGGTTGAGGCGAAGGGGGTTTGCTGGATGGCGGTCCAGTCGCGGGTGAATTTGGCTTGTTGCTTGCGTAGGAGGGCTAGGGCGGGCTTGGGGAGATAGGCGTGTAATCGTGGGTCCCACGCTAGGGGGAGGCTGGAGATGATAGAGTCGCGCGAGGGCATCACGGCGTTCCAGGGGCTGTACTCCGAGGTGGGCTTGTCAAGGGCCAGCTCGGCCGCCAGGATGGCGTGCACCTTGGTGTCCTTGGGGAGGATGTCCTTGATCTCGGGTCGGGCGGTGTCGAGAGTCCGAAGGGTTGATGTGGGAATCTTGAGAATCCGGTCGCCGGCCTGGTAAGGGGTTAGTTGTCATCTGGTCGAGTGTAGATGCTCTTTTCTCACCTTCAGGGGCTTTGTGGCTACGATGCCAACACCCCGTCCAGGTAATGAGTGAGGGGCAACCCCATGGAGCTCGACCCCGCGATCCTGCGCCCAGAATATGAGCTCGTCGAATACGTCCATCTTTTATTTATTTCTTGGACCACCCCAGACGACGAGTTGGGTTGGTGCTGTGTTGTACTTGTTTGTAGAAGAACGAATGGCGAACAAGTTTCCTTTCTGGGTATCTTACTCAAGCATTTTGTGGTTGGGATTCGGCTCGGGAAGTTGAATGTGTCACTTCCCTGATTCTATAAGAATTGCGTGATTGTATTCTCTGCATTTCAGGGCTCTTTCTTTCATAGTGTCAAATGCATGTGAAGGAGTCATTCATCCTCTTATACTTCAAACTACAGGGTTAGGGTCGCTTCAAACGAAGCCTTATCTTATCTTTCCCGACTTCCACCGAGATTCCCGAGCTCAGATCGAACCAACAAGTCCACGTCGACCTTCTTCCTCCCTGGCTAGAATATTAGGATGCGATTCTGGTGCCTCGGAACCCAATTCAACATGGACGTGACTCTCAGACGCACAGGCGGCTGCCATAAGCTCGCAACAACAACAACCCTCCGACCCGCCGCAGCAGCACTCACTGCAAGCTCCCAACTCCCGGTCACTTCTCCCTTCTCGAAGCCTCACCCGGCCCGCCGGCCCAACTACCCTGGGCCATGGTCCCTCTCACCCGTAATTGGAGAAGGCCGCGTTTGGGCCATTGGGTTCCGGACTCATGTCCCTCCGTGACCCGCGACGAGGAGGCAAGCTCCCCCTTCCACCACACCCCCTCCATCATCCCACTAACACCACCCCTCCACCCTCTTCCAGACCTAATCGCCGCCTTCGCCGAAGCCACCGCCACCCCCTATTTTATCTACCGCCTCCGCGACGCGATGCTCGCCTCGCCCACCGGCCGACGCATCCTGCGCGACCGCCCCCGCATCACCTCCACCTCCCTCAACCTCCCTTACCTCCGCTCCCTGCCCCCCGGCACCGTGGGGCACACCTACGTGGCCTGGCTAGACCGCGAGGGGGTCTCGCCTGACACGCGCTCGGCGGTGCGGTACATCGACGACGCCGAGTGCGCCTACGTCATGCAGCGGTACCGCGAGTGTCACGACTTTTATCATGCGCTGACGGGCCTGCCGGTGGTGCGCGAGGGGGAGGTGGCTCTGAAGGCGTTTGAGTTTGCGAATACCCTGTTGCCGATGACGGGGCTGAGTGTGTTTGCTGCGGCGACGCTGAAGAGGAGTGAGAGGAGGAGGTTTGGGGAGATTTATCTGCCGTGGGCGCTGCGGAACGGGTTGAGGGCGGCTGAGGTGATTAATATGTATTGGGAGGAGCCGCTGGAGAGGGATGTGGTGGGGAGTTGAGGAAAGAGTTGGGGGTGGAGCCGCTCGCCGGAGTTGAGGGACTATGCGTGAAGAAGAAACGGGGGGAGGGGGGGGGGAGAAAGGAGAAAAAATTCTGGGGGGATGGGGGGGTTAAGGGTTTTGGGGAAGAGGGGAAGGGGGGGCGTTTAAAAAATTTTGGGGGCTTTATTAAATTGTATGATTAAAAGAGCTGAAAAATCCAAAAGAAGGCAAGCCCCCCCAACCTAAAAAATTCCCCCTCCAACCCCCTTGGAAAGGTAGGTAGCCCACTATGGAACCCTAAACCCACCCCCCCCCCCCCCCCCCCGACCGCACCCCCTACAAACCAAATAACTCATCATCATCCTCATCATCGTCCCACCCCTTGCGCCGAGTCACCACAATCTTCTCCTGCTCCTGGTTGTCCACCATGGCGTTGAGCAAATCCTTGAGCTGCGTCTCGGTCACCTTCTGCCGCAGCTGGCCCGTCTGCGCCAGCATGATCAGCCGGTTCTCCACGTCGGTCGCCCGCTGCTCCTTGACCAGCCGAATCCGCCCCAGCCGGTCCGCCGCGTCGGGCTCGAGGATCTGATTTAGGACTGATTTGCGCGCTTCGGCTGTTTCGAGGGGTAGGTGTGTTAGTGGGGGAGGGGGGGTTGAGTTCAGTTGTTGGATTACGGGATGGGAAGGGTACCTTCTTGTTGTCTGTAGAGAGTAGCTGTCAGTACACCATTCGATTTGCCTCTCGTTCGAGAGGGCTGGGAGCTGTTTGGGGGGGAGGGTCTCACTGTTTTTGTGCCTGCTGTTCCTGGCCGCTGCTGCCACCAGAAGCACTGCCTCCGCCGCCACCCTGAGTCTTGAGCTGCTCTAGGCGAGCCTTTCTGATCTGTAGACGCGAATTAGTCTTCAAATGTTTCCAACAAAAGAAAAACGAGGAGGGGGTGGCGCACCTGCTCCAAGTCCGCATCCGCCATCTTGTTAAAGTTTCATGGGCTGTTAAGGTGTTTGGGAATGTGGGGATCTGGGAAGCCTGCATTTCATCGTGGGGTGGTGGGGTGAATAAGGCGGGGCAACAGTCTTCCTTTTGGACGAATACAGCCCGGTTGGATCACTCGACTCTAAGTCTTTCCAAAAAAGGTATTTCTTTCACAGGCCTCATACTCATAAACACATTGCTACTGATGGCTGTAACTTTACGCTTTCGCCCAAAGTCGGCGAGATTGAATGCCGAACGTTGCCCGGACAACTTCTGTAGGCCATACACTTCGTAATTTGTTTAGGTCTGAGTACCTATCTATCATACATCATTGAGTGTTCTACAGTTACACGCTCGCCCCCGTGTCTATCCCAAGTATTTACAATGTGATTGATGCACACAACAAATCCTCTCTCCCGAAGAGCCAAGCCACCGCCTGTCCTGGCCAGCCGTGCACTATCCCGCGGTCCACCGCTGCGATCCTGACGTATCAAATGGTATATCGGCTTCCAGTTTTTTCAGCAGCATCACTTGCTTCGCTTTGGACGCCGCCATGACCGACTCAAGCGCGGCAACGTCAACGTTCATTTCCCGGCCCCGTCTGACGAAGTAGCCAGACAAGAAGTCGACGTCCGTGTCCCACCCTGCCGCAACCTGTGCTCGCATCTTGCTGTCGGCTGTTCTTTGTAGCATCAACCTGTGGTACACCTCCTCTCTTAGCGAGCTAGTGCTAGCGAAATGCCGGAACCTCCGCGAGTGGCGACATTCAGGCAGCTGGGACAGCACGCACGATAGCTCCCAGGCCAGGCGGTCCATCAGTTGTCTGGCGTGTGGGTTGGTGGAGAGAGCGTCGTATCTGCAGCCGAACAGAGCGGCCAACGGGTCCACGATGGTCCGAAATGCCACCGTCGGCAGTTTGTACCGGAGAAAATCGGCCATCGGGTGACCGGTCGCATTGAGTCCTGGCATCGCAGTTAGGAGCCGGATGAAGTGCGTTGCTCTCGCCGTCCGCACCACGGGAGGGTGGCGCTTGATCTGGAACCGTTGGCTGCCCTGCACTTTCTGTGGCGGCATGAGCGTTAAATAAAGCCTTCCAGGTCGAACTTCGGCCACGGAGAATCTGCTGGACGTATGATCGAGGGCTGTCGTAAGATGTCCTAGAAGGAAGATGGGCCGTGTCGATTCGTTGGGAAAATAGGCTTCGATGAGTTCCTCTGCAACTCCTAACCCATCGTTGATCAGACAGATTGTTGATCGATGATCAAGCCGATGCCTGATGCGCCTGAAAGCTTGCACGACTTGGGCCGCAGGTAAAGTCACGATCAGGTTGTGGATCGTGATTCCACTTTGAGTCTCGGCTTGCTCGTCAGATATGTAATCAGCTGTGACTCGGCGGTGCGTGATGCGGAGGTCGCCCCGGTACAGTATCAGTTGCTTTGAGGCTTTATACCATTGCTTGTAGAGGTTTTCCCTGTGCAGCATGTAGCTGACCGGGGGGATGGTTTGGCAGCCGGCCAGAGTGTGGGCGATGTATCGTCCAACCAGATCTAACCCCATGACATGAATCTGGTCTGAAGGCCGAAACGTCTGCATACCAACTGCTATAGGCTTAGGGAGTTGAGCTTCTCGTTCTTCCGAGTCCCACAGCGAAAGTTTTGACTGGATCCGGACCAACTCTCCTGGCTGCTCCCGCTCTTGCTCTAACGGCATGGCAGGACCAGTCCCGGCCCCAACATTCTCGTCGTCCTCCGGCCTCTTCACCGGCACCGCACCCTCATTGCTTTGCTTGGTAATAACTGGAATAGCCAACGGACCGGCGCGGGAACCGAGATGTACAGGTAGGCGGACGGTTCTGTGCTGCGGGACGTAGTTGCTAGCTTCTTGCGCTACAGTGCTGCTCGACGCCATGTATCCCCGACCCAGCAACCGGCGGCTGGCCCCCCGGCCCGCGACGTTGTTATTGAGTGACCATGGTATGTGCCTGTAAGGTATTTGCGCGAGCGCCCGCGGTGGCGGGCGGCTGCCTAGAAGTAGATACAGATTGCCGGTGTTCAAGGGAGAACTTGAGAGTACATGGCAAGGCGAGTCGAGCGAGCGTCGCAGACTGGTGAGAGGCCCGTCGCAGGTGGCTCTCAGTATCTAGGGCATGCGATCCGGCATTGGGGAGGGTTGCCCGAGGAGGAGGGAACAAGCACTCGAGCGTGGTTCGGTTACCGCAGGTCCCTGGCTTCGATTGCGTATCATAAGCTTCGGTTCGATTCGGTTAGCTGGACGGGTGCAACTAGGCCGTTTCCACGGTCTGTTCGGCTGAGGTGTCGCTATCGAGAACTGTGACAGAGCAAGCTCAATTTTCCGAGGTCTTGTCGCGGCCTGCAAGGAAAAAATATCGCCGGTAATTGATTGGTCTGCTTAGGTATGGAGGGCCCAGAAGCCGCTGCAGCAGGACCCACAGGCGCCACTGATGCTAGCCAGTTCCGGAGGGTATTGAGAAAGCGACAAGTAAAAGGAGATTGAAGGTTTTACCCATCAACAATCAATCACCACAACCAAGTACGAACATCAAAACCCGGATTCGGTACAAGACTAGTAAATCTCAGAGATAACAGCGTTTTGTTTCTCTTCACAAAATAACTCTAACCCACATAGTTCTAGGCACTCATCGGTTGCCCACGATGGATGTCAGCGACATCACACCTCAACTTGACAAACTCGAAGAGGAACTGAACAAGGCCCAGGAAACTCTCGGGCCTCTTGTAGGCGACATTGGCGACATCTCATCAAAACTCCCACTCCTAGACAAGGCTAAACTTTACGTTCTGGTTTCGTACACGATTGAGGCACTCCTCTTCTGTGAGACTCATCCCTTCCCTCTATGTGCTCTATGTCCCGCCACTGACACCCGTTCCAGCTGCATTACGCCTTAATGGAGTAGACACTAAGGCACATCCTGTGTTCACTGAGTTGGCTCGTGTGAGGCAGTATGTCGAGAAGATTGAAAAGCTCGAAAACCCACCCGCAGAGCGCGAGAACGCCGTCAACACTGAGGCGGCGGCCCGGTTCCTCAGGTCCGATCTCGTAGGTCATCTTACCCCCTGCTGATAAACCGAACATTCACTGACATGGTTAACAGGGCGACAACAAAGACATTAAGGCAAAGCTGACGGAGCTCATCGCTAAGGAACGGGAGAAGGCGGCAGCGAAAGCCTCGGAGAAGAAGCGCCCGGCGGAAGAGCAGGCCGCAGAGAACGGTGTTACGCCTGGAGAGAAACTCGCGAAGCGGCCGAAACGTAACGGCGGCAAGAAGAAGAAATGAGCGTACCATCAAGCCATTGCTGCGTTAGATAACAGTCCGGTAACTATGACCCCCTTCATCGCCGGATATGCCGAACGAGCGTGCCCCGGCAATAGTCTCGAGCGCGAAGCAGAAGCTGGCTCAAGGAAATTATTGAGGCAGTCCTTACACGAGACTCTATACTCACATGATCGATGGGCCATTGACGATGATCCTAGTTAGGGTGGTGTATAAACAATGTAAAGAATATAGAAATACACGACGAGACTCAAGATAGGCTGCCCCTATCTCGGGTTAAAGATGCAAAAGCTCACCGGCTAGCCCCCCTTAGGGGGCTAGCCGGCTACGAAACCCCTTAGGGGGGTAGCCCGGTGATGCCCCGTCGGGCCGATGCAGGCTGCGTGTTATGTTCTAAAGTGGAGGACTCTATCGGCGGCCCGATACCTCCCAGAGGAACCCACGGTAGCATCATGATTTGAACCAAGAGCCTCCCCTTACGGCCGGGATATTGAGGATGGTGAACTAGCTGGCCCGTGGGCCGAGGGCCACCGCCTAACCGCTGGGCTACCCAGTTAGGTGGTGGTCCTCGTTGGAAATCGATTTTGCGCACTTTCTCTATATTGTGCGATTGGTCTGTTTGTGCACGGATATCCTCTCCAGGCCAACTCACACACCTCTTGAATCACTATTATTGTGTATCCCCTCTATCAAAACCACCGATGTTGGTGTTGACGAAACAACGCTGCGAGTTAACAGCCATGCGAAGCGGGAGTGAAGAAGAGCTGGGAGCATTGGATTTCCACGCTATATCTTGAACCTTGACTCTGTCGTCATTTTCTGCAACCACGACCTGATTACTCTCTCACTCAGTAATGTAGATTTGCCCTCACAGGTGATACAACACCAGTAGTTAAACCCTAACCCGGTGAAGTGGTTCAATGCCGGCAATCCAGAGTTCCGGCCGGGGCAATTATGGATCCGTCGGTGAGCTTCTATTGGCTTCCAGGCGGACGTGCCGGAGGCCAGCAACGCAAATGGCCAATGCGAAATCGCGTCGGCCTCTTTCCCGACTTCCGGCAAAATATCTCCCATTCCAAACTACCGCAACCCGCCTCAATCGTCAACCCTCCGGTCCACGCAAAGAAACTTCCACACCCACACCAATACTCACACATCCAAACCCACACAATTACGATGCCCCGTCAGTCCAGGTCCTCCGGCCGCTCGGCCCCCTCCCGGCCCATGGTGCCCGCTCGCTCGGCGCCCACCCCGACCCAGCAGCAGCAAACCCGCCCGGCCACCACTTACGCCGCGCCCGGCGCCCACAACCCCGCTGCCCCCCAGGCCCCGACCGCCGCCGGATCCCAAGGACCCGGCCTCATGGGCCAGATGGCCAGCACCGCTGCGTACGTTCATCCTCGCCACATCCTCCTCCCCCTTCCCAAAAATCCAGCGGTTAAGCCAGCCAGCCAGCCAGCCAGAGTGACGGACAGACATACAGACACACAAACAAGATGCCATAACTAACACTCTCCCCCTCTCGCACAGCGGCGTCGCAATCGGTTCCACAGTCGGCAACATGATCGGCAACAGCCTGGGCGGACTCTTTGGCGGCAGCTCGGCCCCGGCGGAGCCCTCGGCCGCGACACAGGCGCAGACGGCGCAGACCAACAACAGCTCGTGGGGCAACAACTGCGCAGGGGCGACGGAGCAGTTCACCAAGTGCATGGACGAGCAGAGCGGCAACATGCAGATCTGCGGGTGGTATCTGGAGCAGTTGGTACGTTTTTCTTTTTCCACTCTTGTTCCTTTCTCCCTTCCCCCTCCCCAAAGAGAGAAGTTGTGCGTGAGATTTGTATGGTGCTAATGTCATTGGTTGTGTAGAAAGCTTGCCAGGCTGCGGCCAGCAATTATTAAGTTGGTCTGGAAGAGGTGCTGGGAAGGTGGATAATGGACTGAGAGGTGTAATCTATGCCGGGTCGGCAAATCCGGCAGCCTGAGGGAGAAGGCGGGTTTGGCATAAACCCCAAACTCCAATCACTGTAGAATAGAGCCATGCAAGACGTATTCCGCTCTTCATTCGCTAGTCTGTGCTGCAACTAGACAGAAATCTCCCAACACACAGGAGTCGATCAAACAACTACTCTCCATCATCTGACCTCGGCTGGAAGTTGGTCTAGTCGTGGTTAGAACTCAGTACACAGACTTCTTCAAATAGGGAGGCACTCACAGAATTGCCGTTGTAGAATTGTTGGTCATTCCGCCGCCCTTCTGCATGGTCCATCCCCGCTATGCGCCCAGCACGTCGCCTGGCTACATCCGCAGCCGCCTGGCTCTGAGAACTAGTAGCCTGTGCAGTACTAGACTCCAGGGCTCCCGACGACCCGCCCGTGCTCAAGAAGCTCGAGACGAACGCGGAAACGGTGCTGAAGAAGCCGGTGATGATAGCCAAGAAGTAAGCAATAAGCCGCTGGAAGATGTTGCCTTGAGGTTCTCCCGCCGCGGCGCCCGGCGAAGCTGAATAGGCGACCTTGAACTTGGGTACACGTAGGAGAATCAGCGTCGAAGAAGGGGCCAGCTCCAGTGCCTGGAGAGACTTGTCCTCCTCAGTGACGTCGATGGTCTTGCTCGGCAACGGGGTCAGGAGTACCTTGAAGGAGAAGGCCTCCTTACTATCCCCGCGATTCTCGTCAACCCACTTCCTCACGTCAGTGAGCGTGTCGCTACTAGAAAAGCGGTGGCGGATTGTCGAGCCGTCAAACAGGCGAGCTTGGATGGCGCAGTGCTCGCTTAGCCGGCCTGCGGACGAAGAGACTTTCGTCAGCGTGGCCAGGTCGGGTTTCTCGGAAACCATGGACATCCTCCGGGCGGCCGCTTCCTCTTCCCTTTGGGCTTTCCGCGCGACCTTGTCGTCCTCGATTGCTTTGAGGATACGCTCCCGCTCCTCCCGCGCCTCACGCTGCTTCTTTTTGAGGGCGGCGGCGTGCCTATTCTGTTCATCGGTCTTCTTTGGCGCCCCGGCCTCTGCTTTTGCCTTGCCTTTCTCCGCGCTTTGCCGCTTCGCCTCTGCTTCGTCCTTCTTCTTTTGCTCGAGAACCCTCGCAGCCCTTGCAGTCAGCATGGACTGCACTCGAGAATTGGTGGTTGATGGTGGGGTGGCCTGGCCCGAGCTACTAGACGAGGATTCGTCGGCATGGCTTGGCTGGCTCGTGGCAGAATCCGGTGCCTGGATGACAGGCGGTTGGAGAGCTGCGGCTTGAGAAGGAAGTGGTTGGCCAGGGGCAGATTCCGTCGGCGTAAGTGCCGCCTTCATCCTCTTCATAAAGTCTTCCTTGGAAGCACCAGCAGCGATATACTCCTTGAGTTGGCCGTCCCTGAGCTTGATTAGACTTCACCCCATTTCTCTTGCGGTTTGGGAGCTAACCTAATAATTACTACGGTGGGCTTGCGTGGCACAGGGTAGAGTTGCTTAAGGAACCCCTCTTCTTGTGAGCCCGCCACCAAACGAAGAGACACCGCGTTGCTTTCAAGCATCGGTCTGAGCTAATAGTCGTCCTCGAATCAGAGCCATTTCGCGCTAAGAACAAGCCAATTGGAGGTAACTCACTGTTTCGTCGAGGAAGTATTGAAGCTCCCATGTTTGACTCTCAGCCTCGCCATCTAGGAGCTGTCAGTTGATATTCTATTGAAGCGCAATGTGTTCTATCTGACCTGTGACAAAGCACATGACGGACTTCGACTGTTGCAGAGCGGCCGAAATGCCCTCTTGAAGGGTGCCCTCAAAGAAAGCCATGCTCAGCGATGAGACGCTAGGCAGGTAGTATCCGGTTGATCCGCTCCGTCGCTTCCGTTCAGTTTCTGTCCAATATCAAATGATCAATGAGGTCAAAGTTGCATGGCAGACTAAGGGAAGCGGGTTATATTACAGTATGAAGTTGAATTAGTGGAGAAAGGCTAGGCGTCGCGATGATGTGAGTGGTAAGATAGGTATGTTGGTTGCTGCTACTGCAAGTTGGCTTGATGAATGGAGCTTTCAATGACAGAGGGGGCTGGAAGAGGCACCTCGGCGGCCGAGAGCGGGTAACAACCCATGTTACAGTGGGCTTGCTTACCATTAAGCGGCGGGGTGCAGCCGCCCGGCCAGGCTCTAACCCGACCTCCGGGCGGCCCAAGCTCCTCGGTATTTCCACAGCAGAGCGACACAACCCCCGTCTGCCGATACCGAGATCAGTCGAAATCCTGAAATTGCAGCCCTCGAATAGTTGACAACATGGCGGCTAATCGAGCATCTGCCCGAATCCTGCATTCACTACGGACGCAGTCAAGGCCAATTGGCAAGACATCTCCCAGATGGCCACAACCAAACTCCTCAACAACCCGTCTACCTCCCCGTCGACCCATCTCCAGTACCCCGCGCCGCCCGAAGCAAGCAGCAGACGACCCGGGCTTCACCTCAATCGTCGATAACCCACCCGAACTTGTGCGAGCAGGACGCAAACACGGCCCAGGCCTAATCATCCTCGGTACCTAACTCCGCCCCTTCCCCGTCCCTCCCACCACACACGCACACACATACAAATCCAACAACTAATACCAACCCCCTCTCCGGGGGCCCCGCACAGCCATCATCCCCATAACCGCCTTCCTCCTCGGCACATGGCAAGTCAAACGCCTCGAATGGAAAACCGACCTGATCGCCAAATGCGAAGACCGGATCGTGCGGCAGCCCCTCCCTTTACCGCCGCGGGTAGACCCCTCCGCGATCGCCGAGTTCGACTTCCGGCGCGTGTACGTGACGGGCCGGTTCCGGCACGACCAGGAGATGCTGGTGGGCTCGCGCATGCGCGACGGCGAGCAAGGGTACATCGTGGTGACGCCGCTGGAGCGGGAGGGGGATGACGGGGCTAAGGTGCTGGTGAACCGTGGCTGGATCTCCAAGGCGAATGCGGAGCAGAGCAAGAGGCCGGCGGGGTTGCCGCAGGGTGAAGTGCGAGTGGAGGGCATGCTGAGGCAGCCGTGGAAGAAGAATATGTTTACGCCTGTGAATCGGCCGGATAAGAGGGAGTTCTATTTCCCGGATGTGCAACAGATGGCGGCGTTGACGGGGAGTCAGGCTGTTTGGATTGAACAGACAATGGGTAGGTTGCCTGATCTTGTTCATTGGCTATGGCTATGGTTTGATACGGATACTAACATCGCGACTAGAACCGGATTACTTCCAGTTCCTAGATTACCATGCCCGTGGCGTTCCCATTGGGAGGCCGGCTGAGGTGAATCTCCGCAACAACCACGCACAGTACATCTTTACGTGGTAAGTCTTGCGCACGCGCGAGATCCCCATGCCCGTAATCATGACTCGGCGCTCTTTTGCCTCCCGACAACCGACTAACTGATGTAGGTATGGCCTTGCGGTGGCCACCTCCATCATGTTTTACATGGTGGTCAAAAAGCCGCCAACCGACGTAACGCGGCGTGTCCGCCATCAGACGAAGTGGTAATGACGATCAACTGACTCGTCCAGGCTTCAAGTGACGTCGTCATCATCCACACCCTTGATTTTGCGCCGTTTCTTTGGGATGACCGGTGGTGGCATTCGCAACTCTTGCAGCAACTCTCTAGGGAGGTTGCGTTGTGCAAGCGCGAATGGTGTAGTATTTGGATTGATCTGACGCTGTCTAGAAGGTAAAAGTGTCAGCGTCATGTGTAACCTTATTTGAAATACCCAGTGATAGATTGTACCATACCTCTTCATTAGGGTGAGCACGTCGCTCTCATCAATGGTTTTGCGGCCGGCGTGTTTCGCGTAGGCTTGGAGATCCTCGCTCATCTGTTCGAAAAACCAATCCGAAGCCTGCATGATGGACTTCATGGCATCCGGCGTGATCTTCCCCTTGATTCCACCGGCCTTTGCGAAGTTCTGGGCGAGCCGTTTTACGACTGCTGGCGGCAGAGAAGGATATTCGATGCCGTATTTCGATATTTTGATGGTTCTCTTCACCGGCCCACGCGCCTCGACCCTCGTAATATTTGTTGTTTCAAACCCTGTCTCATCCTGCAGTGCCGCTGTTCGGCTTTTCACGGCCTCGTCTTCCAAGCCTGGGACTTCTCCCAGGAGATCTTCGTCGTCAAAGTCGTCGCTTCGTTGGTCAACGAGGGGCGCAAAGTCGTCATACATCGGTTGGTCGTCGTCAACTTGGGGTCGGTCAGGTGATTCTTCAACCTGGGGCGCAATCATGAACGTGCTCTCGTTAATCTCTCCGGCTGGTATCTCGAGGCCAAAATCACTTTCCCGACCAAAGTCACGCCGGTCATCCGAATCTAGTCTGCAAATAAATTAGCATTCCCTCCGTACCGTCAAAATAGGCCAAACGTACCGTTCAGGGGATGGCAGTTCCTCCAACCCCATCGTGATACCATCATCCAACACCGCCGTCGGTGGAAAGAATCCCGAATCGACGCCAATATCCTCGCTATGCAGCATATCGTTCATATTAAAATAGTCGCTCATCCGTGTACTGCCCATCGAGAACCGGCCCCCGGGTTGCTCGCTAATGGCCCGCCGCGGCATCTCAATGGACTGGAGCGTAAAGTTATTATCATCATCAAACACCACCGAGCGATGCGGCTGGATATCGTCGCTGTCGTCATCGTCCTCGTCGCCAATAGGGAGCGAGAGCCGCGGACGCTTCGGAAGCTCCTCGTCATCGTCGTCGTAGTCCACGCCACTAATTGACCCGAGTGTCGTGTCATTCCCCGCATCCGAGCTAGGCCCCCTGTCCTCCTCGCTGGGCGACGAAGATGTCGTGATCACCTCGGTAGTCCTTGCCAGCACCCGGCCGAGCGACAGCAAGAAGTCGCGGGGCGAGTCGCGGACCTCGCGCACGCTCTTGCGGCGGGTGCGGTGCGGCGTGAAGATGGCCGCCCGCCGCGAGTCGATGGTCCGGAAGGCAGCGCGCGCGTGTGGTGTTGGGGGTGCTATCTTCCGGCCAGATGCTGAGAGACCCTGTGGTGGCGGGCGTGGCAGGCCCGCCGCGGGCTTGGCTTTCCCGGTGTTCTGACCAATCATTATCGAGCGCCGCCCGCCGATCGAGGCCAGCGGTTCCGCGCTCGACGCCCGCCGTGTCGGTGTCGCGTCGGGGCGCCGGCTTTCCCGGACCATTGTGGGCGATTTCTTGTCGCTATTCTTGATAGGGTGTGTTGATGGTCCTGTGGGTGGCCTTTTGTGGGTTTGCGGCCGAGTTCACTTCCCTCATTTGTCCCCGGGTGATGGGATGGATGTCGCTTGAACCATGACACGCGCTCAAACTCGCTGGCCTGCCGTTGCATCATTGTGTATGTACTTCCAGATTTGGATAGGCGTGGGGCTTCCGATAACACCGATAAGCCAGAATGCCCCACCAACCCACTCATCGCATCCATCCGCCTGCGGAGTGTTGTTGCGCCTTGCCAACTTCCAGCTGAAAGCTCCTGCTGCTCGGCATCTGACCTCAGACGTTCGGCTCAAGGCTTTATTTTATTTTTAGCTCGGGCCGTCTTCCATTCAGACATTGTCGTCCACCGTCGGAATCATCTCTACATTTACGATACCTTCTAGCATTCCTGTTGTCTCAAATCTCCTCATTTTGGACAAGTTAGCGATGCATGTTGCAAGGCATTACATGTCTTTGACTGCCGCCATGCGCTCTGGCCGCGACCCAGTCTTAGCAACAGCTCGCATGGGAACCTGCGGGGCTTGAGGGCGTGTGAGATATGTCTTGCCATCCCTGGATAACCTCGTTTTCCCCACCACCCGTATCGCCAGTGGTGGCCTTGAGTGCTTGGGGCCAAGAGGCGGAGGGCCTAATTCGCTCCTCTATTCGATGACGGGATCAGACCCGTCGAGCACGGCCACAGACGTGGTTGACGAGACAAATCAGGAGAACCGTGTTTCCGCCTTGGCCAGCTGTTGGGCCGTCATACCCGCCACAACTTCACCGGCTCTCTCATAGGCTGCATTGCCAGATCATCCTCGTTACAGACCTGCCGCAAATGTAACAGCGCTTGGATCCCGAGTCTTTCTAGGCTCGATACCAATCATCGGATTGTTGGAATCTCCCATCGGCGCGAACAATTGCAGATGCAAGGGATGTGTGGTTGGAAGCTGAGTCGATGTAGTTCAGGTGACTTTTGACGTGCCAGCTTCTTGGATACCAATTTGACGAGAACTGCTGCACCTTGGGTCCTGCGCAGGACATGGGTAGGTACATATCGAGGTACCCCGAGGTCGCAGTTATTCTATCGAGACCCTCTCACACAACGGATGGCATGGGCCGCACTCCCTGAATTCCGACGGCGAAGCAAGGGGCGCCGCTGTTGTGAGAGGATCGGGTATGTATTTCATACGATGTCTTCCCGATGGTCGCGGGCATCAAACCTGGCTTGGTCGAAGCAGACCACGAGACAACACAGCCTGGATTCTGGGCTGATGATGCTCCCATATCATCAGTTTTTTTTGACCGTCTCTCGTCTTTTCATCCCAATCTCTGCTCTTTATCGTTCCCAACTCCCTTTCAGATTTTCACATATCCCTAGGCGTTTAGCCTCGACTTTAACCACTTCCATCCTTGTCACGCAAGGCTTCGGAAGAGTGCCTCGCCCGCCAGTAGCACATCTTTGACGTTTCGAAGCACGGATCCACCGTTCCTTGTCTCTTGCCCATCTTTACCGGTCTTGAACTTTGTCTGGATCATACCATCCATCCTACAACGCTGCCCTTAGAACAAAGGCTTGTACAGCAGCACCAGTGTTTGCAAAATGTGAGTTCTACTATGCCCAGTCACAGATCTTCCATCCAGTTGTCTGTTTTTGAACATGAAGCTAGTGGGGATGGGCGGTACATCTAGGTACATTCCCGTGTGCAGATCACATCGCAGAGCTGTGCTTGGCCGCTCCTGGATGGTTCAAGTTTGTGCCGGTTCCAAACCCGTGAGCTTCGCTTCTTCGCCTTTCTTGCCGGTATCCGTGGCCCACCGGGCTGTTTCCCAGTCGTTTCAACTGGCTCTCAATGGGTTGACGCCGAACGTGTTACAACCCCTTGCGTGGTGTCCGCCCATGGTTGCTTCCAATGACCCTAATGGCAAAGGCAAAACCAGCAGCCGACAAAACAGGACATGGCGCTGCCAAGACGATGGTGCGCCGTGCGAGAAGGACAGCACTCCACTGCAACCCCCGCCCCACGCCTGGGTGAGCCGCCATCGCCTGCAGGCGGTGCGCCACTGGGTGCCCTGGAGCAGCCCGCGACTGGGCAGCCGCCTTACAGGCCCCTTCCACACAGTGCTGGCTCTTTTTATCCCCGACGACTCACCGTCCCCATCTGGGGACAGTCCGTTCGCCTGATGCCCGCCCGGCCCCGGCCCTCAAGTCCAACGCTGGACCGCTGTTTCCCACCTTTCACTTCCATGCACCGCGCCTGAATTTGCTTTCTTCCACTGCTTTTGCTCTTTAGCACTCAAAACTTTGCAACCGGTGGCAAGAAAAGACTTCTTCTAACCTTGCTTGCAGCTTTGCATCCCGCCTCCTCCGTTCCCCAGTATCGAATCACATCCACACACCCATCTCCAGTCGACCGAAGTAGCAAGGCGGTGGGCCAACTTCAACAACGCAATTCTTCCGTGCTTTCTCCTCTTGCTTCCTGCAACCCTGCAACCCAGCTCCCCCTTCCCAACCTCCCGTGGTTGACCGATAACACCAGGCCCATCGCCAGTCGATTGATTGCTTGGTTGCTCGTTGGAGAACTGCAAAACCTTTTCTATCCTTGCTATCGCACATCCGCAGACATCATGTCTACAACTCAATCGATCAAGGTTCGTTAGCCATAGCAAAGATAACCAACCTACCGATGGATTTCCCTCCCCGCTGTCGGGCGACCGACCACAGTAACCCAAACAACCCAAACAACCTAGATACTAACTGCGCTTTGTTCTCATAGTGCGTTGTCACAGGTGACGGTGCTGTCGGCAAGGTACGATCATGTGCATCACGAGCCCTTGACACGCAGCCCACATGCTGACCGTGTGTTCTAGACGTGCCTGCTTATCTCGTACACAACAAACGCATTCCCCGGAGAGTACATCCCGACAGTGTATGCGCAGGCCCCTAGCCCCCCATCCGATGCGATCCTAACATTTGTGCTTCAGGTTCGACAACTACTCGGCGAGTGTACAGGTCGATGGCAAGCCGATCAGCTTGGGGTTGTGGGATACCGCTGGACAAGAAGACTATGATAGACTGCGTCCGCTGTCATACCCCCAGACCGATGTCTTCCTCATTTGTTTTTCTCTGATCAGCCCACCGTCGTTTGACAACGTCGAAGCCAAGGTGAGTTGGATTTCGCCCCAGAATGAGTGACTGAGATCTGACCGCCTGCCCACAGTGGTATCCCGAGATCAGCCATCACGCGCCCAACGTTCCGATTATCCTGGTGGGCACCAAGCTCGACAAGCGAGAAGACAAGGAGACGATTGATAGGCTGGCAGCCAACCGAATGGCTCCCATTACCTTCCAGATGGGGGCAAAGCGCGCTGGGGAGATCAAGGCCTACAAATATGTGGAATGCTCGGCCTTGACCCAGATGAACCTCAAGACGGTCTTTGACAATGCCATCCGGTGAGTTGCTACTTGGTCCTGCAATACAAGATAGCACGCCAGCCGTGCAAGTGCTTGCAAATGCTAACATCACTTGCCAGGGCCGTGCTTGACCCTAACCGGTCAACAGAGGCCAAGCCCGCCAAAAGGTCCTCCAAGTGCCTGGTCCTGTAATGCCTCGGCCCAAGAGACCCAAGGACCTGCCCATCCTACAATGAGAGACGACCCCCATAATACACCTCACCATCTATACCCAACGGAGGGATCTCTGCTTCTCCACCGACTGCGCTACACCTGATTTTGGATTGGCACTTGAGACTATGCGTCCCTTTAATGGTTGACAACATAGTTGGGGATTCTCTACTCAAGGCTACGAAACAACGGGTGGCGTTTTGTTTTGGCGAGAGAAATACTCGCTCGGGATTGTTAATGCCCTAATCACTCGCAATCCCATTGTCTTTGCACATTTGTTTACCTTGCGACTTCGGCGGGTTCCAGGGTGCCAGTCTTCTCCCACGAAACAGCCCTTTATTCCACGAATGCTGCAAGGTAGCGGGTTTGCATTGTCCCCAGGCAAAAAGGCCTTCTTTCATCTGCTCTTCTCGTTTTCTGCTTTCTTCCCTGTCGGTAACCGCGGACAAACTTTTGGTAGCAGGAACACGCAAGAGTCGTATCGGCGGCGGGTTGATGACTGCACGGTTGAATGCAAAAGACGGTTCCCTTTTTCTTAGACCATATGCTACCCCTACTCTCCAGTGACATGACGCGGCAAAACCAAAACCAAAATATTTATATGCATCCGTAGTAAGTGGGTATCTTTACGTAGAGGTAAAAACTCATCCACCGCCCGCCCTCCCCGATCAGGTCTCAGTTCTTCCCGTACGGAACCCTCGCGCGCCGGCTTGGGTGTATCGAGTCTTCGTCGCGCTGCTCTTGCGTCTTGCCTCCGGTCGCCGCCTTCTCCAACTTGGCCTCCTCCTCCCTCTGCATCCTGTTCGCCCGCTCCTCGTTGAGCTTGGCGTTCTTTTGCTTGATCTTGTCCTGCCGCGCCGCCGTCTTGCCACCACCGCCAGCACTGTCCATGGAAACCATTAGTTAGCGCCACAATCTCCTTACACAGCATCATCAGATCACACAAGGGGAGATGAAGAAAAAAAAGTAAAACGTACGTCAACTCCACATTGATCCTCCTCGGCGGCCCCTTCGCGCCGGGCTCCTCAAACTCGGTGTGGTGGAACTTCTTCAGGCACGTCTTCATGTGGTCGTAGCCCGCGAACTCGACGAAGGCGATCCCGCGCGACTTCGAAGGGTTGTCGCGCTGGGTCAGCAGCCGCACCGACGTCGGCTGGAGGGTGGCGAAGTGCGCGCGCACGGCCTCGGCTGTCGCGCTGTAGGGCAGGTTGCCGACGAAGCAGATGAAGCGGTTGGGTTTGCCGTTCGTGGCGGTGGCGGTGGGGTCGTTGTCGTTGGTGGCTTCGCCGTTGGTGGTGGTTTCGGTGGTGGGGGGGTCGCCGTCTTTGCTGCTACTACTCTTCTTCTTCTTGTCCTTTTTGCTCTTCTTTTTGCTCTTCTTATCGGTGCCGTTGGTTCCGTTGGCGCCGTTAGTGGCAGCCTCCTCGGCCTCCGTGGGCTCGGGATCCGAAGGCGCAGCTGCTGGTGCGGGCTCGTCCGACTCCTCGGGGGTGGCTGCCGCGTCCTTGCTCTTAGATTTCTTCTCCTTCTTTTCCTTTTTGTCTTTCTTTTCTTTCTTGTCCTTCTTATCCTTCTTTTCCTTCTTCTCCTTCTTGACCTTGGTTGCCTCCTCGGGTGTCTTCTCGGTCGTGATAGTCTCGGGCTTGGCTTCCTTCACCTTGGAGCTCTTCTTGGTGACCTCCGCCTTGCCAGTGCTGTCGAGCTTGCTCTTCTTGACAACGGGCTTGGCATCGTGGTTGTCGGCGACATCCTCGTCGGTGCGCTCCCTCTTTTTTGATGATTTGCCCATGGTAGATATGTGATTGTGCAGTGCGACGGCAGGTATGACCGAAAAAAATATTGAGTCGAGGAGCAGCTGTTGGGAAGGAGTGACTTGCGGCAGCCAAGCGACAACTCTCGAGGTTCACAAAATCCCAGCTTTTTTTCTGCCGGTTTTGAAGGCGGGGAGCGCTTGGCGGGGCGGGTGGGTGAGATATTCTGGTGGAGCCTGCAGCATGCGGCCCGTCCGGCGGCCTTCTGTCTTGTCAGCGGATCGAACCGAACAAAAAGACTCCAGCAGTAGCGGAGACCCGGCGCTCCGTCGGTCCCCACACAGTCAGTCCGCTTCTCCAAGCCCATTTCCATCGCCTGGAGTCAGATCAAGCTTACCTGCATTTGCTCGCAGCGGCACACTGCAGGGCCGATCTACGGGAGCGGACGATCAGCCGCTGAATCCACCCAGTGCCCTCTCCAACGTCAACACCTCTGCTGCAGCTTGATCTACTTGTGCTGTAACATACAATCTAACGTTAAATAGCGGTCCTCGAGGTCTGCCTCTGTAAAATCATCGGCACGTCCTGTGTAATATGCAACGCATGGTGATGTAACAATGAACATATTGCTATTGGCCCGGGAGAAAGTCAACGACTAAACCAAGCCCGACTTAGGGAAGAAGCCCTGTTTTTTTTTTTTTGGGTTCTCAAAGGCTGAAGGAGCGTGGCTGTATCATGGGTATAAGAAGGAAAAAAAGGAAACCCAACCTCAGACTAGACCATATCCAACCTCCAACCCAATGCCCAAAAAGGAGTGTGAGGGACCAAGACTCAGGTTCTGTGTCCCCAATACTGTCAAAATCCCAACCCAATCCCCAAACCGCTGAAACCCAAAAACGCCTGCTGAAAATCCGCATTTCAACCAAGCAAGCTCGGTGCTGCTTGCCTCCCGTAGTCGGACACCAACGACCCCGCTTTTTTCAAGCCCCCCTTTCCTGCATTCTGCACTAGACCTGTGACGTCTTCACCGTCTCCTGCTCTTCGTACGATGGGGGGGCGTCCTGGTTCACCATCAGGCCGGCCTTCTCCTCTTCGACAAGTACGACCTCCTTGCGAGGGGTCTTATGGTGCGAGTGGCGACGGCGATGGCCGCTGCTGCCACTGTGGTGGCGGCGGCGGAAGAAGACACGCCAGAGGGAGATGAGGACGGTGCCGACGGCCATGCCGATCCTAAAATCGCGTCAGTGGGTAGGATTCAAGGTATCAAAAGTAGGGGGTAGCTTACAGGCTGACGCTCACACCGGCGACGATACCAATGAGCACGGGGAGCAGAATGTGCGAGGCCATGTGCTTGAGCAGCTTGCCCCAGCGGTGCTCCTGGTGCCCGTGGCCGGCGGCCGGGTGATGAGGGTGGGAGTGGGGATGAGAAGCCTCGCCAGAGACGGATGGCTCCGCGCCGCCCTTGTTGCTGCAGTGCCCTTTGAAGCTCTTGAGCTTCTCCCGGGCAGCGGAAATCCATCTGCACAGCGCCGTGGTGCACTCATTTGCATCACCGCCGGGGAGCTCCTTGACGAACGTGTTGGCCTCGCCCTTCTCGACTTTGGAAATGAGCAGGCGGCCTTCGCTGTCCTTGACCAGGCTGACCTTGACGCCTGGGATTCCGTCAATGAAGGCAACGCCAACTGCGATGATCTGAAACTCGATTTCCACCAGCTCAAGCTCAGTCTTGGCGTCCTTCGTCGCCGGCATGACCTTTAGGCCGAAGCTCAATTGCTGCGGTTGGGGGTAAACCCTATAACGGCCCTTGTGTCTCTCGCCATCCGGATGATGCCGCTTCTCCTTGGTCTTCTCCTTGGTCTTTCGGTCAACGACCTGAGGCGCCTTGAGGGCCGTGGTCAGCGCCTCGTGCGCGGGGTAAAGTTCGACACCGTTAAGCAGCAGGCGGTCGTGGTCGGCCAAGTGGTCGACAGAGAAGGTCAGCTCCAGATGGCTTGGGAACTTGGTTTTGAACTGGACGGTCTTGCCCCGTCTGTTCCTCAATAGGACCGGGCAACCGGGGCACTGGACGTCAACATGGATCTCGTTGATCTGGGAGGCGATGCTGTCGATAGTGTTGGCCACCTGTATGTCGGTATCGCTGACTTCGGGAGGGACGAGGAATGCTCGCGCGGCTGGGACGGCGAGAAGGCCCGCCACCAGTGTGAGGGGCTTCAGCAACATGGTGTCGCTAATGTGAGGGGTATCTCGACTGGATGGCGACTTGGCTTGTTAGTCGCTGTAACAGTCGGCGTTTCTGCCGTGTCGGTGTAGTGATAGGAAAACAAATAAAACCAGATCTCGTGAGAATGAGACCTTCGCCTCGATAAAATACTGAGTTGGAAACGAGGAGAGAGGTATGGAATGTGGCCGGCAATGTCATGGGTTGGTGTGGTAGTATCTCTTTGTTAGGTTCCGGAGCTGCCGGAGCCGGTGGGTGGCGTCAGCAGCAGGGGGTCGCCAAGCTGGACAGGGGATCAGGGGACTGCAGGCGCCGAGAACGACGTAATTGCAGCCTGAGGCAGGAGCATTCCCACCAACTCCCCGCCTCTGCCAGCGGCAAATTGGCCAGGATTGGCTTCCCGGCATCACATTCCCAAACTCGAGCCGCCCACATGTTTCGATCCAAACAGGTAACTTAATGCCATGCCCAACCATCCTTGGCGCGATCGTCATGCCAATTGTTTACCGCCCAACCGCCCTCAAAATAACCCTTCGGAGCGACTCGAGAGTGATCATTCTTGATGCGTCAACAATCCCCATTGTGCTCCGTCATCGCATCCACAAAGAGGGGTCGCTATGGCCGGGGGGCCGGCTTGCCCTTGTCTCGGACTGTTGACGCAGCCTGGTTCCGAGGCAGACGGCCAACAACAAGCACCGACCTCCCGTGAATCCTAATCATGCGTGAAGGAGCCAGGCAGCTCGGAAAGGCGCGCCGCAATGCAAACCCGGCCAGGGTTGTCGACAGACATAGTAGGTGGCACTCTTGCCGCTGGGATCCAATGATCCTGCTGAGGTTAACTTGTGGGGTGAGGTGGTTGGTTGTACGAATCATGTGAGCATCGAAGCCAGCAAATTCCCATTGAATTCCTCCGGCGCCAGCAGGAGATAAGCTCCCAGTCGTAAAGAAAAATGTAAACGCCCGGCGCCTTGCGCTTGTGTAGTAGGTAGATGGGTACTCGGTGACCTAATGTACAACATGACAATAAAAGAAAAAAAGGTATGTGACACGAATAGAGTCGCATCTCTTGTGCGAACGAGCAAATGATCCTTGGGTAAGTAAGGCCGTTGGTGGCAACCTAGCAGGGCCGCCAATGGCAACTCCAGCCCGTGATCCCACGCGATACCATGCCATCCCATAAACAAACCTCACCTCACCACACCTCACCTCAGCATTAAGCCACACCAGCACCACCCCCCCAACCCCATCCCCGCCTTGCCAACAACCCACCCATCACCTTCCTCCTCACCATCCCCCCAACATCACCAACACCACCAACCCTTCTCCCCCCTCCCAAATCCACCACAAACCCCACCAAATCCACCGACCGCCCCCCTCCCACCGTGACATTCCTCGCCGCCTCTACCCCGCCGCGCCCGCCCAAAAACCGTTGCAGCGCCACCTGCGCCGTCTCGGCCTCGCCCAGCCCGTCCTCCTGTAAGATGTACAGCACCGCGACGCGCGCAAAGTCAAGCGCGTCCTCGTCGGGGGTGAAGGCGGGGGTGGTGGGGGCGGGGGTTCCAGTGCCGGAGGTCATGGTCATGGTGGTGGTGAGTTTGCTGGTGGCGGTGGGGCGGCGCGTGGGGGAGGTTTGGGGTTGAGAGGAGGAGGTGGGGGGTTTGACGGAGAAGGTGGTTGCGAAGTTGCCGTCTGAGTCGAGGGCGGTTGAGAAGGTGGTGCCGGCGGTGGGGGCCGGGTTGTCGGAGAGGGTGAAGGTGGTTAGCGGGGCGAGGACGATGGTGATGGTTGTGTAGAGCACGCCGTCGATTATCACGGCTGCGGCGTTGGCGTTGACAATATCCGGGCTGTTGTTGTCGTCCGCGGTTTGGGCAGAGAGGGCGCTGACCTCGGCGCGGGTGGCGCGGCCGTTGAAGGTGACGAGGGCGTTTTCGGCGGAGCAACTGAGGTCTTCTTGGGTGTTGAGCTTCGAGATAATGGCTGGGGCGGAGAGCGGGATGGAGAAGTTAGTTTGGGCTTGGTTGATGAGCCGGGGGATGGCTTCGCCGATGCTGATTTGGTCGTCGGAGCCGGTCAAGGTGATGGTCGCGCAGCCGACTTGGTCGGCGACGGTGCAGTCGGAGCCGCTGAAACCGTTTACGCAGGAGCACGAGCAGACCCCCTCATTGACCACGTTGGTACCTCCATTAGCACATGCCAGTTGTTGCTGGCATCGTTGGAGGTCTTCTTGTGCTTGGCTGTCCCCATTCTGCTTCTGGATGACCAAGAACTCGACGGGGATCACTACGGCGGCGGCGATCACGAGCAGGAGGCCAATCACAAGCAAAATAAATCCCCAGCAGGGAAGGCCGCAACATCTGCGTTTCCGTTTACTCGTTGATGATTCTGCGTCGCTCGTTGGGACAGCCTGTTGTGACGTATTGAGGGTGCGATTAAAATTAAGAGGGAGAGGCCATGACTGGACCTGTTCTCGGAGGCTGTCCCGGAAGCTGCGGCGGGTGTTGGTTTGTGCTAAGTGTGCTGGTGGGGGAAAGGCCGCCAGCATGTCGGAGAGGCCGGACCGGTGTTTCTCTCCGTCGTAGGCGTAATCAGGGAAGTCGTCCAGCTCGCCGGCCCGACTGGCCGGCCTCTTCCCTTTCTCTAAACTTGCGGCTAGTCTCGTTGCGCGCCGGATGAGGTCTGGGAGACTGGTCAGACTCCCTCTCGCCTCGGCCTTGCGCACCGCATCAATATCCAGGCGTGGTGGCCGCCGTATCGCCGAAAAGCGGCTGTAGGTCCGGTCCGCCGAGGGTTGGTCAGGGGACGGCGTGGTTCGCTGAGACGTTGTTGACGGGTCATCAGCACTCGCAGAGGAATAAGCATTCAACATGGTGTCCGGGGTCACGGCCACGCCGATGGGCAGCCTTGCCATTACCGGGATCGTGCCGGACGAGCTCGAGTTTTCCAGGTAACCTGTCCCATCCTTAAAAGGGCCCTGAACTGGCTGCGGCCCAGGCCGCTGATCACGGCCCGCCGTATCCGCTCCTCGGGGAAGGGCCGCGGTCACCAGCGTGGGCTTCGCTCTCTTCCCTATGCTGGCGTTTCTTACTAGCCGGCTCTCCTCCGCGTCGTCGTCTCCGTATCCCTCCTCAGCAATCCCTTCCCCATAAATCGGATCCGGGAAATCGGGGCTCGGTCCTGGCGAGGGCGAACCCCAATTATCCGGCATCGCAGCACTCGACGCGAACGAGGTGTGAGACCGAGTCCGCGGGCTCTCCTCGGGTATCGGGGAGACAAACGAGGCGTTAGAGTAAAATGAGGAAGCGCCCCGTCTCGCGGACGGTGGCGGTCCGAGATTGACACTCCTCCGCGGAGGCCCGGGTGGTATTTGTGCGGGGAGCGGAAAGTCGGGGATCGATCCAACGGAAGATAGGGTCGAGGGCCGCGACGCGCTAGACGGGGTCTCCGGTACTGCCAGCAACTCCTGGCCGGTAGATTCCCTCCCGGATCGGGGTCTGTACTGAAAAACTGGTGTGTGGTCCTGCACCTTGGAAGCGTCCAATATCGAAGGTACCCTGCTCGGGCGCGGGGGTCGTTGAGGCGGTTGTGAGTTACCCTGCGGCGGTCGGAACGGCTCGCCGTCGACCTGGGTAGGCGCTATGATTGATTCCGGCAAGGGCCATTGCGGAGCTGGTGACGGTCTCGAGATGGGCACGCCGATCTGGCCGTCCCTCGTTTGCAACGGGAAGGGTGCCTGTGGGCGGACGTCTCGCGGTCGTCCGGTCGCCGATCCTGCGGCCGGCTGACGAGAAGCGGATGGCCGGGCCATTTGAGGTTCTTCTGGCGGAATGGCCTCTCTCGGTAGGCCCGCGGCGGCGCGTTCTCTTGCCCGCCTGATGGATCCCAACCCTGGTCGATCCATATCGCTCCCATCTTGAGGATTCATTTAGCTAGGACTGCTTATACCGCGCCACATGCGGAGCCCCTCTAGTCCTCTCTCCTGTCAGATACTCGGAAATCCTCCCAACTCTTCTCCGCTGTCCGAATGGCATAGGGGGGGCGTGGCGACAGTGCGGGTCGTCTCCAGAGTGTAGTCGTGGGTCCTAGGCCGCAATTCGTAACGGAATCTGCTAGTCCCCTCGGCGAGTCGGTGGTGTGCTATCAACTTTTCTTTCCAAGCTTTTAAACGGCGGCAACAGGGTCGCGCAAACAGCGGGACCCAACTTCGAACCCAAGGTCGTGGAACCGGTTGGTGGTGTATGTAGCCGCAAGCAAACAACGAACGAACGAACGCAATCTATGCCAATGAAGAACGATAATGAAAGAAACCAGCAGGCATGTAACACAGCGCCAGCTGGGTTGGACCAGAGCAAACACGAGAAAAGAATGACTTTGTTAGCAGGCCAATGACCTTCGACCGCGCGAAGGCAGGAGGGCGAGGCAGTCTGTCTGTCCTCCGAAGGAGAGAGTGGTCAGCCGGCGGGCCTTGCAAGCAAGGAAGCAAGCAGCAAGAAACAGCGACAACGGGAGAAAGAAAGAGAGGGGTGCCGCAGCCAGGATTGTCCGTGCAACATTGTTCCAGAAAAGCCTTTTGCCAGATTTGCCCGATCAAGATGACCCGACCAATGCGGGCTCGAGCGGGAGGGTGGCTTTGCCCGTGGTCGCAGCAAGCGTGGGAACCCCCCCTAAACAGCCGGATCGCAGAAGGGGTCCGGCTGGGAGGGTGCCATCACGTACGTTTGGCGTTTCGATGACTCGTGTGGGCATCCCTGTCGCCACACACTGCCACTCGCCATCTATCCACTTGCTTCTCAGCGGCCGTTGAATGCAAAGGCAGGATAAACAGAGCATCTATCAATCTACATAAACAGTAGACGATACTGGCTCAACCTGTCCTACTGAGTCCTTATTCGACCAACAACCTGCCTCGAAATCGGGAGGCAAGGGCGGCGGCAGGACGGGTCGCAGTATGCAATCCAGGGGCGGCACGCCGGGAATCCGGGACTGACCAGAGTTGGGAACGGGAAAGGGGGGAGGGGAGGGGGAGGGGTGGAAGGGGGGGGTCCCAAGATGAGATTGTGCACGTACGAGAAGACGGGGTGTGCGCGGACAAGTCCCCCGTTTCAGGATAGCGGGACAGGTAGGATTTTGGACAGAGCTTCCCAGCAAAAGCAACCGCGACACCGTCTGAAGCTTGGTGATCAAGAGAAAATCAAGCAGCGCCCGCAGGAGTCCGAGGTGCCGTGCTCTGGGCATCCAGAAAGTCGGTAGCTCGGGGACCTTCGTGGGCTGATGACTGATAGTCGGGGAGTCGATGGCTTAAGAGACGTCGTACGAGCAGAAGCGCCAAAAATAAAAAGTTCCGGAAGACCGACCGCACCAAAATAGTGGCGGATGGAGATAGCTTTGCGGCAAGAATGTAGCCAGGAATACTTGTACAATAGAAAATGAAAGTGAGGCGGCGGTGCCAAGTCCACGCGGTTTCGAAGTGAAGTTTTGAAGAGAGAGGAGATGCTGAGAAGTTCAGACGATGACAACTTGCAAAGTCTACCCGCAACAAACCGCCACACCCGGGTCACAGGATCACAGGACTTGACGCAGAAAAGGATACGAGAGAGAATGGAACAAACAGATGACAACGGTCGAGAAAGACAGAAAGTGCAAGGCCCCGACCGCACCAGTGAGGGATGTGATACAGGCCCCTTGCAGCCGTCGGAGGAGGACCGCCTCAACGCCCCCAGGCCAAGATGGAAATGAAGGATGGTCAACAAGGATGAAGGCAGCATTCGGGAGACTCGCGAGCGCGGCGGGCTCACCATCGAGGACGGTGCCAAAAACGGCTAGGCAGAGTCGCAACGGAAGTTGCTGGGATCCAGCCACACAGTTGGTTTTGGAAACTGGAGACGAAACAACGTGTGGGTTTTAGTCGATGGATTAACTAACCGTGGCACCAGCAGGCCAAACCTCTCCCACAATACCGAGGGAAAAGGCACTGTGATATGGAGGGCTCGGCTGACTGTGACGGCGCCATATCCCTGCGGCGCAGAAAACAGAAACTGAAAAGATGATGCGAAAGAGTGTTGCCGGCGCGATTTGCTCAGCCGTCTTGACCGGCCTTGGATTGTAACGCGAGAAGTGCTTTGCGCACCACCTATGGTGGAGACAGGATGTCAACCGAAACCGATCACCTCACAAATTGAAAGAGGAGCAGCGTCCGTGCGCCACTCGGATGATTCGCCCTCAATGTTTTGGTTCGAGATTTCCCAGTACAAGTTGACAAGCCAATGACGCTCGGAAAATGACGGCCTTCGACAGATGGCAAGTGCAGTCTAAAATTACGGCGTCAAATTTGGGTGCGGCGTCACGTCACCGAAAAGTCAGACAGCAGGAAGCAGTGACCCATCAGGTCCCGGGTCTGATTGCAAACCAATGGCGGAACGATATGGATAAGAGGGGGGGGGTCTGACGCTCAATCGAAAACGCTAGCGCAGTCACTCGCAGGAACCCGCAGCGCTCGGCAGGGCAGGTGGGGCTATGGGGTTGCATCGAATGAGATCGCGCACCCGGACAACCCTGAAAAATCCTTGGAACCCTCGAAACCCTGAACAAACGACCTTCACAAACCTGAACTACCTTACCTCCTAAAACATCTTTCGACGGCGATTGGAGTCGCCGTATCAAGAATATGAACCTCGCTGCTGGGAGGTGCAACGGGCCAATAGGCCTACCCATCTTCTACTCGTTCCTATAGCGACATTGGCTTCTTGAAAACTTCCGAGACAACCCATCAGGTGGGAAACAATGGGAAAGCCTTCATGTCGTTTGGACTGCGCTAATGTACCCAAGAATACAGCGCAGGATAGGGTCCATACATAGATGCACCTGTATCTATGCGGCCCCTAGCCGACCCAGATGTCGGATGACGGTCGCTTGGATCTCTATTTTGAGCTCGAGAGCCCCTTTTGCGTAAGCGCGCACGTATGTTGTATTGTGTAACTGTTATGCCAGGCACCCAAGCAGGATGTAGGACAACAATACAAAGTATGCACTAAGTTAGCACCGGCAGTGGTGCGGCGCGGGGGGCGGGCAAAGGATCTTTATCCAAAATATAAAATGCATTTGGAAGAGATTATCTCGAATGCGATGGGGCCCACACTCCCGAAGGAAGGTAGGGACAGCTGCGAGCGTCAAGAAGATGGTCAGCATCGCAATGTCAGCTTGTTCAAAACAGCCAGGGAAGCGCCACGGCCCAGGTCGGAATGAATACATGTCAAGAAGGCGTGAAGCGCTAGAATCTGAACAACAACAAACTCCTCAAGGTCCGAGTTCATATCCATCATGACGGGCGTCCGTAGATCATTCGTCGTTCATAGCTCCATGTCCGGCTCACCCGACCAACCAAGCCAGAGGAACCCGCGCAAGGCGGAGGAGCGCGCGCAAGGGGCGAGCTTATAAGATGGCACACTTTTCCTTTCGCCTCTTCCTGCGGCGTCTTTTCGCGGCTGGGTCTTCTGCCCGTAGAGGATAGGGATCGTCACGCATGTCGTCGGGGCTGTCGTCCCGTCGCAGCATTTGTCGACAAAGGTCAATGAAGGCCTCGTCGACGTTGGCTAAAGTAGATAGCCATGTCAGTCAGTCTGCGGCTCCGCCGTTTGCTGGGTGGGTACCTACTTCGTGTCCTGGCGCTGGCTTCATAGTAGGGAGCGCTCCACCGCTGGGAGAGGGAGAAGGCCTTGGCACGATCCACCGCCCTTTGATCCTCCAGGTCGGCTTTGTTTCCGACAATCACGATCGGGATGTCCTCATCATCCTTGATGCGGATTATGTCGTCTCGGAGCGTTTCTAGTTCCTCAAACGAGGTCCTCGACGCTATGCTGAATACCAAGAGGAAGCCCTGGCCGGTTTTCATGTATAAATCTCGCATGGCCACTGCGCGTGGTGTTAGTGAAGTAAACGGAAACTTGAATGCTGAATGGCACCTACCGAATTGCTCCGTGCCAGCTGTATCGAGACTGGTTATGTGTTAATTCAACACTCCACCCCAAATGGAGTTGCTCGAAACTTACATCTCCAACATTACTTGACGGCCCTGGGTCACAAACCATGTTAGTTATGCTTCCGGGATTAGAGGATCTTAGACGCGACTTACATCAACGGCCCTTTGCGTCCTGTACGAGTCCTCAATGGTAGGATCATAGCTCTCAATCCATTCGTTGTGTACGAACTGGGCTGTTGACAAACACGGTCAGCAACGAAAGGGGTTCAGGGGATTCCCCAAATGTGGGGGCCTCTGCAGCACGTACCAGTCAAGCAGCTCTTCCCCACGCCACCTTTTCGCAAGCAGGAACCTATGTCAGCAGATGTTGCATGTGATGAAAGGTCTTGGCAGAAGAAGGGTTTCTCTCTCTGCTGTTCAGGGGGGAGCCAGAGTGGACACACCTGCACCCAGAACGACCACATTGAATTCCCGACTGAGTCACAATATGTTAGCATGACGATGTTGCCCAAAAACCTCAATAAAAAAGGCAGGCATTGTTAGGATGAGAGTGGAAAGAATGGAGACAAGGAAGGGCCGGGATTCGGTCGGGATGACCCGAAGTTCGTTCGTCGAGATCAGACGGAATCCTAGAAAACTTGGAATTGAAAAAAAGGGGGCTCTGCTCACCAAGGTTGGTAGCTGAATTTCGACGGCATTGTCCCCGAAATCGATCCACCCCAGACAAATGGATGGCAGGCCGGCGACGCGCTTGTGACGCTTCGCACCTGGATCCTCTTTCCCCGTCCTTCTTCACCGGGTCTCTTCGCGCCAGCTCCTCACGGGACGCCGAAAGGGCGGATGCGGCGGGTCACTAGGCCAGAGGCTTCTACATGCAGAGAAACCAACCGGCGTCGACACAGGACATTCGGGAATCGGGTGGGGAGGGAAATCGGTTGGACTGGGAGGAAGGGGAAGGACGAGATGTGATTCTTTCTCCCCTTGGCCCAGAAATTTTGGGAACCCTGGACCCCCAAGACTTCCAGAGGGCGGCGGCGGCGCTGGGACCCGACCGACAAAAATTGGGGGCTGCGAGCGACGCCCCGGGGGGGCAGGGGTACACAAGCGCGGAGGAACGGGATTCGCAGGCCAGCCGGAGCGGCAGTTTTAGCGGGCCGTGAGAATCGACAAGCGAGCGGTTGAGCGTCGCCGATTGCCGGCTGCACCGTGCGTGCGCAGGGACCGAGCGTAGGGTCGTTGGGTCGTTGGGTCGTTGGGATGCCCTAGTGAACGTTCGGACGACCCTGCAGGGCTAGGTTGCTAACTAGTGTAGGTTGGGATGAACTTGTTCGGTCGGAGACGCGATCAAGCGAGGTAAAAAAAAAGAAAAAAAAATGGATGTATGGGCTGTTGTGTGTTGTAATATCCAGACGATGGCAAGGCGATATTCGTACCTCTTCTCTCTCTCACACAGACACACGCGAGCGAGCACACACACACACACAATAGACGTTAAAAGCGTAACTTCGTACCGACGATGCAACTTTCGCGCAGCTCAAGTGGAAACCAAACAGTCGATCTCCCTGGCCTGGCCCGAGCGAATCCGGAGCCACGGCGCTGGCTGACGCGGGGCGGATGGAGAAACCGGTCGGTCTGTGGCCGGATTGGTCCGATCTGAGCCTGGAAGCTGCGAATAGAAAGGTAGAGAGGTTCTAGACCTTCTCGTGTTTGGGATCAATATCGGCGCCGAGGCGAGATCGCACACGCTCTAGCCAACAAAAATAGCGAGCAACTCTACACTGTCTTGAGACTGTAGATGGTGCTCGAGCAACGCAATAGTGATATACCGCCGCATACCGCTTCAGTCCACCAAGTGTCTCGGAGGACAAGCCTCCCTTTTGTCTTTTTTCCCCCCTTCCTTGCCCCGTGCGCGCACCTTCCGGGACTGACGCACAACAGTTGCAGAGGCTTGCAGGACGGTAACCCAAGTGACTGGATGGATCAGGACACAAGCGAGGCTGATGGACCGACCAAAACGGGACTTGTCATGCTGCAACAGCTTTGCTTCCGGACCAGAACCGACGCAGGGCAACAAAGCTGCATGGATGTTCAACATGCTCAACCAATTCCATCCCATGTTGCCCCCTGCTCTCAACCAACGACATCCGCTGTGGATGCAAGCCAACTCTGGTAGCCACACCGCATTGTTGTGTGGATAGACGGCACAAAGTAGGTACATACATTAAATGCAGGAACACGCCAGGGTCTCCAACTTGCAGTTGGACGGGCAGCAACTGCTGCAAACAGGAAGCCGCTCCTCCGCGCAACACACGGAAGAGGCCAATCGCTCCTTCCAGGCTTTCGAGTTGCACCACCTCACCAGTGCTCATCATCTTTCCCCGGTCTCCGCCACTTTCTAAATCGCCCCGATCTACATCCACCGGTTTTGGTCTCTTACTGGGGACTCGAAGCTCACGTCTGACATCATTGTCATTCGTTTGATCGCCAACAAGCACTGGCCGGTGGCGCTGGTGTAACACACTCACACACAACACGGCCAAGTGTGCCTCAACTTCCTGTAAATGTTCCTCAAGTTTCCGCCGAGAGGCCCGCCACGCTGCACAACCTAGCACAACTTTTTCCACACGGACAACCCCATCTGCCTCTGTGGCGAACAGCTCTCTGGTTGTTTCAATCCCACTCCCTTAAGCGCTGAAAGTGCGGGCGTCTTGGATGGCTCGGGTGGTATCTTGGACTGCCTCATCAACTCGTCGACCAACCAGAACCGTCCCCCACGACAGTTCCGGTAGTTACACAGCGGCGCGTGGGGGTTTTGCGGTCCTCTTCGAATCCGCTTCTCCACACCTCTCTTCACCATCGATGGCATCGCGGAAAATCGGCCACAACTTGAGATCGTACTGAGTCGGGCACCAAGACCCGAACGCCGTGTTACGCCGCAGCTCGTATCTTGATGTGTTTGTTCTTGTTCGCCCCGATGGGCGGTCACAAGCAGTACTTTTTTTCTGATGCATCAGATTTGGGCCCTGATATGTGTTCCGGCCTAATGAATGTGACGCCAATGGAGCTGGCCGTGGGTGTGATGCTTTATTCCCTTTTCACCGGTATATGCACCCCACGGCCAGGTCATAAAGTGAGAAATTTCTCATGTTACGTTTTACCGCACGTGTCACGGCGTGCCGGGATTAGGAAGTCCTATCCAACAATGGCATAGTAAGCATTGGTAACTCAAGAACCATCGGTCTGATAGTGGGATGGACAAAGAACCAACTGATCCCGAGCTATGATGGTCCAACTTCGGAAAGACAAGTTGTCTTTTAAATCCCGTAGATATCTCTAACGATTCAAGTCCTGGAGGAAGTAGCGTAATGTGAGGTCTAGATAAGATAAAGTATCAAGTTATGAATCTCGCTTCACGTCTTGCATTTGCGCCTCACCACTGTCTGTGGGTATCCTTTGTGTCTTGCCGCTCGGTTTGTTGGAGGTGCCACTACCCCAAAGTCTAAGGCCTTGTCCCTTCCTCTCAGCGAATTTGAACGGGGTCCCATGCATCTCATGCTCTGCGGCAACATCGTCGAAGGTTTTCCCTTCGGCAGCCGCTGCTTTCCGGATCTTCCGTGTCCGTGCCAGCCATATCAGGTGAGATGAGAAGATGCCAATCTCCAGAATACAGCTGGGTGATTTCGGTCAGAATTCTGAGTTATGATGCAAACCGTAATGTGAGCCACTTACCACACGATGTAGAGGACGCCCCCGAGGACGTCGAAGGTATTTTGGGTAACTGCATTTGTCAGCTCATCAATAAAGGAACCCTGCGTGAGCTAGATAGATATGCCTACCCAAAGCCATGAGTGAGAAGAATGCGCCGGACCAATCCATCGCGAGGAAGACCTGCTCCACTCAACAATCACATCTCATCTGGAAGCGCCTTCGGGATCCCTTACCCAGTTGATTCCGATTACTCTCCCCCTCCGCTTCCACAACTCTCCGTATGGTGGGAGAAGCCCGGCGGCGAGGAGAACGGCAGCTATTATCCCTACTACCATGATCGGGACCTCGTTGCCTCGGTCGTATATCGGCTAACGGGGTTGAATTCGTGAGCTGGGCGCTTTGGGAGCCATATACAGCCTACCTTTAACGTGAGTATCAGCGCGGCTTCAACACCCGCGAAGATGATGGCTACCGCAAGACCCAACAGCGAAGCCTTCCACGCAGGCCAGTTGCTATCATGCAGCATCAGTGATTGTCCCCTTGGATGAGACCCCCAAAAAGTACCGTACCGATGGTAAAGAAGGATCTGCGCCCATGACACGAGGCAAAGAGCCATGAAGATCTGCGGCTGCACTTGGAGAGGTATGTTAAAGTTCTGAGCAATCGCATACACCCCGAATGGAAGGCCGCCTGCGAATCTGGTCAGACTCAAGGGCCATAGGTAGCAGGTACGGCGTTTGGATGGCCCAATGGGTACGCACATAGAACCCAAAGAAACATCATCAAACCCGGCAAGCCGTCTGTCTTTTTTGTTCGCCAGTTGGTCCATATTTGGGGGACGAGCTGGAGAGAGGTCAGTGGCTGGGAAATGAGGGCGAAGGGAGGGGAAGGGCTGACCTGGATACACCAGAATCTGGAAAATGAATGAGCATGTCTTTTTGAAACGCGGGTATCCCCCATCCCAGCTGGTGGATGCTTACACTTCCATATGTTAATTTCGACGTCTTTTTAAGCTGTTGTTGAACTAGGGGCCAATTCTCTCACCTGTGCCGATTGTCTATTCGGCGAAGGGCGTCAGCGTACCTGTCAACCGTAAAAAGGGGCGAACAGAGGTTCGGCACTCACTCCTAATACATTAGCTGCCTTCAGTTTGTATGGAGGTATTAGTACCCGTGGGCATGGAGATAAGAAGAGTTGGGAGGTGGTTCGTTCATACAACAGGGATGTCCGTCTGGGGAGCCATGAAGGCGCAAAGGGTGTTTGGTGAGACGGTAATAAAATGAGAGTATGGAAGCCTGAGGTATAATGTCTACCGAAGGCCGGTGAGATACACCTCGAGTTGAGTTGAGAGACAAAGAGGACGGGCGATCGGATCTCCTGGGCCGGGCATGTTTTTACCCCCGCGCATCGAGCTTGCTAGTTATCTGGAATCGATTATGTCACATTTTTGAACGGGGAGATACCACTCGATTACTATGGAATCATCATCCTCGTCTAAATGTAAATACTAAGGTAATCACCACGAAGCTTTTCAGATGCCTGGGTGCCTGGGTGGGATAATGCAGACGGGCACAAAACCAAGCTCAGGCAGGTGTTGAAAACGCCAGTTCCTGAACACCTAAGTTTCGGGGGACAAAGTGCTCCGCACTGTGTATTCTGGAGCTAAATATGTGGGCGGCAGGTGCCAACCTTGCCGTATTGGCTGTTAAAATACAGTGTATAAAGTGAGCATCCTCAATTCGTACTGTCCATCTAAGAATTTTCGGTGCAAATGATTGAGACAGATGCTGCTTGCCCGGTCTTGAATCTCGTTCATTTTCACAATCAACCTCACTTTCCATTGTTGAAGAACATTTGACAACATCAACAATCAAGGCCAACAATATCACATCGGTCTATCTCACAAGAATCTATTTGGACCAAAAACCGGATACAAACAACTTTCACGTCGCCTCACTAAACAGACGACCTCCACATCGGCAAGCAACATGACAACCGAGGAGCAGAGCAAAAAGAGAAAGGTGCAGGACGACGACAAGCCGCGCAAGAAGCAAAAGAAGCAGAAGAAGGTGCGGGAGGATGAAGGCGACCTGGACGTGGAAGCGGGCCTGAACCGGGCTTTCGAGCGGATGGACGGCCAGCTGGCCGCAGACTACATCGCCCAGAAGACACGCCGCTTCGGGACAGATCTAAGCCCGGTCGAGCTGTCGGATCTGTACATTTCGGGTGAGTGCTCAGGGCTGGCGGTCATGGCTTGTGGCCATTGCTGAACGACTGATAGGCTAACGATGGGGATGAAGCGAACCATATCAAGGACAGCACATCGTGGGAGAAGCCGCGGTCGCTGGAGAACTTGGCCGATTTTTTGGAGGCGTTCGCGGGGGAGTCAGAGAAGTTGGACCGCGCGCCCAAAAAGAATGGATCGCCACACACCCTCATCGTGGCGGGCGCTGGATTGAGGGCGGCCGATCTTGTTAGGTATGAACGATTGTTGAAGTTGTCGAGACCCAGCTAGGGTAGGGTATGCAAAGACTTTAGATGGGCTAACCTCGAGGCGTAGGGCGGTGAGGAAGTTTCAGAAGAAGGACAACTCCGTAGCGAAGCTGGTAAGAAAGCTCTTCCCACTTTGCATGTTAACGGAACAAGATGACAGCTAACGGGGCTCAGTTTGCGAAACACTTCAAACTCGAAGAGCAAGTCTCATTCCTACAGAAGAGCCGGACCGGGATCGCAGTCGGGACGCCACAACGTCTGATCGACCTGATTGAGAACGGTACGATACCAAATCATCCCACAAGAGTATCCTTGCTAACGGGCCCCAGATGCTTTATCCCTCGAGAATTTGAAGAGGATCGTGGTGGATGCCTCGCACATCGACCAGAAAAAGCGAGGCATTGTGGACATGAGGGAAACGATGCTACCTCTTGCGAAATTGTTGTGCAGAGAGGCACTGAAGGAGAGATATGAAGACGACACAGCCAAGCATATCGACTTGATCTTTTATTAGCACCTCCCTTTAGATACCATCACATTATAGATCTCGAGCGTGTTGACTTATCTCCTAGTACAAATTACCAAAATGGGAACACAAAATGGCAGATTTGGCAAGGAGGCGGCTTCCTGAGATGATCCAGGTGGCCGTACCGTCAGGGTAGCCTTCATTTCAGTTTCCTGAGCTTGGCCTCAAGGCATCATCTTCCTCCTTTCACAACGACGAACGGTAGTAGCATCCGCGGAGGCGGGCACGACTCCATCAGGCTAGCACATACAGCAGAGAGTCGAATAGACAGATAATCGCTCTACTCGGGTCGCCAGGGACACAGGAAATATCAAAATGAGATCGCGGGAAATAGTATCAAGTATGCAGATTGATTCCAAGTTATGATAACTAGTTCAACCCAGCTCCGATGTTCGTTTCTCCCACCCAAGCACTGCGGGCGATACCGAACCACGAGAGACGCGGGCCCCAAAACCTTAACATTCCAGGTTTCCTATGTCTGATGACCCGTTAGTCAAGCGTCTATGACCAAGCGGTGGTATGGGTGCAATAAGAGCGGGGTGATGTCGTGGTGTTCAGAATATGTAAGAAATGACTATCATGTGTCCGCCGGATTTAGCCGCCCCGGCGAAAGGGGGCCATCCAAGCGGTATCAATCGCAAATTACGCTCATCATGACGACAACGCGGTGAAGATGCTGGGGGTATGACAAGAAGAGATGCGAACGTACCTTGAGTAGGCGAGATGGTGTGTTGCTGAGGGGCAGCAGGCAGAGCGGAACGAGGCAGCTCGATTCCTGATGGTTGCCGTCCAACCCCGACTTACCTTGTGTATCGGATCACTGCATTGCAAGTGCCAATGATCGAGATATTTTTAAAAACTCGAGATTACCCTAGTGGGGATATTCTCAATACCGTCGGGCGGTCCCGTCGAGTATGCGGCGCACAGCATTGAGTTGCCGACAAAATTGTTTTGTAGTTGTTCTGTTGCGAAGGAAAATTTCAGAGGGCAGCATTTTTATGGTCGTTAAATTTCTACCAGTGTATTACTAATCCACCCATTGGTGGCCATCGGTGGGGCCGCTGGGGTGGGTCGGGTTCCCGGTCCGTCGACAACGCCAACAACTAACACTCTTCCCGGATGATGCGCCGAGTTCTGCACAACCGAAGTTGTCAGGACTTGGGGTGGAATCTGTCTGTGCTACGTTTGGCATGAAGTTTGATGAACTGAGCACGTAGATACGGCGTCATATTCCGATCTTAGATCCCAATCACTGGCAGGCACGCGCTCGAAGGTGCATCGCGCTTGCCGGTGCTATCCTACCTACCTAGGTACCTGGGAAACCACAAGAACGCAAGCTTGTGTTCCACCGCAGCATTTTAGGGTCGGGATGGATCTGGTGTTGGACCCAAAATTTGCAACCCTGATGCTCATTCGCCCTACATAGAACCACTGTAGACCTGGGTTGCAATCCACTAGCGCGATACCCTGATAGACCAGGTGTGCTCTTCGTTGGACGGCCGCTCACCATCGATACGCCCTGTCGATGGTGGACGCATCACCCAACGAGGACCAGACCCGTCCGAATGGGGTGGGTATCACATACGTTAATCGCACAGCTTCCGAGCCAAGACAACCAGCCCAACCCAACCAAACCGACCCTCAACTCCCGCCCTGGAGCAACACCAGCCCGACATCCAAAAGCCAGGCCAGGCCAGTCCAGGCCCGCCCCCCAACATCCGTCAGAGCCAACCCATCTCTTGACAGCCCTTAGCAGGGTGTGCCGCAGTACACACAGAGCCGGCCCTCGAATACCCACACTTCCACCCCGCTGATGGCACAGGTCGGGCAGCGGACACCAGGCAGGGTCTGCGTCGGGAAAGGTATGTCAGCGATGTGAGTGCTACTTGGTGGAAGTGTCGACTTACGTTTGCCGTTTTGGTGAGCTCGGGCATGGTGGGTTTGCGAGGTGCTCTCGGGGAAGGTTGACAGTTGGTTGTGATATCGATGATTCTGTGGAGGGGGGTTCTTACTGCCGAGTGTTGTTTTGAGAGGGGAGTCAATGGAAGCGAACAGCAGAGGGAAGGGGTTCGATATTTTATAGCCGACAAAAAAATACTCTCCGTGGCACGACTCTTACGGAGGATAGGGGACGGGCGGCACTCTCGGCTGCTGTGCTGGCCGAGCTGGCCGCGCTTTTTTGCCTAACGGAAGCGGGGAAGAAAGATCAACGACGCTTGGTGCCAACCGGCGATAGTGTCCGGCTCATGATGAGGTGCTTCCGGGGCTTCTCACCCGAACTAGATTTGGGGGGTCTCATGGAGGGGACCTGGATTTGAATGGAAGCTGACCCGCCAATAACCTTGAACTCACAAGGATACAACACGCGATGCCACTCAAACAACAAATATGAAAAGTTACACAGCAACCCTCCAACCCTCGACAGCCAGTCGTTCCGTTTGTCAGGGGTTTTTATTCTGCTCCCCAGAGCAGCAGAGGAAACCCAGGCCCGACCCAAATCAACATATCCTAGCCACTGTCAAACCATCCGGAACCCTTACCGGCCAGCAGCGGCAGCACGTAGCAAACGAAAGCTGGCCTCCGGAAGGATCGACCAATCCAAAAGGGATATGTCACATCACGAAAACGGCCCGAGTCGCACAGCGTTCGCTCTGCAAGGATACAGCTCTACGGATATATGTTGCTTCCCCAGCGGCCGCCCACGCTGTCATGCGATCTTCCGATAATAGTCACGCTAGAAGACGAAATTGTCATGGCGCATGAAGAAACTGACAAGTTAAAAATATGTCTGTGTTAGCGCTGTTATGCAGACCTGAAAACTGACGAGAAGCAGTTGACACCAACAAAAGCAAATGCGATCCTACTAACCTTTGAACTGTTGCAAACGGAGCTCTCCAATACCCTCGACCCCTGAATTTGTAATATCTGACAGGCAACAAGAAACCTCACACCCGTTACCCTCAAGGTCCGCAAGGGGCAAGGTATTGTTCAGAAGACTGATGAAAAGTACCGGAAAATGGATATGGGTCATGAGGGAAACCAGGCGCAAAAGAAAGTTAGCTTTATTGGGTATCCTGCGCAATCCAGCAAAAGCATTTCGCTCGCCGCCATATATCTAAGTGACAGCCGTATCCAAAAGAAAAAGGAGCGAAAGAAAGTAGCCGGCCCATGACTGTGAAGCCCGCCGCCCAAGTATGTCCTGTAAACCAAAAACCCACCCTCAGTGTTGCGGCGGCAGTGTGCGCCAACCTGCCCATGTGTATCCCAAAATCCCGATACCAGGCCAACTTGGAAAATGGCTGCCTATGCCGTAAGTAGCCAAAAAGTGATATACGAGAACCAAAACTTGAGAGATTCCGCCAAAGATTCCGCCTAGGGAAACCACCGGTAGATAGGTAAGCTCCTAAGAGCCCTAAGCAACCGACACCCCCTGCCCCTTCAAGACCTTCTTGATCTTGACAAACAGCTTCCCTTCGAGGGGGCTGCGCTTAGCCGGATGGAAGAGATTAATACACCGATACCCCTGCTGGAGGCGATCCAAACGAATACAAGACCAGGCAACCACGTCGCTGCTAAAGTTGCCCGAGCCATCGGAGACTTTGAACCTGTGCACCAACCTTGCGTTAGCTTCCATTCCAGTACCATAGCCGGGATGTAGTCCAATCGTCGCTTACCTCACAAAGCTGAGCTCCTCCACCACCTGCTTCACGCCAAAGAAATCCAGGCTCTTCGCCTCGCGTCCCCAGTCAGGGTGTTCGGTGCGGGCGGTCACCGTCTCCCGCGCACAGTCTACGGAACGCTGTGGCTTCTCAGCCTTCTCGACGTGCAGTTCGACCTTGACCTTGGGCCTGAAACTCCGATCAGACTTGATTCCGAACCCGCTGCTCTTGCGGTCGCCCGGCAGGGGCAGGAACTGCCCCGCCAGGATCGTGATCTGTAGGTCGAGGGTCTTGCGGGGCATGCCGGACATGAGGTACATTTCGGAGGTGGTGTTGTCACTGAGCAGGGCCGGCGGCTTGAGGATCCAACCGTTGGTGCCGGCGAACATGGCATCGTTGATTAGCATGCCCTCGTCGCTCTTTTGCCAGTTCATGGCCACCATCTGCACCCCCCTGCGCCAATGGAAGCTCGGGTCCGGGTTGCTGCTATCAACGCGCAGGCCCTTGGGGTAGATGCGCATGAAGAAGTCACGGTTATGTTTGAGCATCTTTTGTAGTTTGTTGTGATCTTCGGTTAGCGCTTCGAAACTGTCCTCGCTGAGGCTGAAGATGTGGCTTGGTGCCTGGCAAGTGTCTAGAGAGCTGTCGTCGGTGTAATGCTGGCTGTGTGTGTATATCGCTAACTCGGAGAGCGCTCGGCAGATGGGTGGCTTTCCATTGAGGGCGGGGATTGAGATGCTCCGCCCCCTCTCCAGATCACCCTCAATGCGGCTATCATCAAAACGTTTCGTTTTAATCAGGATCTTGTTGTACAGCTCCTCTAGCCGCGGCTGCCGGTGAAGCGGATCGCAGGAATCGAAGTGCTTGTCTAGTAACAGCCCGTTCCATTCTTCTTTCATGATCTTGACCATGACCTCTTGCTGCTCCCAGTCCGCACCGACCTCGAGGCTGATGATGATGGGAAGGGGGTTCTTTTCAAACGCACTTTCCCGAATGGCCCGGCACACTTCCCGGAAACCTACGGTCGAGGTCATTGTGCCGTGGTGGTGCACTACCGGCTCGGCTCTGTGGTTCGACCGTGACGAGTCTCTAGATTTTTCGAGACGGTCGCCCAAGTCCTTTGGGTCCAGGGTGGTACCGCTCTCGCAAGGATCTAACTGGGGGAAAGGTCCCTGGACGGCACTCGGGCTACGGCTATGACCTCGGCTTATCCTGGAGCCAACAAGCGCATCAAGCTTCTCTCCGGCAAAACGGGGCAGAGAACCAGACGAAAAGTGTCTCTTATGTCCTGGATTCGGCGACTTGGACGGTGTTCGGGGAGCGGATCCGTTCCAGACGTCGATTTCGATGCAACGACAACCATTCCTTAGAGCCTACGGATGCTTGTCAGTAATCTGTTACCAGGCAGTGCAAGCGTACGTGGTACTTACAGCACGGTAAGCCTCAGCTGAACTCTTGGAAGAAAGTTGGTTGCCTTCAAGGTAAGTATTGTGGCTGCTGCTAATAAAATAGTTGCTAATTGGGCGCGTTGCATCGACCTCTTGTTGCTGCTGCTCCCCGGCCGCTCGCCAGGCCGACTCGGTTTGGCTCCATAGCCAGAAGAATTCGTCGAACCTGTAATAGCCGGGTCTTTGGGGTTGAAATTCCTTGGCATCTAGGAATCCAGGCTCGACTCCCTGTGTCTCTCTCAGGAAGGCCTCGAGTCTTTCGCGTGGTAGAAGAGCGCTGTCCTTGCGCGGGTTTATATCGTCGTAAACGTGCCTAACGTGCTTCTTGAAACACTCGTGGAAACTCGAAATGATCTGGACGCCAGTGAGAGCCTTGACGTTGAAGGCGAGTGCCGTGACGATAACCTCCCGCATAACATGCCTTCCATGGGGAGGTGCGCCGAGTCCGAAGGTGGTAGTCATGCGACGGACGAAGTTCGACTTTTCTTCCCTGCGAAACTGGAGATGAATAGCCTGGTCAGCACTTGTCTCATCTCTTTCGAATACACAATGATTCGAATATCGAGAGTATATTTGTCAGGAACATACACAAAGAAAGCCCATTTTGGCGGAAAAGTGTCAATTGACAACCTGGCAGAAAGTTAAGCAGCTCGGTATTGGCACCGCAGCCTCGCGCGGTTGGCGTCGGGGAAAGTTGTCAGTCAGGACATCGGTCTTGGGGGAACGGCAGCCGGTTCGCCTCGTAGGACGGGCGGCTGCAAGCGGTGAACCTGACGCAAAGCCCGTATCGTAGGGTTTTAATGTCAGACCAAAATGTAGTCGACAGAGGAAGGAGGAATCCGTTCAGTTCAAGAAAATAGGACCAAGGGGGTGTCTAAAATGCAGCGGCCGACAAGGATGTCAGCAATACCGGGAATGGCTCAGCGGGTGATGTGGGGCCCTCGAGCGATCCCCGCAGCCTGAGGTTTGAACTCCGGCCAATTGCTTCGCCAAACGGTCGCCAGAGGGTGGCCCGGGGCTGTGGTTCGACGGCGCGCAGCACTCCTCGGAAGACACGATGTTAACAAGCTGCCCATTCATCCATCGAACATGACAGGATTTGGGCAGAGTTTCGAGGCTCTACAGACTGCCCAAAGCACTTCCAAGGCCACTCAGATGAAAATACCTGTTCGTCTTTTTTCTAAGCGAATGTGGGGATCGGGACCCTCGTCTCATCTCATCTCACCAGCATCTCATCTTGCTGAAGCGTTCCAGGCCGCGATGGTTTGCAGGGTCCAAGCAGTAAACGACTGCCTGCAACCATCCAGGGCTGTGCATGCAACAAAAGTGGGCCATTTCTCCAAACTTTCCAGTCCGGTCGTCTCAAGAGCCCCAAAGTGTGGAACGCAATTGCATGCGCCATCAGCCCTATCGCATTCTGCCATATTAACAAGGTCGTAGTACGCACTGCGCTGCGACACTCGGGAGCACCGACCGAGTCAATATCGACAGCGGGCCTCGTGGCTGTGCAGTGTAGCCGATGAAGCAGCAGCAGCAGCAAAACCCGAGTTGAGCCTCCCGATGAGACACCGACCGCAAGTGGGCAGTCGCCCATTGAACGCTGTTGTCACGGCCCAACCGGAGACTTGGTTCGACTGGTCCATCCTCGCCAATAGCATCAATTCATAACGAGCAGCCCTGATTTTCCCACTGCGGCTTAAAGCGTGCCCCAGAGCTATCACTACCAAAGTCTAGTCACCGAGTTTCCAAGTTAGTGCATACAAATCTGTCGCTCGCTGCGGAGTGTCGGCCGCCAAATGGCCCCCCCAACCTAACCAAAACCAACCCTCACCAACCATCCTCCGTCGCGCAACCCGCCATTTGTCATTCACTGAACACGGCCCCAATCACCATCCGAAGCACAGTGGTATCCGTTAGTTAGTCACAGATGGCCTTCTGCGCGGCCCCCAACATGGAACAACAGAACACAACAGCAAACAAAATCCCACAGCCACAACCGCCGCCGCCGGCCCTGCCCGCTCCGCAGTTTGGGCAGTCGGGCAGTTCCCCAGACTTTCGCTTCACAGACAGACAAGCAAGCGCCACGCCACCCGCCAGCGTCCACACATCCCAGGTTGCCCACGAGATCTGCCGATCGTGGGCTGCGGGTGCGCCTCAAACGCCCCTCGGCAAATGCGGTTGGTGGGATGAGGTAAGATGTTTGTTTGCTGTCAGGAAATACAACGATCGAGCAATGAGGGAGTGTGCTGCTGCATGAGAGGCGGGGCGCCACGGCTTCCATTTGGTTCGCATCCCTCCCCCTCCCTCATCGACCATGCCACTGCAACTCCCCCACGTCTCCCTCCGAGGTCGCCATTGATCACTTCCAAAGTCAGGTATCAAAAAGTCTCAGTTTAAGGCACGGCACTCTCATATCACTTGTCCCATTTGTCTGTACCTTTTCCTTTTACTATAATACACATTCCCTTCCAACCACCCAGATTTTCAATCCGCCATGTCAGAAATCCGCGTCTCCAGGGTATAAGTAACGAGACTCCTGCCAATCCAGAAAAAAAGACATATGAAACGAACAAGGGCCTCGCCGTCAAAATCCAAATGTATGAACAGTCCTGTGGTCCTGTTCTCAGCCGCTGGCTGTCTGCGCAAGCTTGCTCGAACGGAAATCAGGATGAATATGCTCCACCTGGAGGCGGCCACCTGGGTATAGCTGAAAAGACAGTAACGCCATCAATGCAGGATATCATGTTTTGAATGTATGTTAACAAAAGAAATGTAATCCAGTTAAGGAGACTAGGACCGGTTAACCCCAGATTGGGGCGTGCCGGTACGCGGGGGAATTGTAGCTGTGGAGCACGCGGTATGGCACATTCGGCCCCCGTCCGCTCCGGTCCCCCATGCTACGGTTCCGATAGTGACCCCGGGGCACGTACGGGGGATTCTGCCCGCTCTGGTACCACTGCCCGGCAGCGGCATCGGCCTGGCTCCTGCTCCACGTGGCAGCGGCACCCAGTTGCCCGCTATTGTGCAGGCCATATGACGGCCTGGTGGGGGTAGTGTAGCCGTTCGACATGGACGGAGGGTGTCCGGCTTGGGGGAACCACTGCTGGTAGCCGTAGCCATCGAAGCTTGCGCGGTGTTTGAGGGTTTGTTGGGCCGTTCGGATTTGCCACCCCTGGGCGTTCATGGAGCGATAAACACCCTCGCTGTGGATCGAAGAGATAGAGTTGTGGCGACTGCTGCTCCTAGAGAAAGTTTGAGAGCCTTGGCCTGCCATACCATGATCGGCCTGTGTCTCTCGAACCGGAGAATTATAGGGCGAAGTTTGAGGACTGCGCTGCCGGAATGACTGGAGCCGCCGGGGGTCCATGGAGACTCCGCTGTGCGTCCTCGAGTGTGCAAAACTGCTTCCTACACCGGGTTGGCTCGAGGAACGACTATGAATACTCTCCATACTGGATTTGTTCGTGAGGGCGTGTGCAACAGGATAGCTTTGGATGCTCTCGCGGCTGGCTTTGCGGCTGAGACTAGGCGGCACGCGAAGGGACAAGGGCCGCCTCAGTGTGGTGGCCGGCTGGAGCGTCCCACTGTTGCTCTCAGCCAACACTGCCTTAGCAACTGGGCTGGGGAGTGGAGGGGAAGGAAGGTCTGCCGTGGAGTGGATGAAGCTCAAGTCAGACCCGCGACGGTCCAGCGCCGCTCCTCGCTCCCCAAGGTATGTAAGGCTCAGGGTCCTCCTACTCGACTTCGCGGGGAGCACGGGAGCCTGGGCGTCCGCCGGGGATATGGCATAGCTGTCGCCATTCGCACGGCTGTTGCTGGCAGTTTGAGTGCCGTCTGCCGTTAGTTCCTGGCGAATTGGAACCGGTTTTCGGGTTATCGGCTTTCTTGTAAGGGCATGTGCCATAGGGTTGGTGCTGGAAGTCAAAATAGGGTCGAGACCATCCGCTGTGTTTATCGCGTCAAGGTTAGCCTCGGTGCTTCCGACACTGAAAATCGTTCTCAGAGTATCGAGGCTGGAGCGTGATTTCAATGCCAGTCTCTTCGCTGCTGAAGGAAACCGGACCGCTTGGGGCAAAGGCCGAACGCTGTCTTGTTCGGGAGTGTGCGTGACGTGGGTTGTTGGCGGGCTAGCGGTGGAACGACGAGCTCCGCTTAATAGCCGCTGTAGACGGCCGGGTTGCCGAGCGCGCGGGGATCCTGGCTTGTCCGAGATAGACGACTTGGAGCTGTCTGGGCTGCGGAGCTCAGATCCCGGTGACATCGGCCCTCTGAGTCGAGGCACCCGGGTGGCAATGGGGCTCAGAGCGTGCATCGCTGTCCGGGTTGGGTTCGCCCTACTCTCCTCCGATGTGTCGACGGGAACTGTGTTTTGAGTACCGTTCAGTCTTGGCTGGGGAACTGAAGAATACCGAGCGGCATCTTTTGGGGGTACGGGCGGCGGCGATTCCCTTTCGGGGGTCGTTGGGTAGAGCACATCAGTCTGATGCAAGGCGTTTTGATTCCCCGAACCCATCGGCCCGCCCCCAGGGTTCGATGATCGCGGTGGTTGCTTCTCTGAGGCGGCCGGCACTAGACGATTCGCAGAGCCTCGAGGTTTGACTTGGAACGAGCGCAGGGATACGTTTGAACTGTACCCGGAATCCGCTTTGGCCAAGAGCTTGCAGGAAGCCTCAGACGCTGGACTCTCGGTAGAAACGAAGCCGCTATCATTCCTTGTCATGCCAGCACCCGCGGGCCGCTCGGTCTGCGTATGTGGTGGTTTTGCGTTGGGATCTAGGCGAACGTCCAAAACCTCAACCGAAGAATATTCTGGAGATGGTTCGAGATCAAAAAGTTGAGCCTCCTGTGCCGTCATTTTTGACGTTGTTTGGAGTGCAGGACTCATCGGCTGTGACTGGGTTGGCGATGAGGACGGGCTCTGGCGGATCTGATTTAGAAACTTGGGAGACGGTATGGAATCTTGCGCCTCGACAACAGTGGTGACACCACCCTCGCTGCCCTGTGCCCTCAAAGCGTAGTTATCCCGTGCCACGGTATGGCCTGCACCCCAGCCACCGTTTTCATGAGCATTATCGATGTCCGGGGTGACTGGGCTGGGAGAGCCGTTCGTGATGCGTAGCGAACCAAGCTTGAAAGCCCCAATGGACAAATACTTGTCTTCACACGGGGTGGCCACTCGCATCACGGAATCCGAATCGAGAATGGGGGGTGGCATTGACATAATGCCGCTCCTGTACGACTCCACCGAGTGTTGCCGTGACAAGCTCGGCGTTGGGGGGAGGCTATGGCGGACGCTGGGGCGTGGCGGGGGAGGAATGTCACGCATGGAACTCGACCGGGTGGCTACGCCGGGGGTTCGAATGATAGACCGTCTCCGGACCGGCATACACAGCGAGGCGTCGGAGTTTGTACGGGTAATCGGTGCGCTGGGCGGGTGGGCCGGGTTTGAACTCTTCCACGTGGTTTCCGTGACCGTCATCGCCCTATTTTCTGACATGGCTACGGTGTGCTCGAGCTGCGGTTCTTCGGCCAAATTGAGTAGGCGTTTTGCTTCGTACGAGGTCAAGTCGTAGTTCCACGACTTGTGAGATTCGACCCGTGGCAACTGACTATAGACACATCAAGATGGTCAGTCATGGAAGCATTTGGGATACAGGGTGTCAAGACATACCTCTCAGGATTTGTCTGTCCATAGTACGCCACTGCAGACTCGTATGTCATGGAGCTAGTCCTGCTCATCCTGTCCGCTATTCGCGAGCCTAGCCCACCAGCATGGCTCGGCTGAGTGGAACCAGCAGCGCGAGTTGACCTAGAACGGAACAAGCTCCTCCGCTTGGATTCTTTCTGTGAGGCCGGCGCTGGATGCGACGGCATGACACCGTCGATGTGCTGGCCAAGACCGCTCGATACCTCGCCGGCAGACGACGTTGTTGGCGTCGAGACAACCGCTGAAGATGGTGCGGGAGGGTTGGGCAGCGGGGCATTGGAATAACGGCGGGAGTTATTCGAAAAGGCACCGGGGCTCAGCAGGCCAGATGTCGCATGATTGCCCGTCTTCGGCTTGGACAGTCTCTGGGAGGCCCTCCGGGGCGCCTCGGCGGACTGAGCATTGCCCATGGCGACAGGGCGGCGGCAGGGTGAAGGCTATGCGGTTATTGCTTGTCCATGCCGCAAGCCAGGGGATCCCACGCGTGGTTAGCGACGGCAATACGGCGCTTCATGTATGGGGAAGGGACGGCGGGAGAGGGTAATAAGGTAGCTAAGGGTACGGCAACTATTTGGAACCGAGTGCGGTGGGAGAAAGCATCAGCGGGGGCGGTAATGACGATGGGCAGGAACGGGAACAAATATCAATCTGAAGATCCAAAAAAGAAAAGCTAATAGGAACCGGTCTGGCTTGGTCCAATTGTCGTTTCTCGCTGTTTCAATGGGCCCAGACTCCCAGGCTATCCATGACTTCATGGGCTGCAACCAAGATCTGAGACGCCACGACGCCGACTGGCAGTCCTCCGGAGTTCCATGGATGCCAGGAGGTCGGCGCAAGAACCTGATGTGCGAGTTTCCTCCCGGAAACAGTCGCCCGTCATTCCAAGTCTTGGATGTTACATCCAGTGCATGCGCCTGCCTCAAGCAGGGGTTGTTGCGCCAGGCAGGCAAGGAGCTTGCCAGAAAGGCCAGGAGGCTTGCAGGGGACATTGCGCCTGCTGCTGCGAGACCCGATCCGAAAGTGGGTCTTTGCAACCCTCAAGTTAGTTAGCGTTGTGGTATTTGGGGGTATTTGGGGGTAATTGGTGGTATTGGAGTGGAGTTGAGGATCGATTGCGATCACGCCAATTCAGCTTTGCAGTCTCTGCCAACAACCGTAACCTCTTTGGGCCTGCTCATTCAAATCCATATCAAACTTCCCACGATGCAAGGTGCCACGGACATCGATGAGGTGGGCAAGTCATTGATCAGGGCCATCCGGACCATCCCATCCCCGGGGCTGCCAGCCCAACCCAGTCAACCCAGGTTGGATGGGGCAGGCATTCCTTGCTGCATTGGAGAAATTGGGCAGGCGTCTGATCTCTGCTTCCCGGCCTCCTGATTTCGGTTCTTGCCCAAAAGTGCGAAAGAAGGCTGGCGTGCCAAAAAAGCCAAGACGCGGCCACGACAAGACTGGTGTTTCCGGCACTTTACATGCATTGTGCTGAGACTGCGTCTGCGGTGGGGGAGATGGGCCAGTCGAGGACGCAATTCCGTCTTTTGGATGAGATGTTTCAGATGCTGAGCTAATCCGGCCGATGTTCGCTTCGAGCCGCTGTCTTAACTCAGCGTTCGGCAGTCCCCGGCCCCAGACCACTTTCGGTTGCTCCCCTGTGTGAGTTAATACCGATGCCGCCATTAATGGCCCAATAACCACTTATGGGGTACATCGCGTCACTCCTCTTTGTTTTCACCACATCCGGGATGCACCAGCCCCAGGAGGACGCAACCGGGCAGACATGGAGCTCAATTCCAAACACAACAAGCCTGTCACTCAAAATTACCCTCTTCACGGTGAAATTACGGTTCGGGCAGGGTTCGGGGTAGGTACCTAGTTACAGACGAACAACTGACCCCGCATTAGGTCCTGCTCACCAACCGAGCCAGCGCAGCCAACAACCCCGCAAAACAGAAGGACCCAGGCCGATGGCTAGGGTGTAACGCTGCAAGGGGTACTGAATGAGGAGGACGTCATCTTTGCAGCGGTGTCAATCCTGCAATGGGACAGGGCCACGAAGACACCGACAAAGAAACTTGCAGACTCCAAGTAAGACAACCGACAGCCCCCATCCGCCCTAGCAGTCAATTTGAAGCCTTTGTTCTTGTCCGGCTTTGGCCAACTGGGCCTTGTCGACAATTTCACCCGAAAAGACGACCTCTTTGTGAAGGAAGGAGATGACACGGCCTCCAGGGGTTCCTGGGAAGATGGCTACTGAGCTTTTCTCTTGCACAACCATGGAACCAGGTGCCCTTTTCACGAGTCCCAGGGTAGCGAATAAAAGTTTTACACCGCATTCAGCAAACGCAAAGACACACCTGCATTTCTCCGAAATGTATTTGTTATGCGTGGTGGTGGCTGGCTGCGAACACATTGGCGGTCAAGCAACAACACACACAAGACTGAGAGGATAACTATTCCCGCAGGCCATCGGATTGGATGCCCTCCCTCCGTGGCTTCTGAAGGCCGCGCGGATGTCTCGACCTGGTCACATCAAAAGGCGAATACCCGACGGGCCGAAAGGTCGATATGGCCGCGGTGAGTGCGACACGTGAAACACACGGCGAAAACACCGTCTTTCACCAAATCCCGGTCCGATAGGTCAATGATCGCTGATCGGGACCCAGGCCACGGATGGACGCAACCCCGGCTTGCCGGGCCACTGGCACCCATTTCGCCACGCCTCTGGGGAACATGGTGAATCATGGACTAAGAGGATCGTCAACAATGGAAGTTCCGCAAACCCCATCAGCACAAAACCAAAACCCCACGATCTAGCGCTTAACAACCCTGTCCGTCGGCACTTGTTTCCACCAAGGCAGGGGTTGAAGCGCCGGAAGTACCGAACCCAGCACACCGAGTTCGAACGGTCTGTCCGTCCTTACATCATCTCAACCGAGGGGATGGAGATAGGTGCCCAATCCTGTCCCATTCTTTCTGACTCCTGAAATCAAAACATGGCCATCCTTTGTGCACTTCAAGGTTGGTCTTCTGGTGCCTGATTGGTGCCCCGAGACGCGGCTGCATGAATTACAAAACCATAACAACATGGCGGCAAAATGTCATGAGACGGCCGTGGCCAGGCGGCCCACCACCGTAGCTGACTTGCCGAAAACGGGAATGCCCCAGATTCGAGTGATATAAGTATCCATGGCTTTATGGACCAAGCTTATAACAGCGCGGTATATAATACGGCCCATATCATCATGGCCCAGCCAGTCACCCAACAGCGCATAACTAAGTGGAACGTACCATGGGCTTGAAAAGGAAAACAGCATGAGATTATGGTTACCTTTCCAACAATCGCCGGAATAACAACGTACCTGTCAACCAAATTTAACTGAATCACCTCGTCTATTTTTGATCAATTTGTAACTACACTCTGCCGGCTCGGTCTTGATCCAGGCTGTAATCAGCCGAAACCAGGAGTCAAACCCTTGAAACTTTACTTCCCAACTCTTGTCCGATACAATCTAGGAAGCTCAAAACAATCCGGTGGGTCCAAAGAAGTAGGTTATTATATTATCATGACCTAAGAATTTAACCGACGCGTATGGCCGCTCTGGTTTTGGTCAAATACAACACAGTAGCTAAGAAAGAGTAAGCCGGATGTTGTTCGAGTGCGAGTGCGCCCTGTTTCCAAGCGTTACCAGCCCTTCAAATCAAGAACTCGTAATGTCTACCCTCCCATCACGCGCGTGCAGCCCTCGCTGCCCGCCCACATCTCGTAGACGCGATTCGCGGGCACGTCAACCCGCTGTCCCACGCCGTAGTGAAGACGCTTAGCCCTCGACTTGGGACTGGGGTCTTCGGGATACCTAATCATTAGTAACCCTTTGACGACAAGGTTAGTTGTACGAATCGCATGTGAATGGGGTAGGTAGTCTAGCGAGAGAAAGAGAGGCATGTTAGTATCTGAAAAGGAGGCGTAGCTGTAAATGAGACGCGAAGGGGATTGGATTGGATTGGGCGGCCAGCACTTACGCGCGTTGGCACCGTCGACACAGGTGAGAGCGCAAGGGAATCCCCATGAGCGGACCTTTGCTTTGGCATCCTCGGGGGCCGGCATCGTATGTGTTTGCGTAACGTGTGAGAAAGGGGGGAGTTAATTGAGTGTTGGAGGAGAGAGAAGGTTGATTGAGTGTTAGATGAGCGAGAAGGTTGATTGAGTGTTGGATGAGAGAGAGGGAAAAGAACCGCAAGGTTTGGCGCCCCCGAAAATCTTTTTCTGCACCGGGCCTCGAGGATCAGACCTCCCGAGTGACTCACTCAATGTGTGCGTGTCATGTGACGAAAGACAACCACCGCGATCACGGGGTGTTATTTTGCCTGCTCACGGACAGCAGAAAATGGGGATCAATGCTCCTAGTACTCCACCAGCATCTCAAGCCTGGCTGTGTAAGGTCGGTCATGGCTGGGTGTGCCGGGTATCTTGTTTCGCCTGGAGAGAAGATGTAAGTCGCCGTATATTGTACACTGACAGCTTATAACCTGTGCTGCGCAATCCGTCAACATCCCACAGTTCCGTATGCATCCGTAGATGCTTCGACCACCATCAGCCCGTCCCATAGTATGCTCGCCCTTGACACACAACGATGTCATCCGCACTTCCCATCCCTCACCCTTTCCTCTCACTCTCAAACCCCTTTTTCCCGTCCTCCGATCCTTTCTTCTCCCCCTCCAGCGCCTTCCCCTCCACCAACCCAAACGTACTCACCATCCAGTCAGCGACCTCCTTCTCAGCCACCTCATCCCTCATCCCCTCGGCCTCCACAATCGACCTCCGCGCGTACCGCCTCAGATCCTCCATATCGGCAATATCCAGCGCCCACGAGACCCCGCCCACGGCCGTGATGGCAAAGGCCATGGTGTTGAGGGTGGCCAGGTTGAGGGCCTCGAAAGCGACCATGGGATCCTTTTTCGGCAGGTCCTTCTCGGACCGCCACATGAACTGGTTCGGCTGGAAGAACTTGAGCCGCGCCGCCAGCTGGTGCCGGATGGCGGCGCGCCGGGAGACCATCACTGAGAGGTAGAAGCAGCCGGCGCCGCCGAGGAAGAGAGTTAGTTGCCTAAGGGAGCGGGCGGAGAAGTAGTGGTTGTAGTAGTCCATTTGCTGGGGGGGGTTGGCCTGTTGGTGGTGGTGGTGACGGAGGTGATGATGGTTGGGTTTGGTGGGGTATGGTGGCCGGTGGAGCTGAAGGTGATGGGGTTGGTACAGAAGGTAATGGGGATGTTGATATTACTGGTGCCGAGGTAGGCGTGGTTGTCTGTGTTTTGTTGTCTCCATGGCTCGCCGGCTTGACTCCCGTGAGTGAGCCGATCACGTAGGAGAGAACACCCATGGCTAGTGGCGGGTGGGACAAGAAAGGGAAAAAAAAAAAAAAAGAGAGTTTTATGAGAGTCTAAGGGGATTTGAATCTTGGTAAATTCAAGGATAAACGCACCGTTAACAACACACTTTATCCTCGGTGTTGTTGTTTTGCAAACGCTGAAATCGATTTGGAGAAAATGCTGAGGAGGCTCAGCCGAAGCTTCGCCAAGCAACCACCAATGCACGGTCCGGTGGGTCCAGTTCAGCCAAGCGCCTTGGCAGGGCAGAGGTGATTTACACAGTACCCCCATCCCCCTCACCGTGGGCGAGGATATCGATCTCTCTCTAGTTCAAGGTCATGTTTGGATAATAACAGAATAATAATACAAGAGGTGACACGGACAACAAGAACCACAAATTTACTAAGTATACGTGTAAAGAGGTTATAATCTGTCAACGGGAATGTCTGATGAGGGGGCCGCGATTTGCGTTGATTTGACATGTTTTTAGCCCCGCAGCTTCTCGTTCTCTTCCTTGTTAGGTATGCAACAACGACTAACTCTAGCCTCGAGAACGAGTCTGTACAACCGTAACGGTTAACCATCACCTGCATTTTTGCCGTTTCCCTCTTCAGCAATGGCCAAAGACAAGCGCTCCAGAGCGGCAGCCCCGCCTCCGACCACAGCCCCGGACATCACAGCAACGACACCCTCCTGGCCACCATTTAAACCATCGCTTCCTGTTGTCGACCTTACGCTCGATCCTCTAGTCAAAGACAAAGTCGTGGTACTTCGGTCTTTTTTCCCGCGCTCCCTCTGCAAGGACTACGTCTCCTTCCTCAAGGAGCTGCCGCTCATCACCACTCCTGGCAAACCCAAGCGCGGGGACGCCGTGAGGGTCAATGACCGCTATCAGATTGACGATGCCAAGTTTGCCCACCGGCTATGGACCGAGACGGGGCTGAAGGAGGCGCTTGCAGGCAAGGATGTGGCCCAGTTGTGGTGCGTTGCCTTTCTCCCCTCGACTCAAAATCACCGGACAAGACTGACGAGGCGATGGGCAACAAGGGGTGGGGATGTCGTCGGGCTCAACCCCAATATCAGGGTGTATCGCTATACCGCAGGGCAGTTCTTTGATGCTCACTGCAAGTAGCCCAATCCCCAACTACCAACTACATCTCCCTACGCCTTCCCATGCATCTACACAATACCCTCGCTGATTCACCGTGATCAACCCATTGCTCCCACTCACATCCATAATCCTATGCCAAACTAACCCCGACTCCCTCAGACGACGATTCTAACACCGTCGCCCTCAAAACTGAAACCGGCAGCCCTCTCCCAGCACGCACAACCTGGACGCTCCTCCTCTACCTGACCTCCTCCGCCGACGGCTGGTAAGTAATCCTCCCGCTTCCCAACCCAGACCTTGCCGGTATTCTCTCCGTTTCTGCAAGCCCCCCCCAGAATATACCAGATCAGACCAGACCAAACTCGGCCACTCCTAACACAACAACCCACCAACACTAACGCACCCCTCCCCCGGGCACTAGCATCGGCGGCGAAACAGTCTTCTATCCCCACGACCGGCGCTCCGCCAAGGAGGAGATCGCCGTGAGTCTCGAGACGGGCATGCTGCTACTGCACAAACACGGACACGACTGCATGCTGGTGAGTGCGCTCCTCCCCTTTTCCGGACTCCCCACGCACTACATTATCCTCCTCTACTCTGCATCACATGGCACCGGCGAGCCAACTAAGCAGATATGGTCGGCACCCGCATTCCTTGATCTCGATCTTTCATCCTGCGTTGGGGATAGCCAGACAGAGGGCTAACCAACGTCTCATTTTGTACGCAACAGCACGAAGGAAGGGAGGTGACTGCTGGCGAGAAATGGGTTATCCGGACGGACCTGTGTGTCAAGAGGTGAAGGAGGCGAGGGTTCAATATAGGTAGTCCAAGCGTGGGAAAGGCCTTGAAACTGAGTGGACATAGAAAGGGGCCTGGGGCAGCTAGGACAGCCAAAACGCTGTTATCATGGTAAAGAGAAACCTATCGATTTTGAAGCTAGCTCGGTAACTACGGCGTGAAGATCCAGATGCAACCTGTCTAAACTATATCGCGAGCCCACGATAGGCGCCCGACCGAAAGATAGGGGCGAGATAATGAGTCAAGCCAACTGCTCCGTTCCCCAGAAACGCCGTTTGCCAGTTTGCCATGCCAGTTGCTTCCCCGAAACCACGCCAATTTTTCGTTCTTTTTGTTTACATACAAAACACAAAACCCAGCATCCCCACGCCGCACCGATCAAGCAAACCGCGCGGCCTTCTCCAGCGTCGTCTCCGCCTCCACCTCAATGACATCCTCTTGATACTCCACCTCCTCGTCCGGCACGCCACCAACCACCTCCTCCACCGCCAACGCCTTGGCAGGAGCAAACGGGTCAACATACGCCGGAAGAGCAGCCGCAGCCTCTCTCTCGTTCAGCGCATAGCCCGGCGCTCCAACTATGCCCTTGCCCAAGCCGCTGCCGGCGCCATCCGCCCAAAGCTCAACCTGGTTCAGCCTCTGGCCGCCCCGGCGCGCTCGGTGGGACGACACAGGAATATAATCGACAGGCAATTCCGCCGGCGGCTCTGAGACCGGCGGGGTGGCACGGTTCCAGCTGCTTGTATTGGAGTCTGAGACGACCGACGCCGCGTCCGGGTTGCGGGCGGCCCCGTCCTTATCCTTGTGGTCTGTAGCAACGGCGACGGATGCTTCCTCTACGCTGCGGTTGATCGATTGGACGGTTTCCGTGGTCGCCACCGTATCTGGCTGCTGGGCGTAAATCCTGACCGGTGTGAGACAGGGAGTGGAGTCAAGGTTTGTGTCCATGTCTGAAGAGAGGAGGTCCAGGAGGGCCGACTCTGCAGCATGGTCGCTCAATTTCGGCGATGAGAGTACCTGCATGATGTCGGCGTTCTCCTGGATAGGCGATTCGGCATCCAAGGAGGCGTCTGAATCGAGAAGAGTGGCGAAGTCATCTGCCATCTTTTTCACCTCTTGCTCTTGCTTCGATGCCGTGTCAGACGCAGAATCACCTGAAGGATCGGGGCTATCGGAGCCATCGTCGTAGTAGAACCCATCCTCGCCATCATCGTTATGACGGAATAGGTGAAGTATCTCCCCGCGGTGGATGAATTGGCCATCGCTTGTCTTAGTGTAGTCCATTCCCGCCAGGTCGGGCTCGGTCTCCAGTTGCGCCATATTAGGTCCCTTAGGCATCGGGTTTGTAGATGGCGGAACGATACCGAGCTCCATCAGATTGGGAAGCCGCTCGGTGCCGAGAGCAATCTTGCCCATATCATCTGGAAACAGCCAAGGAAAGCTGATTAACGGCATGGAGCGCGCGGTGACTCGCCGCAAGCCCACTGTCCCATCTGGGAGCACATGCGGCTGACGAGCTTCGTGGAGCGCGATCCGCGTTTCCTCCCACGTAACCTTGTACATGGCAGCAACAAACTCCTGTCTGTTGAAGCCATGCTCCTCCACCACTTTGAGACACAAGTCGCGAAACTGCTTCTTGAGGCCTGCCGACTCGCGACCGACCTTCTCCTGGACCTTGTAATCAGTCCCAACTCGCGGCTTGGACATGACGAATGCCGCCCAGATCTCGAATTCAGTCCTGATCTCAAGCTGGCCCATAATCCTGCGCATGGAAATGTCATACTGGGTTTTGATCTTTCTGGCCTCCTTGAGCAGAGGGTGGCCCAGTTCAAACCGCTTGAGGATGCGGTCGTCAAACGGCAACTTGTAATTATCCCTATTGTCAAAGACTTCCTTGTCGATCATGTCATAAAGCTTCCCCAGAACACTGGTTGATCGATAGGATTTGGCTTTGGCCTTCTCCATGAAATGGGGGTACTTGCGAGGGTCAAGCTTCTTGTTCCATCGGGCGGGAATCCCGGTCTTGACGTAGTCGACCGCGATCGAGTGTAGACTAGCGAGCTGAAGGCCTGTAGAGGTTTAATTCGAGCTTCACCACGTAAATAAGTCCATGGAAACTCACACTTCCAATGCTTTGCACCCGTAACCTCGTAGTCGGCCGTGGCGAGGTGGGCATGGGCGATCAGGGGCAACCTGTCGTTCTTCATGAACAGAACAAAAAAGAAGGCTAGGCTGTTAACAATCGACTCTTGGGATTCGTTCAGCGGCTCGGGCGCGGTATAGTTCATGGGAGGATGACTCCACTCCGGGGGGATGAGCTTGGGGTCCCAAATTACAAAGAAGTCGTCGCCATCTAGGTCGCCGCCAGAACACATGCTTGGGACATCCCTGTCCCCCTTCAGCGGAAATACCACGACGTCTCGGAGGTGCCGTAGTTCAGGTACGTCCACCGCTTCTACTACCCGAATGTCGCCGGGGTGGAGCGATGGATTACGCCCGACGATGCAGATGCCCGTGACGACCTTGTACGCACCTCGATCCTTTCGATCGGGCACCTGTAGGAAGATTTGGGGGAGGTCATTTTGGGTGATGCCATTTCGGCCCTCGGTTGCCCGAGAATGGCCTCTTAGAGTCCCCGTTTCGTCCACACAACCAAGCAAAAAGGCGCCCTGGTCCACGACAAGCCTCGCCTTCTCTTTTAGGCCCTTGATGGACCAGGAGCGCCAGAGCTGGAGAAGGGTTCGGACGAAGGGCTCGCGCGTATGCATAAACCCGTTTAAGATCATTGTTGCGATGGTTGTTGTTGTCATGTTCCCATCCACGTACTTGCTGAGCAACTCAATGGCCCTGTCTTGGTTCGTCATAGCAGTGTCGTAGCTTGCAATTTGCCCTGCCATCATGTCGATAAAGACGTCGTCGGGAACGCCCAGGCACGAAAGGATCAGGATTGTCTGCCGGTTCAGGGTCGGGCAGGAGAATTGCGAGCACCGGATGATCTCTAAGCCATTGTACTCAGCCGAGAACTTCTCTTGGGACGGCCGGACGTGAACTTCGGTTCCTTTGGCGTCAGGCCAGGTCACTAGAACGCCCTTGCAGCCGCCCATCCGGAACTGGAACGCTGAGGGACGCGTATCGATCTTCCAGGCCTCAGACACAAGACTGGCCAGAGGGAAAGATATTTTCCCGACACCATCGGTGAAGCAAAACCCATCGTTAGACTCAATATCGGGAATCTTGACTATCCGCGGAGCCGAGATGCAGTTCAAGAGGCGAGTGGTCGAGAAGCACTGCCCGAGCCGAGCGGCAAGTTTGGCGACCGAAGAAATGTGGTCAAAGTTTCCCATCCATTCACGTATGGAGTGGCAAGTGGTAGTGCCGTCTTCCGGTTCGCAGAAGAAAAAGGCGCCGTTCTCCCGAATTTGCGAGTTGCCAAAGGCCAAGAACTTCCAGTGCCATTTTCCCATACGTATGCCTTGTGTCATGACGCGGCAGACCCGGGCATAGAGCTCATCATCTCGGTCGACGTCACTGGCCCTAATCCTCCCGTCTAACAGCTCGTCTGTAAATTGGACGCGGATGAAGTGGTCTTGAACATCCTTATACCGGCGGACGACGCGGTTGGTCGTCTCCACTGTCGGTGTGCTAAAAAAGATCCGCGTCGGTGTGACGGTCACCTTTCGAACCAGGGCGCAATAATCGGGAATATGGAGGGTTGTCGGATAGTAGGCCATGGCGCCACGATCTTCAAACAGCTCCATGGGGTTGTACACCGGCTTGCCTTCATCTGCGGCATACTCGAGGACCAAACGGGCACGGTTAGGTTTGAGGTCCCTTGGCTTCGACATCTCGAAGAGCTTTTCAAGAAAGTCGCGTCTTATGTTGTATTCGCTGAGGATCCCGCGCGAGATGCAAACTTCTAGTTGGTATCGAACCTCATATGGTAGAGATATGTGTGTCATGGCGGAGAGAAGAATGAGGCCGTTGTCCCAGGTGGGGCTCGCCGCTGTCGATACGTCAAAATGCGGATCGGCTAGCAAGTCCCAGAGCTCTGGTTTTGTAGATGGAATCCGTGTGAAAATGGCTTCTGTCTTTGTCGCGATGTTCCAATCACGGAGATGGCCCTCGATGACCGACCATTGTTCCTGGGCGGATTTGTTGTCTAGATCCACCCAATAGGTCGTCCAACGGCCAAAGTCGATTATCCCGGGGTCCTCGTCGAGAGATACGGGCTTGGTTGGGGGATTCTGTGAGTTGGTCCCAACGTCGACGGCTCGGTACCAGAGCTCATCCTCTCCCCAGACCAAACGATCTACCCAGCCCGCCCCATCCATCCCGGTTTGTTTCTTTCGGGCCAATGGAGGATCTGCAAGATGGACGACGAGAACTGAGGCCATCCGGTAAATGCTTTTGATGATTCCAAACTTCATCTCGATGCGGTAGTACTGCCGCTCACCGTAGACAGAAATGGGGAAGTGAACCGTCAGCTTCTGCCTTCGGAAATCGGCGGTGAACTTTAGTTCAAGATTACCATCCAATTTCAGGATCTCCTTCTTTGCCATGAAGGTCGTCGGTTGGATGAGGAGGCCAAAGGTAAGCCTATCAGGACCGAAGACCATCGAAGTAGGGCAGGCGTTCCCACCCGGCGTCGTCATGGTTGGTTCCTGATCAGACTGTCTCGGGAATTTGATCAGAGCCCATGATACGGATCCGCCTATGCTGAGTTTGCATTTCCCTTGTTGGAAGAAGCTCACATCTGTCGGTGGAGGCTCAAAGCGAATCTTGGCAGACCGGTGGCTGACTCTTGCGCCGTCAAGTTCAACCCACACGACATTACCGAACTTTTCGAAGAATTCTCGGATGTCCCATGGGCTGGCGGTTGCGGGTATGGGTTTGATGATCATGGTAGCGCTCTTCTTTGAAGCCCATGCTGGAGGCACCACCGCTGCTTGCTGGGTTGGGATCGGCTTGGACTGCCCCGCTGCCGGCCCGGGCCTTCGAACAAAGGAAGGTCGCTCGACGTGTCTCGGGTTGGGGAACCTCACCGCAGAAGCAGGGGTGGCTGGTCTCGCTTGCTTCTGAGCCTGGAGGCGCCCATTGTCTGCGCCTTTCAGCAGAAGATTCTGGTAGTTGCCACTCATTGGGTCCGCCATGGTTTTCAGGCTCGACGGATGAATGAATGGAAGAAATATAGGGCTCGGTCAGAAAATGTGTTCTGAGTTCGCTGGTAGGCCCCAGCCTAATAACTGAGTGAGAAGAGACAGACTCAGAGAAGGCTGGCAAGAAGGAAATCTCAAGAGGGTGAGGCCAAGACCAAGCTCTAGTTGTAGAAAAATTCGCATGCCCAGTTGGCCACGGAACCTGGCGGAAGGAGATGAGAGATGGAAGGTAGGAAAAGCGGAGACGAGAGTGAAACCTGGAACCAGTAGGTACCTAAGTTTCACTCACGCACTCATCGGAGAACGTGCGGTCAAGAAATCAAGAGCAACGGCAGAGGAAAGAAGAGGCAAGAGAGTACGAACGAGAGAGCCCTGGTCTTGGTAGTGACAATGAATCAATGAAAAAGGAAGGTGGCAGTTTGTTAAAAGAGAAGGAATATGGAATGTGGGAATGCAAAGAGAAGTTGGTCGTGTTAGCGTTACAACTTTGAGTTGACCGAGAAGATGGTCTGTGGTGAATGAGAGACCTGGGTCCTTTGCAGCACCAAGAATGGAGTGACTGGTGAGGTGATGTGGTTGATATGAAGGTGAACCCTGTCTTTGTCGAGCACAAGACAGTGGAAGGAAGACCGACGGCTACATCTTCAAACGAGCAACTCCTGCCCAGAGTGTTTGTTTGTATGGGGAGTCTGGCGAAAAGTTCTGCACCAAGGAACAGGATGTTTTCTCCGGGAAGCTGCAGTTTTGTTGTTGCCAAACTCGGCAGGCAACTGGGTGATACGTAAGGTAAAAAACAAGTTGAACTTGCCATGGCGGCCTAGAAAGGGCGAGGTCCTCTTTCCTTTCCTGATAATACCTTGAGCACAGCCCTTCGTCCCAAAAGGAAGGTACCTTAACTACCTATCTCTGAAAGAATTGGGACGAGAATGAGCAAAAGGTATTTGGCTGCATGGAAAGTGTTAGCAGGGAGCTATTTGGTTGATCTTCTTGTTCCTAAATACACTCAGTTTTTGTATGTACAACCTCCGGTGCAAAGGGGGCTAGTTTGCTCAACCAGACTTTGAGAGCCACAAGGTAAGGAAGGACACATCACTTGCCTCTTAGAATATAAGTGTGACTTGGCTTGTTCTTCCTGTCACTGTCTCATGGTATGCAAAGATGTAGCAAGGGGTTCGGGCCAGAAACTGCACACCTAGGTATTTTCGCCGAATTATCCACCGCTGCCCACAGCCCAAGTGACAGTAGAAAATCCAACCAGCAAAGCAAAAGCCCGCCCTCCCAAACAACTATGAACCCAAATATCCAATGAATGGCGCACCATGCTAATCAGCACAACAAAACTTTTAGCTCACCAACTTCTAATGCTCCGTTACTGCTTGGCCAAGATTGCTTTGCCAATGCAATGTGGCTGCTCGCCCACGGCCATGCTGCTTTCACCGGTTGCTTTCGACATGCTGCTCCATGTGTGGTTGCCCGATATTATGTAGATGCCCATTCAGGGGTAACGCTGCGCCCTAGGGAAGGGCCCGCCACCCCCTTTTTCTCAATGTTGTCTATCAAAAATCTTGCCCGGGTTCCTACCATCATTGTTAGTAAACACCACAAGGTAATAGCCAGATAGTGAAAAGGGGAGACCAACATAATCCATTTAGGGTCCAGTGCGGCCTTGATGGATTTCTGCGATGTGTTAGTCCCATAATTCATTCAAGGCGGTTTTTGAAACTGACCATGACTCCCAGGGTGTCTTGTCCAACCTCCCAGACAAGTGATTCCTTTTTGCCCCAACCAATTGAGTGTTCACCGGTGCAGGTGCCCTCCATCTCTAGCGCTCGCTTGACCATGTTTTTCACACAAATCTCAACCTTTTCCCTTTCCTTCGGGTCCTGTCGATTGTAGATGATGCTCTCATGGAAGTTTCCATCCCCAATGTGGCCTAGGATACTGGCAAATAGGCCCAGATCATCCATCTCTTTCTTGCTGACTTCGATGATATCCGCAAGCCTGCTGAATGGTACGGCAACATCGGTACTCCCTAAAAATGGTAAGTTGCTGTCGTGGTTAACTGATGATGACTTGCACTCACAAACTTCCTCGCCCTCTTTGCGTAATGCAAGCATAGACCACAGCGACTCCTTCCGGGCAGACCAAAGGAGCTTCTGTTCCCTGGCGTCCTTGGCGAACTCAAAGTTGCTTCCCTTGTTGGATTTGGTAATCTTCTGCACCAGCCCGATGTTCTCCTTTACACCAGCTTTCGTCCCAGAAAACTTGAAGAAGAGAGTCGGCATTTCTTTCCAAACTCTCGGTGCGGTAGCCCCTCCCATGTTGACAACCTTCATCTGGACCTCGTCCATAATCTCCATGGCGGCCACGGGGATACCGGTCTGCATCACCTCAGCGGCAGCGGAGGCAGCGTGCCGAATCGAAGGGAAGGTCACGACCGCCACAGAAAACTCCTCGGGGATGACAGCGAGCTTCACCGTTGCCTCGGTGACCAGTCCGAGAGTGCCCTCGGAACCAACAAATAGACCGTTGAGGTTGTAGCCCGCTGACGACTTGCGCGGCCGCCGCCTTGTCTTGATGATGGTGCCGTCAGCAAGCACGACCGTCAGGTTGATGACCCAGTCCTTCATCGTTCCGTACTTGACAGCGTTGGTGCCGGAGCAGTTAGTACCAATCATGCCGCCGATCTTAGCACTCGGGCCTAACAGCTGTTAGACCGCCGTTTCTTTCACATACGCCGCACAGTCTCGGACGGGTGCATACCAGGATCGATGGGGAAGAAGAGCCCAGCGCCCATCTTCGAGAGTTGCTCGTTCAGGTCTTGCCAGCCGATGCTCGGTTGCACGACGACGTCCATATCATCCTTGTTAAACTGGATGATCTTATCCATATAGGCAAAATCAACGCTGATGCCACCAAACGGAGCCGAAAAGTTCCCCTCGAGACTCGAGCCCCCTGAATAGGGGATGATGGGGACGCAGTACTTGTGGCAGATGCGTGCGATGATCGATACCTGCTCCGTGGACCGCGGATAGGCCACGGCGACTGGCAGCCCTTCCGGATTGACTGTAGACCACTCGGAGTATCCATGGGAGTGCAAGTCCTCGGGATCAATGGAGATAATGTCCTCGTCTCCGATTTCTTGGCGAATCTCGTCCAAAGCCTGTGAAACCAGTTAGTACGATGGGGTTTGGCACTGGCATGCTCGATGAATGCCTGAGTGTATATATACCTGTTCCATCCCCCGCACGCTTGCATAGGCAGGCGCGGCAAACGTGCCGTCAAGAAGCACGGCGCCAGGGAAGCCTTGGTGCCGGATTTCGGACGCACCCCAACCCAGCAGACCGGCAGCAGCGGTGGCGGCAAAGACGACCGGGAACGGCCATGTTGATGCAGCCCGGGGGCCCTCGCCGTTGCCAGGAGCGGCACGCCGAGTAGACGTTGTGGTGAACCGTTGCCGGGCTGCGGCGCGGGGGGCGTTGAAGGGGGCCAGGGATCGGCTGAGGGGCCTCGCCGCCCTGGTAAATCGGGTTGCAGACATGCAGGTCAAGAGCCGCAGGTGCACAAGGCAGACTTTGCCTGTCCTCAGTTGGCAAATCGCACCAGCACAGAGAATGTGCCTGGATTGGTCCCCTCCGATGGCGTGACTTGGCTGTGCAGGAATCGGGCCCTCAGATCGAGATTCTAGACGAGTCCCAAACGATCGGATAGGTAGTGTCAGTCTCCTTAGGGGTTGGTCCGGTAATGTCCGACACACACACACAGACACACATACACATACACCCAACGACAACGACGGCAACAACAAGAGCAACAGCGACAAGTGAGTGTTCTCGAACGGTTGAGTGTCTCGATGTGGGGAAGGAAAAGGGGCAAACGTCTTCAAAGTGACGGGAAGTGGGACGAGGGTTACGGATATGGCAGAACCATAGTGGGCGAGAACTGTAGTTTCTATCAAACTAGCAGGTGTCCTCGTGAGAGAAGAGTGGGTTGTCCAAGCGGTCGGTGTCTTCTCTCTTTAAGAACGCCTCTGAGTTTCCTGATTCGGACCGGTGTGCAGGATGTGTGGAGCAGCGGCCGATCCAATCAAGAGTTGGGCAAACTAAGCCATGTCAAGCGGAGACGGCGGTTGAGGCGTTGAAGTCAGGGACCCAAGGGGACACTGACAGGTGTGATGGATCGTGGGCGGAAAGGGGGCCAGTGGCTGGTGGCGGAAAAGAAGCAGCTTGGCTCACTTGACCAACCCATTTCCAGGTTGGTTCATGTTGTGCAGTGGTGCACGCAGCAGGGCTGCGCAAGGAATAGGAGTCGAGAACGTGCGAGCCTTGAGGAGTCGCATGGGTGGACTGCGTTGCAAGGCAGGGCAAGTAATTAGCGCACCATGCTGCCGTGTGAAGAAACGGAAAGCGGGAGGGCGGTGGAGGGAGTGGGAAAAAAAAATAGCGAAGTTAAGGGCCAAGGCGTGGGCTGACGGAGATGGCAGGAGCGTTAGTGAACTGCACACCCATTCGATACCGACGTAACGGCGTGGGGGGCCTCGGGGGGCAACCCGAAGACTGAAGACGGATGCGAACTCTTGAATTTCACACCCATCCGCTGGCAAACAGTTAACCTATCCGCTGTTTCCAAAATAGTTAGCAATTCAAAGTGTTATGTCAGCAAGGCAGACACCCCCTTTGCCGTTCGAACGGAAACATGCGGTGTACAGAAGAAGTGTAAGATCATGACGTGGACGTCAACTCTCGCAGTTTCGGCTTACCGCGAATGGATTGAAACCACGCGACCATCGTGCAGCCAGCATGCGGGGAAGGTCATGGGACGGGTAGCATTTGTGATGAAGCTGAAGGTTTTCACACCCAAGGTTCTAGTTAGACAAAGTTCAGCAACGTCGTCGTCACACCACGTTGAGTGGCGGGTGCCCACACCGCTTCAACATTGAACAAACTAAAGTTAAATTTGACTCCGTTCGAGGTCCTCGAATAACTTTTCGAGTTGAAAAAGGAGTTGCTCGATAGGTTCGGTTCATTGATTCGAAATACATAATACGGCCCGGTAATCACCGGGCAGGCACCGAGGCTTTCAGAACAATCGGGTCTCGTCTGCCGAAAATGGGAACGTCAAATCCAGATCGGCGCCAAGCACACCGGCCGCCCCCGCTTCTATCGCATATTGACCCACAATTCGACAGGTCCACCGACCTGCTTCCACAACCTCGGAGCGCTTGAGGTCAACCTTCGTCCCACTAACACGGGTCTGCAACAAGTTTAGGAACATCCAGCCACGCGCATCGGGACTGGATGCTCGGAGAATGAACAAAACAGGGCACGTGAATACCTTCCGGAACGGGTTTTATTTTTATTTTACTTTACCAATTTTTTCCTCTTCGTTCCACCACAATTCGGCCGGAAGACGATGTGAGTTGAGGCATCAGCATTTAGGGGTGCGAGGAGTTGGAAGCCTCTTGTTGGAATCGAATCCAAACCTCCTCGCTTCCTCGTCCCCCACGCCCCCGGGCTGCACGGCGGAGAATTCCCACCGTTTCCGCCGATTTCAAATCCGATATCGTCCCCACCCCCGCGATGACTGTAAGGGACAATGGACCATGCATGGGGATGGGGCTTTTGAAGACGGCCGAGCCTCGGCCGGCGGCGGTGTCTTGTATCCTCTATCACCTCACGCGGTTGGGCTTGTCACCCCCGCATTCTGATATCCTAATTTCAGCCCAAATGGAATAAGAAACAGGCGAGACTTAGAAAAAACTCAGACAGAGAAATCAGTGTGATTTACCCAGCGGAATTGGAATGGTTGAGACTCGCATGCATCATCACTCCACTCTCCATTGAGGTGTCGTCAAGCGCGGTAAAACATGACGAGGCTTGGGGCTAGGGTCGAGGTAGCCAAAGCCTCGTTAACCGCCGCATCCACTCTCTCGGATTCGTTCGTACAACCTGGCACTCCGGGGTCAACTATCACAAAGCCTCTCACAAAGCGGTGGTACGCCAACCCCACCCCCTAAAAACTGCACACAGAGAGACCGAGAGGTACCATGTACATGTACATTAACCCCCAATTTCGTATACCACCGCATAAGCCAGCGGAGCTTGAGGAGAACTCCGTGCCCAGGACTTACCGCCGCATCTAGAATATGCAATGCCACAGCACGAGGACACCAGCGCTTCCGATCGGGATCGTCGTCCTCTTTGTAAGAGCCAGTGGTGCATCTCTGCTCTCGCCCCGCACTGCGGGGGTTCCGAGTACAACCCCAGGAAACGGCTCAGCCTCTAATCTCCTTCAGAAACTTTCAATGCTTGTCTTGCTGAGCCTGGTATTGTGACGCCCGTTGCCCGAAAGAGAGAGAATAAATCCGCAGCTAAGCAACCTCGTCTCAACGTCTGTCTGCTGACTCGACCCACACCAAACCAAACCATAACCCCCGAAACTCCCCGCTGCTGAAGCTCATTTCAAGCCCCAACAAACCACCTCTCTAAAACCTAACGCAGGCACACACCCCAACCCCAAACCCCCTACCGGGCTAAGGCACCTCCCCTCGGAGATCCATGTACCTGCCTTAGCCCGTCCATCTGAGCCCGGCAGCAGCAGCAGTAGCAGCAACAGCGCGTATGTACCTCCACCGCCTCTTCCAGCCCTCCAGCCCACCTTCATACATAACATAGCGTAGATGAACAGAGCGAACGAATCCAACCGAGCCAAACCCAGTCCAACCCCACCTCCCGCTGCATGGCTCAGCCCATGCTGCCCCATGCCCCATCCTCCCCGTGCATTACCCACATGCGAGATCTTTTAATCAAAATAATAAAACAAGGCGTGGGGGTTCAGGGACCCTTCTCTCCACATACACCGTAACTGGTGTACACAGCGAGAGACGGAGTGAAGAGACTCCAATCTGGATGCAACCCAACCCAGCCAACCCTCTCTGCACAGAGTCGTCACCGAGACACCGCCCCGAGTACGCATACATCAAACCAGACAAGACAAGCAGAGATGTGCAGGTAGTAGGGATACTTCGGAGGAAGGCCCGATGTCTCACGGTAGAAGCACCCCACGGAATGCCCATACCCCAACCCAACGATATGTGCGGACTTCATTCCGAGCCGCTGGACAGGAGGTAAAAGACGGTCAGGGATGAAGCTCTGTCTTTTTTCTTCTTCTTCGAAAGAGGGGCCCTTGATGCCTGCTTCGCGCGTGGCGGCCTGAAACGCCTCTCGATGCACGTTGCGAGATGTGATAGATCTTCACCGCTCCGAGGGGCGGTTGGGGCGGTGACAGGAAAATTTATCCGCGTTAAACGGGCAGGGCTGGAACGTTCGAAGCACATCTGGAGGCAAGGCACAAAAAAAGAGGAAAGCAAAGTCATGTCTCATCCGGAAGGGCAGTTCAGTTTTACGGGTCGATTCCTGACCCGGGTATACCGAGTTAAGCTAAAGTGACATCCGGTACTCCATCCAGCATGCTTTTGTAAATCTAGCAACCTACTGACCAGCCCAATTTCGTAGTTAAACCCTTTAGTGGCTCGCCAGAGTGGCCGCGCGCTTGCGGTCACGCTCCTCGGCGATAGTGAGCTTGACGCCCTTGCCCTTGGGGAGGGAAATCCAGGGCTTCTCGCTGCCAATCACGAAGACGTTGCTCTCACGGGTGGTGAAAGTGTTGTCGATGGCATCCTTTAAGTGGACGATGTTGAAGCCACCATCGTGGCGCTCACGGTGGGTGATAACACCAACACGACCCATGTTACGACCACCAGTAACCATGGCAATGGCGCCGGTGTCGAACTTGATGAAGTCGGTGGCCTTGCCCGTCTCGAGGTCAATCTTGACTGTGTCGTTGACCTTGATCAGCGGGTCGGGGTAACGGATGCTGTCGAGTTATCGTTAGCATACCAGAGGAAATTTTTGACATACCAACCGTCGAGATCCCCGCTTTGATCGTGGTTCCCGCAGAGCGGAAGGACCCAGCGATCCACCAAAGCTTGGTCCAACGGCTGACAGATGTCGGAAGAACTCACGTTCTCGCATCATGCGTAACCAAGAATGGCACACCACCACGGCCGAGCTGCACGCGCTTGACCTTGCCCAGCTTGTACTTGGCCTCCTCGTCCTGGATGCGGTGGACAGTGAAGCGGCCCTTGGTGTCGTAGACGAGGCGGAAATTCTCGCCCGTCTTCTCGATGGTGATGACGTCCATGAAGCCGGCGGGGTAGGTGACGTCGGTGCGGACCTTGCCGTCAACCTTGACGAGACGCTGCATCATGATCGCCTTGGTCTCGCGGTAGTTGAGGGCGTACTTCAACCGGTTACGGACGAAGACGATGAGCGGCATGCAGTCGCGGAGCTTGTGCGGGCCAGCCGACGGGCGAGGGGCATACACGCCCGACAGCTTGTCGAGGAGCCAGTGCGACGGCGCGCTTAGGCGCTTTTGGTGCTTCTTACTGTTGCCGTCAGGTTAGCATCGCGAAATCTCAAGATCTCGAAATTAGCAGGCCGAGAACCAGAGATTGGAGAATTCCGCAACAGCGGCCTCGCAAATCTCTCGATTGATAATAACGACCTGCCGGCGTCCACGAATGGTTTTGAATCGGGCACTTACGGTCCTCTACCCATTTTGGCTGCTGTTGGTCGATGAGCTGGTCGATGGGAAAGTGAAAGGGATGCCGCGAAGTGCAAGTGCGGGTAAATCAACCAGAAAATTGATTTTGTGCCCAAGCCCTATTGAATTTGGTGGGGAACTGAAGGCGGTGAGATGGGCACAATTCACAATTCCGTCGATAGCCTAAGGGTTAGGGTCGGCTACCTACCCAATGATGCCTCTTCAACCACACTTTCGACAGGAGGCGGTTCGATTCACGATAGTCTCAATTCTCCACTTGAAAGCATTCCCTGGCGCCCTCTCACAATGCACCGAGCCATCCGGATATCGAGACTTCTCTTCGCACAGATATAGCACTTTTTGAGGGGCAAATGTCAACCAACAATAATGATGTCAGCGAGGGAAGGGAGATCCACCAAGTTGTTCAGACACAGGCGAATTTGTCGCCGGCGACCTGATGAAAAGAGACCGAAGAATCATAAAACTTATTATCTAAATCAGCTAACACCACTATCAACCCTGCGAGAAGTGATTCTCGTCCGTCGGTAGAGATTGCTCCCTAAGTTGTTATCTAATATGTTACCCCCCCGTAGTTAAATCCCGAAACCAAAAACGCCGATTATAGCTCTCGCGGACAGTCTGCGGCGAGGTCGCGGGTCCAATAATGACAAACTACACACGTAACAACAAACACAGGACAAAGGAGCGTCCACTGCCGTAGAGGCAACCCCAAAAGGTTAGACTTGTTGGGGATCAAGCCAAAGGGCCCAGCACAATGAATGGCTGCCCCAGAGAAACACAGGTTCGCCAGGAATACTATCTTGAAGCTTTTGTCACCTCCCAAGGCCGAGGCGGCGCTCACTCCCACTGTAGGGATCGTCGAGCAGATGGTTCAAATCCAGATCCGACGCGCTCCCGAGAAAGGACGAGCTGTGCGCCTCGGTCATGTCGAAGATGTCAGCAAGGGCGGGCAGAGACTCGGTCGACTCATAAGCGGAGGGGGTCGCGGTCCGCCGCAACATGTCTTCTTTTGATCCCGATCGGTTCAGCTGGGGCTCGAATGAGGGGAGGGCAGTAGTGCTCCGGGAGTTATCTTTGGCTGTGTTGACGGACGGCTCTAGGATGTTGGTCTTCCCGCGCCACGCATCCTTGGGAGAATTGGCCTTTTCAATGTTTGCGTAAATATCAGGGTACTTGTTCCGGACCCGGTCACGCAAGTCTGTAGGCTGCCGGCTCGACAGATTGTATTTCGGATCTCGTTGGATCCTGGTCCAGGAAGGGCCGTACTGGCTGAGGCCGTCCAAAATCTCGTCGTCGTCCTGCTTGGTGAAAGGGCGGCGTTTCCGGCGGTGCGATTTCTCGAACGGGCCATGAATGCCCAGCTCGGCTAGGTCCTCCAGCTTCTTACGGTGCGCTCGGGGCTTTCTCTTCTTGGGCGCCGCGTCACAGTCCAGGGCAGCGGACGGTGAGGTGTTGCCATTCTCAACTCCCTCGTCCCCGGCCGGCTGAAGGATGTCTTCTATCTGTATCCCGAGTTTAGGTTTTGCGCTTCCATCGGCAACAGCCGCTGGTCCAGGCTCCCCATTTGCGGCCTGCTCCTTGGTCGCGGTTAGCCGCAGCTCCTCGGGACAGCATGTCCGGAAGCGATCCTTCAGATCGCCGGCAGTCCGGCCGTTGAACTGAAAGCCCGGGTCCTCCAGGATCGTAGTCCATCTCCCCACTCCATGGCGGCTCACCCCCAGCAACAGGTTATTAGTCTCCTCCTCGGTCCATTTTCTTCTTGGCTTCATAGGCCGCCTTTTCGGTTTGGGATTATTGCTCGACTCGGCATCAGCAGCGGAGAATAGGGCCGGGCGGTCCTCGCTAGCGCTGCCGGTGTCCTTCCATGGTCCCAGGCTGAAGTTCTCATTATCATCGAAAGAAGCCGACGTGATAGGCGGGAAAACAGCGGCATCGGGCGGGGGCTCGTGGAGGCCAGCGATGATCGGAGGGACTACCTGCTGGGCAGACTTCTGCTTCTTCGGTAACTTGGGCAATTGGACCAAATCCTCTTTGGTGGTGAGGGCCCTGTGCCGCTTTTTCGTCAAGACGTCATCGGGGCTGCCCGGCCCATCATCGACAATGCTCCGTAACGTACTGGCCGGGACATTTGCTTCGGACTCGCGGAGCAGGAGCTGGAGGGGGCGGATCGATGCAGTGTGCAAAGCGAACGCGTCGTCGGGCCTTCCGAGCGGCTTCACAGGGTGAGCGTCATCGGCGGCGGAGAGCGGGGTAATTTGTGTCGGCGCAGACCTCTCGGACCTGTGGCTGCTGGCGAGTTCGGGACCCAGTGGGGGGAGAGAGATGGGCTGGCTTGCGGTGGTGGTACTGAGGGACACGGGCTGTATCGGCGGAAGAGCGGGACTCTTCGGCTTGTTGAGGAGGTTCGTGAGCCACGGCTCGATGGTGGCCATCGTGAAGCAATTGGTTTGGAGAGGGGGGCATTGAGATGGTCTGGGCGTTGCCCGGAGGAGTCGGAGGACAAGACGAGTTGTGTGGGCGGGGAAGATGGAGGCGGAACACGCGTGGAGAACGAGTCTACCGTAGTTGAATTCTTTGCAGCATCAGACGACCGGAGAGTCTACCACACAGTAGCTTTAGGTCTCGGTCTGGGGTAAAGGAGAGACAGCTGCGAGTCAAGGTGGCTCAGAGCCCCATTGTTCGGCTTCTCCCAGGTCACTCACTGAGAGGAATGGAATTTGAGGATCCAAGGATTGGAAGTCCAAGGCGATCTGGAACCTCGCGGGTCAGCAGGGTGTTGAACCGAAGGCCCCGGTCGGAGCACTGAGTATGCATGAACAGCGCTGTGATTGGTCATGAGTAACAGCGTGCCAACCAATCGGCCGCAACGGGGCAATCGGTTTTCAGTGGATGCGCGAGCAATGTGACCGTAATTACAAACTCGGCGCGTCGAGCACCGGGTAATTACCTCCCGAGGTATTTGCATACAACCAACATACAGGCGCCTTACATACACAGTGCCTGGAGACATGAGACTCAACTGTTCACGAGCAAGCCTCCGACATCCTGGAAATTGCGAGATGGAAGCGGAATGCATAAAATGTACTTCGTGTATTAAATCACGATAACAAGATTGCGAACAGAACCGAAATCATCGGTAGTGGTAAAGAACATTTGCCACACATGAACAACTGGACTCACATTGCACATCCACAGATTACCCAAAGCAAGACATGAACTTCATTGAAACACATCAGACATGATGGGCACGTCACAGTCCAACGACAACAAGTGCATTACCCAAATCACCCCCGTCACCAAGCCTCCAACTACACGAAAAAATGACACCCCAAAATGCTATCCGCACATGCTAGATAGTAACAGGTGGTATCTACAAGAAGCGCAAAAGACCATCTAGCAAAACAAATGAAAACCGCCTAAATCATCCTGGCCGCCCTTTTAACACACCACTTAAAGAGCAAAGAACAGCGCCGCCACTACCGCAGGCACACCAAGAGCCACGGCATTGCGGCCAGCACCGCCAGTTACGGGCAGTGTAGTCGTCGACGGGAAGCCCGACGTGGTGGGGAAGCCGGCCGACGGGGCCGACGAGAGCGCCGACGAAGGGGTAGTCTGCTCGACGGCAGTGGTGGGCTCCTCGACGGGAGTGGTAGGCTCGGGCTTGGGCACCGTCAGCGTGGTAAAGCGCGTGGTGGTGATCGCGGTGGTCGAGGTCAAGTCGGCCTCGTCGTCATCATCGCCGCCCTCACCGGGGGTCGGATTGGGCGAGTCGACCGAGGAAGTCGGCTCGGGCGAGTCAACCGAGGGGGTGGAGGAGGGGCCGCCGACAACATCAGTGATGGGGCAGACAGTGGTGCTGACGGCAATAGTCTCGGTCACGACGCGGCCGGGACATGAAGTCACACTCGGCGCGCACGAGGTTATGGTGTAGGTGGTGGTCGTGTAGATGGTCGACGTCGTCATGCTCTGGGAAGCGGTGATACTGGGGCTGGCGCCGCCGTCCGAAGTCGACGTGCCGGTAATGGAGGCATCGGACGATGTGGCCGTCTCAGTGGCAGTCTCAGTGGCAGTCTCGACGGCAGTCTCGGTGGGAGTCTCAGTGGCAGTCTCGGTGACAGATTCGACAGCCGAAGTGCCAGTCTCGTCATCCTCACAAGTGTCATCCTCAGTCGAGGTGCTGGTGGCCGGCTCGCCGCTGTCAGTCGAAGTAGAATCAGGCGCAGAGGTGATTGTAGCGGACTTGGTGGCGGACTCGACAGCGGAGGTGCTGGTTTCGTCATCCTCACAAGTGTCGTCCTCGCCAGTCGAGGTGCTGGTAGCCACATCACTGCTGGTGGAGGTTGGCTCGGGGGCCGAGGTAATAGTCACAGACTCGGTGGCGGACTCTACGGCTGAGGTGCTAGTCTCCTCATCTTCACAAGTGTCATCGTCCTCAGTCGAAGTAGCAGTCGCCGTTTCGCTGCTGGTTGTCGGAGTGACTTCAGGGGCGGAGGTGATGGTGGAGGTTTCCGTGGCAGTTTCGGTGGCAGCCTCGGTGGCAGACTCAGAGACAGACTCAGAAACGGATTCGGTGGCAGTCTCGGTGGCAGTCTCGGTGGCAGTCTCGGTGGCAGTCTCGGTGGCAGTCTCGGTGGCAGTCTCGGTGGCAGTCTCGGTGGCAGTCTCGGCGGTTGAAGTGGACTCAACCGAGGAGGAAGGCTCGGCCGTGGTGGAGGTGGTAGATGTGCTAGTGCTAGTGCTAGTGCTGGCCGAGGTGCTGGTCGAGGTGCTGGTCGAGGTGCTGGTCGTGGTGCTGGTCGAGGTGCTGGTCGAGGTGCTGGTCGAGGTGCTGGTCGAGGTGCTGGTCGAAGTGCTGGAGCTGGTCGAAGTGCTGGAGCTGGTCGAAGTGCTGGAGCTGGTCGAAGTGCTGGTGGTCGAAGTGGTGACGGGAGGCGGGATGCCAAACTTCACGCAAACCTTTTGGTCAAGCGCTAGTAGCAGGCAGTCAATCCCAAGGTTGAGGGCCATCAAGTCATCCAGAGTCATCCCGTAGTAGTTGGCAATATCAAAGCAAGTGTCGCCGCCGACAACGTTATGCCACCTAACGCAGGCAGTCGGAGTTGGGGTCGGGCCGGTGGACGTGGTGGTTGGGGACGCCGGCCCGCAAGCATACTCATGCATGAGGTCGTAGTAACGGGTGCCGCTGAACTTCTCGCTGCCGTAAACGGCATCCCACACCATAACACCGCCAAAAGCCGGCTTGTTCTTGTGCTTGTTAATCAGAGCGTGTGCCTGCGAAGGCTGGAGGTACCCCGAACCAGCAGCCGCTTTGGAACCAGGCAGCCCGAGGAAGATCTTGGCATTCTTGCTGGCGGTGTTCTTGAGATACGAGGCCCAGGCATCGAAGTTGTTGTTGTTCACTCCAGCGCACATGTCGTTGTTGTAGAACTGGATGAATAAGGCATCAAACTGGCATTCGTTGATGATGGTTTTCATCTTGAAATATTTATCCTCCAAGGGGCATTCGGGAGCCGCAGTGATGAGGTACTTCCTGCTCGTGTCCAGGCTGGTCAAGCCACGTAGACGCCGGACCATGGCAACATAGCCGGTTTGGTCCTCTGGAGAGGCGTTAGCATCATCGGGTTATCACCAGGCAAGGGAAGACAACTTGTGTAAAAGGGAGAGGAGGTGGAGGGCAGTCTCACCGAACTTGTGCTCGATATCAAAGTCGAAGCCGTCAAATACAAAGTGCTCATCGCCCTCCTCGGCGCCATAGTAGTCGTCAAACGGCCTTGGCTTGCCCTCCCAGTCCTTGTTGTAGGGACCAAAGGCGCCCCAGATGAAGTCGGCAAAGTACTCGCCGGCAGGCCCGCTTGAGATGGTGTAGTCGGTATGGGGCGGATCCCACTGGCCGCCGATAGAGAGAAGCACCTTCTTTCCCTTCTTCTGACAATACCGGACATCGGCGGCGATCTGACCACAGCGGGCAAGGAGGTTCGAGTCCACTTCGTTGGGGTCCTTGTACTTGGCCTCGACGCAATGAACAGCGAAGTCGCTTCCCGGGTACTTCAAGCTGGACGGATCCTGCTCGGGCGACTTGTTGATGAAGCCGACAGTGACATACTCAAAGCTGGAGTCATCGCAAAAGGTCCTGAGCCTATCTGTGGCCACGCCCTTCTGTCCCCAGTAAACGTTGACGGCAGGGGTTGCCAAGGCCGGGACAGCAGCCAAAGCCGCGACGGCCAGAGCCTTGGTGAGCATTATGGTGTTGGGGGGGTATTAACAATACGAGGCGTTTTTTTCCCCCCAAAAATGGAGTGCTCCCGAGAGAAGCCGCGTCTTGTAAAGAGGGTGTCTGGTGGATGTTGAGCCCCTATTGAAGGGCGCAAACAAATCTTTTACAACCTCGTGGTCGAACCACCCCTTCGTGTTTGCTTTCCCCGGCCCCCAGAGGAGGCTCTGGCGAAAAAGGGGGGGGCGCCGGGCCCCCCCACGCTTTTTTTCCAGAGTGCCTCTCTTTCTCCCCCCACCCAAAAAATTTCCCCCGGGCGGGGGGGGGCCCCATCACGAGATAGCTCTGACCATCTCGCGCAGCTGAAGCTCCCAATGTTTTTCAATTCAACATCATCAATTCCATCAAAAAATTTGTCAGGGGGTGGGGGGGGGGGGGGGGGGCTCAGGAAATTATCACGCATGTGCGGTAACCCTCCCACGCGCCCGGCGGACACCAACCGCCCGCTGACGAGTTTTGACAGGTTGATGGCATGTTTTTGTGTGGGCGCGTGTGTGAATGGGCTCAGAATGGCCTCGTTCCTCCAACAGTTGAAAAACCTAGGTTGTTAAGTCAATCTTTTCGAGTTCAGAATGCCACAGGTGAATCCTGCGATGGCGACAGAGGTAAGGTGCCTCGATCCATGGTCGGCGCTTCTCCAGTGCAGGTTCCTTCCATCTCGTCCGTTCCTGCATCGTGCTTCCCGGGAGATTCGCCTGCATATTGGCCGCCACACGGCATCTTTTGGCCGCAGAGCCGAGTCTGCGATACCACTTTTCGTCCCAAAGAAGAAGGCGCCCCTGCCAAGCCGATATTTTGCTCTTACACAAGTCCCCCGCGTCCCAAGGACCAACAAACATGAGTGCGCCATGCCCAAAGCAGGTGAAGCTTGCGCTCCCACTTCGCATTCTGCCTGCTTCTGCCTAGGTTGTTGGTGGGCGATATGGAGTCTCCCAATGGCTTTGACTGAGCTGACTCAGGTGCAACATTCTCGACTCCCATTCGACCATCTCCGAGGTTGGAGAACCGCTAATGAATCCTGCCGCGTGAACAATGGGGCCGGGCCTGCCGCCCAAGTCCGGGTAAACCTGGTTTGTCGTTGACATGTTTATTTTCGGATCCTGTCCTGTTGAGAATGATCATGATGGCGTGTGCACATCGATCTGGACGCCCTCTCGCCGATCCGGGCTGCCTTCCCGTGGGCTCGATCACTTCCCCTCTCGGCGATGAGGCTCTGCGCTGATCAACGACCGGCGCAATCAGGCTATCAGCAAAGCTTCTCCGTTGGTGCCCGGTGCCAGGGAGGCCCTGCACTTCTCCACTTAACAAGATCCAAACCCCGGTCTGGGCACGCAAGCGCAAGGTTTTTGAGTTTTTATCAACTTGCTGCCCCTCATCAAGAAGATTTCTTGGACCCATGGTGTCATGATTCCATCGCGGCCCTAGCCATGGCCTTGATTGTGGGCACTGGCGGACTTGGGTGCCTTGGGTAATTTTGTTGGTTCTTTCGTTGTCTGGTTATATCAATCAGCCGGCTCGCTAAGCGCTGGGCACAGGAGCTTCTCCTCCTCAACATCCCAGAGCCAAAAGCGGCCCTACTCAGTTGCTTCTGCTGTGTATTGGAGTCTGTTTTTCGAAATTGCGCCTCGAATCAGTACCGTTTCAGCTGATTGATGGTTGAGCAACAGTCAATCTTCATATGCATTGATGCAGTCTCAGCTCAATCTTCGCCCAGGAGGAAGGGGGGCGACTTCGCTCGGCCGCGGCGCGCGTAGGACTCTAAATGTCAAGTCGTATCATGGATTCCAACCATCTCTTCGGATCCAGTTCAGTCGGCCAGTCCTTTCTCATTCACTGGGGGGTTGTTTCCAAGACCGTCGTCTCTCACCCATTGGGGCTGGGGTCTTCGGTTCAGCGGTGGCCCTTGGACGAACACAAGTGCGCTGCATAGCGCCGAAATGACAAATGGTGTTGCGCCTGCGTGGGCGTTCTTGGTTCCGGGCCAGGGCAATCGGTCATCTTGAATTATCAACTCCTTGTCGTTTGACCCTTCCCTGTGGCTGCTCGAGGTTTGCGAGTGAGCTCCCATGGGCAGGGTTTGACATGGAAGCTTGAGACAGTCGTTGGGCGGGGAGTGAATCTGGTGCAACGAATATGGATGGCGCCCCCCCGGCCGAGCGGTTGAGTCCCAGATCGGACAGTTGAGGTTTGAGAAAGTCGGCCGTGGGATGGTGCTCTGTCCATCATGATGGCAGCCGACAAGCCCCCTTTCTTCTGTTCCCCGTTGTCTTTTCGGGGCGCTAGCCCAGATATCGGGAGCGTGGACGGGGGATTGGTCGTCCTCGGGGAAATCGGAGAACTATCTGCATAGCCCTGCCCCCATGGCAGCTGCATCCCGTGCATGGCATGACGGGGAAGCCCGGTGTCTCGGCGGTCTGGTCATATTTAAGTATCATGATGGGATAGTTGAGTCGCCAGTTCATCAAGTGGGCTGCAAGCTGACCCTGTCAAGTCTCCAGCGACAGGTGAGTACCACACGGAAACAAGCCTCCCTAGTCTGCCATCGGCTCCGCCGGTAAGTTTTGTCCTCTCACTACTCTCTTTGAGTCACAAGGCTCTCTTCAAGCAGTGAAAACTGCCAGGTGTCGTCCTTGTATGGCAGTTTGATCTCTGGATTCGGGGGTTCGTTGTTTGTGGCTCTTGGAGGCCGTCTGGAAAGCAGAGGACTCTTCTTAGGCGGCCGTGGCAGAGTTATCCTTCGGGGGAACCGAGCGATAAACAAGACGCAAAACACAACGATTCTTGACCAACCAACACGATTACAGCGTAATGAGCCGTCAAAATAATGGAGGTATTCTAAAGATCCCTCTCGTTCACCGATCCTAAGTATAGATAGGTCTATTTTGGCTGTCAATTACCCAATGTCCTGAGCAATCAGGTGCAAAATGATCCCGAACCTCTGGATCAAGACCGTGCTTTCATTAGTCTACTGCCTTTCTCAACTCTCTCGCGGGGTGGGGAGTTTGCCGGAACTCCCGTTGTCAGGAATTTGTATTCCCAACTAGTATCTATACGGAGCGCCGCAAACGACACCTTTTAAAGTTTAAAGGGACCAGAGTTGCCATTTTATTTATGTCGCTGGAGGGAAGCACGTGGTGTTTGCTTCACTAGGTATGGTGTCTTGTTCCCGCAAGTCACCCTCACTACTGGGGCAACGGGCAACTCTCATCCCCGATCACCGTCAATTCCAGCCTCTCTGCATCGCGCGTTCGGGCTTGAGCTTTGGCCGGCAATCCGACCCCACTGCTCAACCAAGCCGGCCTGATGTGATGACATCAACATAACCGAGCTACGACGGTCCATTCAACTGGTCACCCGCCGCTGGCACTGATGGCAACCTTCCATCATATGTATTTTGTGTGTTTTGCTGGTAGTACTCAGACTAAAATAGCTATGGCTTCTTTCCTAAGAATGGATCACGGTAACAACCCTGAATCAAAAGCGAATATTTACTTGTTGTCCTGGTGGGACTAGGGAAGTTGCACGAGGGCACGGCAGTAAACCTTTATGATCCGTCCCCAAAAACAACTATTTTTGCTTCTCGACGAAGCCTGGTGTTATGGACCTCAGTGTTAGTAAACCTTTGCTACCCTTGACCTGATTGAGTTCATTAGTGTTGTTGAACCGCTGTGATGCTCACAGGTGCTGGGTCTGTATCTGTGACTTTTACGCCCGATGGCCTGGCAATGGCTTGGACACAGCAAGTGGCGTAATGGGGAGTCTGACGGGCCAATGTGGAGTTATGTACAGCTGCCCCCTTGTTGGCGGCCGCGTAGCCCAAATAGATGATATGAATCACCAAATCCTTATTGTTGAGTCTTGTTACTTTCGAATGTGCTTCCTCCCGTTTGGAAGATTTCATAGAACAAGAAACGTAAGGTCTTCACCGGTGTCAAAAGGGCAGAAGATTGAACCTCAAACTACCAACAGCAGTTGCTCTTTGTTAGTTGTGAGAAACGTTCATTCCATGATGGCAACCGGCTGAGCCGGCGTTGTTACATCGACCGGGGTTAAAATTCTGGTCTCAGACGTGGCGAGAACGCAGATGGATGTAACAACAGCCCACTTCCGGAATGCCTCGGATGGCTGCTCACGACCGTTTTACCACTGCGCCAGTGGAGCAAAACCACTGTCACTGGTTTAAAGGGACAAGAGTTACGAAGCACCGTGATTGCCGTGCCGTTCCCAGGTTGGCTGTCGTCTGGAGTTTCCGTCGACCTTCGCAGGGACAATCCAAGGAGTTGCCAGGGCACGTCTAAGCCACAACAGGCATTTTCCGCCGATCATAAACCATGCCTCGACGGCGATCTTTAAAACAAAATCATGCAGAGGATCCCAAAGCGCTGCTCACTGTGACTGTGGGCGTCCCGGGCGGTTATTTTTGGCGACGGGCGCCGGCATTTGGGACAGCCCTGCGAGAAGTCGAGAGTCGGAGCGTTGTGATTTTCTCGCCCGGGCAGTACGCCGAGCAAAATAGGTAGGTCGGGTACTTAGGCGGGTGGGCTGTTAAGGTAGCCATTTGTATCCATCGAACGAGGAATGCAAGCAATGTTCCATGATGGCATGCATTTGCAGCCTGCACTGCATCAAAACATGGCGTGTGGCGTTCGACGAACCAGTCAGCCAATTCAACCCGTCTCGCGCAACGTTGGCTCGGGTTGGCTCGTTCAAACATGCTTGGCCGTCGATTGGGTGGCGGGATCGACAGGACTGCTCACCTTGAACGGCGTGACTGGGAGACTGGCACGAATTGGGGGGCCTGGGGGGTTCACTGCGAAACTGTGGCATGGAAACCTGGAAGTTTCTCAGAGCATCGATTGGATGGTGAGGCAATCAGGAAAGAGAAAAGCGGAGGGACGATGGTTCGGTGGAGTCGAGAAAGCGGCAGAGCGGATGTCCCGTTCGGCCACGCGACCGTTGCCAGTGTGTTCTCCGTTGCCGACAGTGGGCAAATGGCTGAAAATGGATGGTGGCCTCACGCGCGCGGCGGGATACGAGCACCGTTGACACCGAAAGTGGCTCCCAAAGCCCACACCCCTGACGTTCTCATCCCCTCCTGCCCCTGCCAACCCCTTCCCGTCCACGCAATCTGCGAAGACCAACTTTTGTTGCCCGGCTCATCCTTTCTCTCAAACATACTCCAAAAAGCCATTTCACAAATCCACTCGTTTCCATTTCCCCGCTCTCGTTTCCTAGTCGATTTGATTTTACGTTCAATATCACACAGCACTACTACTAAGCATCTAAGGTACCTAGCTCGACCAGCTTTCCTCAATTTCAGCACGGGTTATATTTTCGACCCACCCAGGTCACACGGCACACCCTTCATTTCGCCGTGTTTGGAACGGCCTGTCTTGCGGCTTGGTCGCCTTTCATCCGAAACTGTCGGCTCAGCCTGGGCGATCCTCGAAAACTCGACACGCTTCACGAATAACAGTAGAGGAGCGAGACAGCGACGGGAATACGAATACCATTTCTTAAACGGGAGCGCCTCTCGTATCACACGAAAGGGGCCATCGCCGCATTTGTCTCGCGACCGCGACAAAATCGGTCACAATGCAGCTCAACAGGGCGCTCAGGTTCCTCGTCTTGGGGCTTTCGGCCGTGTCTGTCGCTGAGGCCACCTTCGCCGGCGCCAACATTGCCGGGCGCAAGGTAAAAGAGATTCAGCGTAGACAGGACGACGACGCGAAGGCCGATCCCGACACCACGGATGCGGGCTCTCCTGAGCAGACGTCGACATCGGTCCCGGCGGATCCCACTTCAGAAGAACCCGAGTCCACCCCTCCTCCCGTCACGTCGTCCACCCCGACAAAGCCTCCTGTGACGTCAACCCCAGCAACATCCACACCGGAGCCTACATCGTCCAACAAGCCGCCTTCTTCCAGCGCAAATGACGACGACAATAGCTCGCCGACAACGAGCCACTCGGCCAAGCCGACCTCATCGGCCGACGAGGACACACCTGGGGAGACGACGATTACCTCTACCCAGATTATCACGACCACTCGCGAAGATGGTTCGCCGGTTACCTACACCAGCGAGACCACTTCAACGGAGACCCCCGGGCTCGCGGACGACAAAAACAGCGGCCAGGAGTCGGGTATGTCGCCGCAGACACGCAACACGGTTATCGGCGTGGTGGTTGGCGTGGGCGGTGCCATCATTTCTCGGCGGCTTGGCGCTGGTCGCCTGGAGGATTTGGGGTCGCAAGAAGCACCAGGACGAGAACGACGGCTTGATGGACTACGGCAGCGCCATCGAGAGTAAGCCCGAGACCGGCGGCTCCTTGACCAGCCGCACTCCCTTCCAGAGCACCCTCGAGAGCTACCACGCGCCGACCCAAGTCAACACGGCGGCCAACTTTTAAGCTACCGCCGCCCTCCTCCCGCTCTTCTGCATGGTGGAATTCGCTTTTTATAGCCACTTCGGCTTGCTTCGTTTGTCGATATTTTTGGTTTCCTCGTCTCAATTTTGGGAGCGGTAAGGAGTTTTACGGACCATTTACAGCATCCGTCCAGGCGTCATCGTTGTCGGTCGAGAAAGCAGTTGGCGCATGTTTACCATCGCGTCAATCAACCTTCGGGTAGGCATGGCTTGCGTGGGGAAAAAAAGGGAGAGCCTGTTTTGGGCATCCATTAATGACCAAAGATGCTGGGGATGGCGAAATCGCGGAGTTTTACCTCGTTGTGGCGGTTGAAGAGGTTGCTAAGTGGAGCATTCTGGGACACACCAAACGAAGATTTTCTCTCTGTCTTTTTTCTCTTTCATGTTTTGATGGGTTTCGACTGGATTTGATGTGGTCCGAGGCCGCACAAAATACCTACCTAGCCATGTGTAGGAACTTTAATATATCTACCATCCACTGAAGCCAGGGCAGTTTTGACATTTTTGGAGTACCTGCCGTTATAACCACAACGCCTGCCTTTTGTACCGCAGCATATGTGCTGTGCATAACGCCCGGGCACATACCCGCCCGTTCACATAGTTGTAGTCTTCCGCCTGAGATGTAGATTAGGAACAGTTTCCGAATGAACCCTTGACGCTCGGACAGGCGCATCGCCATGTCACGTGCTGGGATGCACCCCTTTTGGTGATGGTTGAGCGCATCTGTCTCAAGACAGTTTCATCACCAAGGTTAGCACGCTGGGCAGTGAGGGTCACTGTGTTCAGGTCGATTCGGATCTGAATTCTCCGGAATGCACTTAGTGTGGCAGATCGAGCTAGAAAATATCATGGCTTCTTGCTTGGATTCTTTTACTCCATCCATCCACCCTTTACCTTCCACGATGCCATGATACTGCTGATACTACTACGTTTCTTGAAGCTAATCACGTCGTGACAACCTCCTCGCCACGTTTCCCTGACCCTAGTTTGTTCGGCTCATGAGCCTGGGCCGAAACCGTTCCGCCGCCCTACGATAGCAGAGCCTCCCATAATGCAACTCACATCCTTGTCCCTCCTCGCGGCCTGGTCCGCTCTCGCCGTCGCGTCACTCAACGTCGGCAGCAGCGGCAACGGAGTCGGGCAGAGCGAATTTCACCTAGGCGTCATTCTCCCGCGACAGCAGAGCCGCACCAACCTGCAAGTCTTCTCAGGCGCCCTTGGTGGCACCGGGGCGTCGGCCATCACCAACTCGGGCGACCCGGAGCGACCGTTTGAGGTCGACGGCGACACTTTTGTATGCCACCCATCTATCTAAGTCATATAAGAACCCCCCCCCGCAAGATACACAGGTTCGCTAACCGGGGGCAATACCCTGGGTAAGAGAGACTACGACACTGCCGCGAATCGCGCCTGTGACAACCAGAAGAATGCGTGCGCCGACATAGCCAACAATAGGGGCGGCGCTTTCGAGGTCGGTGATTGTGACCAGCAAACCGGTGAGTCAGTCCTGCCCGCCCGGCTACCTGCCTACCTGCCTACCCGCCTACCCGCCTACCCGCCTACCCGCCTACCCGCCTACCTGCCTACCCGCCCCGTTGGACACCAATGTTTGGGTACCTAGCTACCTAGGTAACTACTTTGGTGTTGGAGGGCAGTAGTAGTCCGACTGACGTTTTGCGGGTGTTATAGAACAGTGCAAGAGCTCGGCGTCGTCGGCCACGGTCAAGACGTTTGGGACGCAAGTGCTAGTGAGCTCGGATGAGCAGTTCGATTATTTCTGTGAGGTGTAGCCGCCCGGCGGCGGCGGCGGTCAGGCTTCGGTGTGGATATGGGGGGGTTAGTTGTGGGTTCTGGTCGGGCTGGGCTGGGGGACAAGAGGAGTTTGGGAGTTTGTTGTTTTGGATTTGTTGGTTCGGCGGTGTCGTTCGCGCATGGAGCACACTCGGGAATCACCAATCAGAGGGCCTCGAGTTTGCCAGCGAGACCACTTGACTCGGGCACCAGTCAGGCACTGTGGCGGCGTGCAGCAAAGTGTCTCGAACGGACTGCGTTGGCTGGCTTGTCGTTGTTGATCGAGTCGTCTTCCGATTCGGCTGTATGCATCATCAAACGGGCGTCAGATTGCCCTTTTTTCCTTCTTCTTCGAATTGAACAATATCAAAGGCGCAAAAAGATGAAGGCTTTGCCATTTATATGCGAAGAAGGAACTGGAATAATAATTGAGCCATACCTACAAAAGCATTTTCTACACAACAACAAACATGGATCTTGCCTGTGAATCCCAAGTTCTTGCCCTGTTGTCCGTGCAGCAGCCACTCGGCCCCGCGGCTTCAGTGGATCTCCTACTGCATAGTTTGCAAGGGGTGCTTCGCAGGGGTCCATGCATGTCTGTCGTGGCTCGTCCACGTTGTCCAACGTATGGAGTGCTTCTCGAGGTTGAAGATGAGAACCGCTCGAAGCAGTGCGGTCTGCCTGCGCTAAGTCTGACGGATGGTGGATGGCTTTGGCTCCAAGCTAGGTTCTTAATGCTCCGGCGTCGCAATTGTTACAAGTAACTTGGTCACAGGGGGCGGCCGTGAGTGGTTCGTCCCATTATCTGTGCGTTTGTCAGGTACCGACCATCTGCCAAAAGCGAACGAAATTACCAGCTAAAGCATGTGGACCGAGCAGGGAAGTTGGTTGATTAAACACAGCTCTTCCCGGCCAGGAAATTTATTGCCCAAGTTGGCCCACGACTCCTCCACCTTCCCGTCCCCTTCAAGCCAAACCACGGCCGTCTTCGCGTTTCCTTTGCTGCATGGTGCAGGCTACCGAGTCTCTTCAACCACCGTCACGTCAAGTCCATTCTCGGCAGCAACCGCGCGCAGCCTCGATGTGTCTCAAAGTCGCACACCTTCGGTTTTCCGTCTTCTTCTCGCTCGTTTAATTCAGTCAGGCATAAATTAAAACGTTGTAATTTGTCCCCCCTTTTTTTCGATTCGACCAGCACACCGACCTCTGCCGCAGCTTACCAGAAACGCGTCGCGTATCGGTTCGCTTGACAACTTTTGACAACTTGACAGCACCACCACCTCCGCTAGTGCCCGTCCCCGACAACGTTGTGATACGAGGGTGACGGAAGATTGTTTGTGACGCGTGGACTTTCTTTTGAAAATTGTATAGAATCAGTGCAGGCGATTACCGAATCGTCTGCTCTGATCTTGTTATCCGTGAGCTTAATCCCGCCGATCGCTGCTACGCCGCCCACAGGTTCTCTCTGGGCGACCAACTGTGGCTAACTAATCTAACTTGCACTTCTCCCCAAGAACCGTCAAAACGTCATCCGCAAAGCTGTCACCGAAACCCCCCCTCCCCCCTCGTGCGCCGGCACAGGAACGACGAAATAATTCCTGGGATCCATACAGATCGTCGCCCACAGTGTCGCCTGCGCTTTCCAGCGCCTCCACCGCTGACGGTGAGGCGTCCCCCGACCTCCCGCCCCTGTCAGCGCCCACACTGCCCGAGCGCGTCCTCGGGCTGTTGAGGACCCCGCCGGACAGCCGCGCAGAGTCGGAGGACGACGTCGCTACCGAGTACGTTGCCAACCAGTGGGGCTCGCCGTATCCGCCACACCTTAGGAACAGCCGGAGTATAAGTAGCGACGCCTCTGGAGACTCGCCGCTCCATCGTCTGGAGCTTCAGACCCCTTACCTCCGGCCTGCTCCTACCATACCGGAGGAGACCCAACCAGAGGTCCGCTTACCGGAGATCAGCGCGGCCGCCACTGTCCTCGCGAACCGGGCCAGGCGTGTCGCGAACGGCATCACCGAGGGTTGGATCCGCCAGCATACTGCTGGAGGCACCGTCGAGCAAGAGAGACGGCACTGGTTCAGCGACGGAGATAGTGAGAACTCTTCATTGAGCGGCTCATTTTCCGAGGAAGCTGCCTGGTTGGACGACGACACCGTACGAACCCCCAAGGCAAACCGCACAAAATCGGGTGATAGGAGTAGGCAAACTTCTCGGGGCGGACTGGGGAAGCAGTCTAGCAACGAGACACTCAGGCAATCGCACCTGAGCCGCAAAAAAGACACCACGACCAACAAGATGGCATCGTCGGACGACATGGCGACACCCGACAGCATAGGGGATTTTGGACCATTTTGCAAACCAATGGAGAGATCTCACACACCGACAAGCGACCGCAATGCGACAGGACCAAATATTGCTGGTGGCATCCCCAACACTGTGCCTCTTACCCCACCAAGAGCCGTCGTCAAGCGGTCCGCGGCGACGCCGCGGTTAAAGAAGAGGATACCCTGGAAAGGCAAAAATATTCTAGTTCTTCTTCCGAGGGATAATGAGCGTGGTCAGCCGGGCAAAAGCCCCGTTCCCCTGACCGAGGCCAACGTTTCCGGTATGCTCCGGAGCTGGCAGGAACTCGGCTACGACATCGACGGATTCGATTTGTACGAGCCGGCTGCAGAGGTGGAAGCGAAGGAACAGTCACAGAGTAGGGGTGCCTGGCCAGATCCCGAGGACTTGATAAAAGAGCAGAAGAGCCGTGACTGGACAGTGCTTCTTCCGGACCTAAACGGTAAGCGCTTTGTGGTTAGGGTATTCTATATTCTGATACTAACCGTGTCCGTAGCGTGGAAACGGTATGTAAGAGGAGCTGAACGAGGCAAAGCTCCGCGCACTCCGGAGTATCTTTTGGAGATGAGGACCCCCCTACCGCCATCGAATTTCCCCCAGCATCTGCAGCAAGCAGACAAGCCATCGATCGCGCAATACCCCCCGCTCCCCTTCTCCCCCGCCTATTCCCGACTTCTTCGGCTTCGAGCACCCCGGTCATCCCCGGCTTTCCCTTCCCTGGCCACTTCGTCACATCCGCCTCCCAGAGCCCTGGTATCCCGGCTGGCGCTTCGCCTGGACCGTTTGGCTCCAAATTCAACCCCCGCGCATCGATTTCTGTTCATTCACCGCATGGGTGGTCTCCGCAAATGATGCTACAACACGGCCACCGTGGTGGCTCGCCCTCGCTGGCTAACCTCGGTGCGATGATGTCGCCCCCTTCACCTTTCTCTCCCGATGGAATGCCAGGGCATCATCGTCACCAGTCACTGCAATTTCCGACGTTGCCTCATCAGTTCCAACCACCGGTTAGAGCTTCGCCTCGCCTCCAAGACCTTCGTGAGGTGGAAGAAGAACCAGCACCCGAGGTTCCGGTACCAAAGAGTCCCAAGCAGCGCTTTGTCCACCACAATGCCAGCGATAGCCTGCAGAAGGAGATCGACGAAGCAGAGTATCACCTGGAGGAACAAATGCGGTCACAGCTCGACAACGACGTGGACTACAGCCCCCACAATGACAGTGACAAGCCAGAGGCAGGTCCGGTTGCCTCTACGGTTGGTCATACGGGAGAGCAATTGGGCCAGTTCACGCCTCAGCCTCATCGATTCCCCGGGAAGGCGGATGGCCCGATACTGCATCATCCCCGGCCCCATAGCCGCGGGCATTCGCTATCCCAGAAATATTTCACTGAAGACGACGCTTCTACCCAGGGAACTTTCAGGCCCACCCTCCAGCAGATCACCGCGCAGCCGGCCGAGGAAGATGAGATCGAGACGAACCCAAGTAATTTGGGCACACCTGTGCAGACCTTGGAGTTCTCCAAGCTTGCCCAGCACCAGCGTGGCTTCTCCACTGCTAGCAACCCCTGGACCGAAAACGAGTCTGGCAAGTCGACCAATGGCCACCGAGCGCGCCCCAGCCATGGCAGCGTTTCCTCCTTTTCAAAACTCAATGTCGACGCTCCTGAATTCAAGTTCAACCCCACGAGCACCTTCAAGCCCGGCGCATTCAGTTTCTCAAACAATTCCTTCCAGCCCACGGTGTTCAATACGAGCGTGAATCAAACCAACTTGAACCAGCCCAGCCTACCAACGGCTGGTTCCTCCAAGATCAACGCAAACGCGCCTGTCTTCTCCCCCCGCCAAAGCGAGTTCAGCTTCTCGGCTTCTGGTCCCAAGTTTCGCCCGGATGCTCCTTCTTTCACACCAAGATCAATGCCTGCGTCCGTCGCGAGCCCGGTTATGTCGGGGGCTGAGAGTGGTAGCAACCGGAACAGCTCCATCTTTGGCGCCATTGATCTAAGCGGGGCGGCTCATGGCAAGTCAGTGAAGAACAACGACGTGGCCTCGATCACACAACTAGAACGCCAGGAATCGCCCGCTGTTAATGGTGTGCGGTACGACTCTGATGGCCGCCCTCTGTTTGATGAGTCTCGCGTCAAGAGGACCTGGGAAAAAGCCGTCGACGGTGATGATGTGCCGCTGTTTGCGGAACCCACCAAGGACGACACGCCTGTGCCCGAGCCGCACCTGGATACAATGGAAGACAAGTCGTTTGATGAGTCCAACCTGGGGCTCAATGACATGACAATGTCGTCAACCATGGCCTCCGAGACGACGGATACGAAGGCCACCGTTAGCCCTTCTGAGCCCTCGCCGGACCATGCCACATTGAAATGGGCACCTTTCGAGTTCAAGAACAACACTGACATGCAAGCCTTCAACGACGCAAGGCCGTTCGATCCCGAGGCATTCAAGCCTGGCCACAAGAAGTCCCTCTCTGCCACGGCCAAGGATTTTATACCCGGTGCGGCAGTCTGGGCAGCTCCTACCGAACAGACCACCGATACTGTTTCTGACAAGAATGTCGATCAAATTACCGACGCGTCTGCTTCTCCGGAAACAGATGCGACGGTCAACATTGAACCAGCAGTAGCCGCTAAGGAGGAGTCGCTGACCCCAGAGGAACAAGTGGCGGAATCCGTTGAGAAGCCGGTGGAAGAACAAGTCCTGTCCGATCCTGTTCCCCCACCCACGGCCGCTCCCCAACCGCCCGCTGCTGCCGAGAACATCGCTGCTTCTGATGATGCACAAGCATCACCTCCCCAGCCGCCGAAGCGTAGCGGCCTCGCCGCTTCCCGCTTCGCTGCTCCTACATCGCCGACGGAAGAAGACGAGCCGGCCGTTGTTGAACGCGCCGTCTCGCCTCCCATCTCTGAGAAGCTGCTTACTCCGTCAACTGTCGAACGTGACGAACCTGCGGTAGGCGATCTAATCGCTGAGCAGTCTATGGCTGATATCGACGAGGTAATGCGTCTCATGAATGACGACCCGGACATGGGTGTCAACAGGACATATGACGATCAGTCACCATGGCACGAGGCGAGTCCGATCCGCCCGTCTGCTCTTGTTACGGACTCGTCACCTACCCGCCTACCTCCTCCGAGTTACGAGCGCAGTGATGCTCCAAGTCCTAGCCAAGCTGGCTATCCTCATTCACCGGCACTCGACCTGGAAGACCCCTTCATCGACCCCTCCCGCAGCGGCCAGTCAGCTGAGGGCGCCGTCCACCGTCTCAATGGTAGCGAGAGCCTACCAGCTAGTGACTGGGAAGGCGTCTTTAGCGAGTCAGAGCAAACCAAGCTGGAGTCGCGCGTCGCCTTTTTCGACGGTCGTGTTAATGAGCTTGTCGGTGGCCTGCTCGCTGCCCGTCTTGGGCCGCTTGAGCGGACGCTGGACAGCATCAACCACGTTTTGTCGAGGCGGGCGCCATCCATCCGCCGTGAACGAGGCAGCTTCTCTGTGGAAGTTCGCGAGAGTGATGCTGATGATGAGGATGATGAGATGCCCGGCCCCCCTCGCTCCATGAGCCCGCGTCGGGACCGCAAGATGGACCAGATTCGTGCTGTCATTCTGGATGTCCTTGCCTCGCAGCGGCGGAATCAGCTGGCCGAGTCGTCGTCGCCACTTGACAACTCCTTTGTCCTGAAGGCAATCGAAGAAATGAAGGAGCACCTGGGCCAGTCGCTTCAACCTGCGTTCCGCAGCGAGGACTTCAAGACTATTGTTGAGGATGCCGTGGAGCGCCGCTTGCCACCCCTATCCCCTGCCACGGGTAAGGATGAGCAGGTGAACGAGCTCCAGGCCCGCGTTGCTGAGCTCGAACAGCGGCTCCGCGCCGAGGAGACCAAGGCCGAAGCCGAGGTTTCCGCCAGGCGCGCTGCTGAAGATCGGGCGGCAGAGGCTGGTCGTGAACTCCAATCTGTGGCTACCAGGATCGAGGTCGAGATGATAAACAAGAGTGCCTTGAACCAGCGCATTGCCGACCTTGAAGATCGGGTGCAGCACGCGGAGACCGACGCAGAAGAACAGGTCAAGGGCAGACGGGCGGCCGAGGACCGGCTTTCTGAGGTGCAGCGCCTGCTTCGGATAGCGACCGAGGAGGAGACACGGCTTAGAGATCTGGTCGACGAGAAGGACGAGAAGATCAAGGCGGCCGAGGCTCTCCACAGCCAGAGTGCCATACGTCTCACCGTCTTGGAGGCCAGCCAGGCCACTGCTCATCAGTCTCAGGGTGAAGCGCAGAACCGCATTAATGCCCTCGAGGCTGATGCCCGCGAGGCACGCAAGGAAGCCCAGCATTGGCGCTCTGAGACTGACCGCATCGGCGCCATCATTCGACGTGGTGACAAGGATCTTGCGCACGCCCTCGACGAGAACAAGGCCATGCACAAGCTCATCGACACTCTGGGCACCCAGCTGCAGGAGAATGAGCGTATACGTGATACCTGGCGCACCAAGTTTATCTCTATGCAAGACGAGATGGCCCAAGCGACGAGGGAGATCACCGAGGAGAACGCTCGCCGTACCAAGAAGGAACAGGCGCTGCTTGCACGACAAGAGGTTCTCGATGCCAGGCTACAAGCCGAGGCAAGGACGCGCGAGCGTATCGAGACGGAACTCGAGAGGTTGGAGATGGGTGAGCGCCAAGGCATGCGGGCTGTCTCCGAGTGTAAGAGGCTCGAGGGCCTCCTCGCAGAGCTGCGCACCGAGAACCACAAGCTCCACCAGAGCTCTCTCCGCTACCAGGCCGAGTTCCAGGAGGCCAGAGAATCTGGTGCTCGCGAGGTTCAGCGCACGCGTGACGCGATGCAGGCCGAGGTGGAGAATGCCAACCACCAGGTCAACGTCGCCCGTGAGGAGCTCGAGGACCAGGTGTCGAGACTCAGGTCCCAGCTCGATCAGGTCAAGTTGGATGCTGACACGGCCAAGGCTCGCCACGATATGCTGCTGGAGGAAGCGCAGAACTCAAAGCAGACGAACCACGACGAACTGGTGCGCAAGCATCAAAATGAGATCGAGGACCTACAGGCACGCTACGAACGCCAACTCAACAACACGACGGAGGACGCGCACAGGGCCGAGCAGAACCTTTTGGAACGCCTCAGCATCTCGACGTCCAAGTCGGAACATCTGCAGGACAAAGTGGCGCATTTGCAGGAGAAGCTGGAAATTGCCCAGGAAGCTGCCCGAGCTGCCGCCCTGGCTGCAAAGTCGGCCTCCGGGCCCGAGGCTATCATTTCTCAACAAAAGCCTGCCGTCTCCGTCACGTCTGCTGCTCCTATTGCTGCACGTCAGCTCGACCTTCCTGAGAGGATCTCACCGCAAGCTCTGCGCGAGTCCATCATGGTGCTGCAAGAGCAGCTGCAAGAACGCGAGCAGACGATCGAGGCGCTGGAATCCAAGCTTTCCACGGTGGATCCAGAGGCGGAGACCAAGATTTCGAAGCGCGATGACGAGATTATCTGGCTGCGCGAACTTCTTGCTGTCAGACACTCGGATCTCCAGGACATTATCGGCGCCCTGAGCCGAGACGACTACGACAAGAACGCGGTCAAGGATGCAGCCATCCGTCTCAAGGCGAACCTCCAGATGGAGGAACAGGAACGCGAGCGGGCGATGAACGGCGGGTCATCCATCAAGCTGCCCAACATCGCAGCCACGATTCAGGCGGCAACGCCTCGTGTCGCTCAGGCGGTCGGTCCTTTGGCCGCAGCATGGGGTAACTGGCGGAAGGCGCGCGACCTCGGCAGCGCCCTGTCAACCCCTGCTCCCGCCAACGGACGGAACACGAACTCGACGCCATCGCGCGCCAGCCCCGCCTCGAGCAACCTGCTCGGCGGACTCCTGACGCCCCCGGCATCGCACGTGAACCAGACCCCGACGGCCCGATCCAAGCAACAGCAGCAGCAGCCGACTGCCTTCTCCAGCACCGGCCGCCGGTTCACCGCGCAGGACCTTGCCAACAGGCCCAGGCCTCCCCCGTCGTCGGCTTCCCCCTCGCTCTCGGATTCCTCCAAGGGCAAGGCCCCGGCGGTGCAGGAGACGCCGCGCCGGCGCCCGCTCGCCGACCCCGTCACGCCTCCCATGATGCGCTCGAGCGCGTACGACGATGATGCCCAAGCTGAGGACTTTGACGATACTGGTTTTTTTGAGGAGGACTGAACGTGGAGGAGAGGTGGTGGCTAAACGGGTCACCGCCGGTTTACCCAACAACTGAACAAACCTATTTTTTTTCCCTTTGTGATATTTCCTTGCGTCAAGACTGAAGCGGAGAAAATTATGGAGCGGGTCGTATGGTAGATATGATGTGCCAGCACACGGCGGCAGGTGGTGGCGGCGGCGGTAATGCTTTCGGAGTAGCTTATCTCCTTGTTTTTTGTTCCCTTATTTTTTTTTTATTTTTTTTTTTTGGCGTTTTTCCTTCGACCGACACCATTCTTGTTGCTGTTGCGCTTCGTTTTGACCGTTACTTCACTTCACCTTGCCTTGCTTTTGCCCTCTTTTGCTCAAGCGGCAAGCCATTCTTTGAGATTGGAGACGACTGTACTAGAATGATACCCCCCACCTTCTGATATCACACTTTTATTCTTGCCGTTGTTGTTAGTTTCTAGGCCAGTTTGCACCCCAAAGCCTCCCGTTTTGTGGAGGGCTTGGGCGAGTCCGGATGTGCGGTTTATAGGTAGTTAATACTTCTGCTGTGGTACATGATACATTGTACATCTTCCGCGAGCGCATTTGTTGATGTAGTTATTAGTTTGTCGTATTGATGGGTGTTGACGAGTCCTCGCGATAATGAGTGTTTTTGTACCTGAGGACGATATCACACACAGTTAAGGCCAGAGATATTAAATAGTCTGCTGATGATGAGAGTTTGAGGGATGTGTCGCATGATGGTGGGAGAAAAACATTACAATGCAATTTTGTAACTTTCTCAATCGACTCCTAACTGTTCGTGAAACGGGTGTCCGTGCCGCCTGTGTATGTTGATGACCTCCAGAATTATTACTGGTTTTGACCATGGAATGCCTCCTCGGCGTATTCTACATTGAACTCTTGGAACGATGCGGTGGTAAACCCCTTGAAAAGGGCGGGCAGCAGACCGCAGTGTGGATAACGAGCAAGGTGCATCAGCATCAACAGGAAGAACCTTGACTCTTATTTATTGCAACCCGCTGTTGCCTTCAGTAATGCCATAATACGGGCCAGATTTGACCCAATACACAGTTCGAAGTCAATGGTTCAATGGTTGGGTCAGATTTTAGTGTACCCCTGAGCATTTGTTTACATTAGGGGTTGACGTCACACAAGATTGGCGATGTTGAATTCGGACAATCCTCTGCGCGACTGTTAGTTGTTCTCCGCTTGGGCTAGCTAGTCCGGAAGGTCTTCTGCGATACGGCCAGACTCGGTGATCTGTTCCTCATTTTTGGGTTCTAGGACCACAAATGGTGACTTTCCTCCCCGACTTTTCATCTACTCGGCCGATCATAATGTTTCACCAGTAGAGAACATCGGCGATGCTCATCACCCTATTCTGGGACGGAGAAAGCAAGAGTAACCGGTGTCATCCACGGAATCGATTCCGAGAAGCTGTGGACGGTGGGTTCAGCCGCGGGTACATACCGGGTGCATATGTGACGAAGGGTACGATGTCTCATGGATGGAACGAGTAGCCGGGGCCGGGCCTGCTCGGGTCGTGTCGATATCGCGTCTTGCATCAATCAGGACATGCCGTCATGTTGTGTGACCAGGGGGTGACTGCACATGCTGCTGCCCGCCGAGGCTACTCGACCGCTCTTTCAGCTTCTGGATATGCTTCTTTCGGCATTTTCGAGGACCTCCCCGCCTCAGCACCAGCATCAGCAGCGGTAACCCGGTCGCTTCCCGGCCACGGAGGAACCTGGAACAAGTGAACTTATTAGTGAGAGTCCAATCAGAGGGCACATCAAGAGCACATCAGGGGGGCTTCGACCTGGAGCGGACTTGCTACCAGTTCCGTCTTGTCTCCGGCTTGCCCCCGGGCTCCCGTCGGAGGCAGATCTGAGATCGGGGCTGGGTGCAGGTCCCGAGGATTTAAGGTGAATTCTGAATTCTGGGGGCTGCAGCCTAAAGTGTCAAATCTGTGGAGAGCTGTCCTATTTTGGCAGGTGCCAACAGGAAGGTGGGAGGTGGCTTTCTTGGTTGCCGGGAATGGCTTCAAACCCGCCCGTCCGGTAGCGACGCCATATCCGTCGAGGTAGCGTTAGAGGGAGGGGGCGGGGGAGGGCGTCAGGCACGTGTGTGGGCGGTGTGTGCGGCCGCCTTTGCCGGTCACCATTCCGGAGGCGCTCTTCGGAGGTTTGCTTTTGCTGCATCGCCAGCTGGTACGAAGAACTAGTCAGGTCGTTCCCCCTCTCGGCGGTGAGGACATGAGAGCGCACGAAAGGCACGAGAATGCCCTGGGTATTGATTGCTGCGGCTCATCGATTGCACAAACCTCTCGAGTTCCTGGTCCATTACCGTTCTGGTCCCTGTCGCGGCAACCGAATCAAGTGTCCAATTCCCGACAGCATGCAGGGTAATATTGGGAACTTTTTTGGGCCTCTTTTGGCCGCAGGATTTCGGGGTTTCCAGTCTGTTGCGTGTTCGGGCGCGCAGCGCAGCGCAAGACACGGAGGCGTTGGTTCGCCACACTGTACCTACCTGAATGGGCAACTAAGGTACCTTCACCATCTCGAAACTTTTGGATTTGCTGCCTTCATTCATTCACCTGGCGCTGAAGATCCCTTCCTTCTCTCTCTGCAACACGGTTCTGTAGGTTAATTTAAATACTGTGTGGGCCAGGATTCGCCAAGTCTGTGCTCAATGGCAGAACAGAAGCACGGCCCACTCGAAACAGCAGTCGCGCTGTGGCTTCCTGCGACACGCCATTTCCAGTCCTTCCTCCCACTTTTTCTCTTTGGCAGTCCCAACAACCGGTGAGCGGTTCGATTGAAATCGGAACAGTCCAAAATGACGGGGATTTTGTGTGATGATAGTTTGCGGGAATTTACGCAATCACAACTGACCCTTGCTGCGGAGGGAGCAGTGGTCGGAGCTTGTCCAACCTGGCTCGGTTCCCCCAATGTGACGATCGATCAACCTGGGTTGAGCACCGAAACCAATCCAGTTAGTGTGTCGCTATTTTTGACATGCGACTCCCCTGATCGTCAGCGGCGAGATTGTTGCTCCTCAAGCGCATGTCGAACAGCAACCCGCTCCCAGTTCGAAAGGCCATGGACGCCACTCTCCCAAGATCTCGCAACGGATCTTAGCGTCTGCGGTGACCGTTAACGTCAACCTTGTTTGACGCCACGCAGCTTCGACTCTAGGGGTTCCAGACGAGCCGCGACGACGAGCCATCGGCCAACCGTTAGTTACACTAACCAACTAGGAGCTCCGACTTCTCGGGGAACAACCATGTAGAGAGCATCGCCTGGGAAATTGGTGGCTGCCACGAAAGCCGATTCCCCCAAGCATTATCCGCGAAGCAGCAGAACGAAACAACCACCAAACAGGAAAGTTGGGTCGGGAAACACAAGCAGATGCGAGCGCATCCATGTGGTGCGAGTGTGACAGGTCCATCCCCCCCCAGCCGCGCTCGAGAGGCACGGGTCGATCACACGAACGAAGAAGCCCCCAACTTGGTACGTCGAAACCTCCCTCTCCAAGGTTCATGGGCGCTGTATGCACAGTAGTTAATGAAAACCATGAGGAAGAGGCATCATGATGTGGTTGGTCGCTTGCTCGAACCCCTCGTCAAAAATTCCCGAATGGAGGAAAGGCTCAGAGCGAGCATTTGCAGCAATTACCACCGCCGATTTCTCTGTCGGTGGTGTGCCTCCGCGATGCCAAATCTTCCCATGCGCGAACCCATTTTCCTTTGCCCACTGCTCCGGCTCGGTCTGTTAGATCCAGCGCGGCAGATAACTCTTGTAGCCGGCGCTCTTCGACATGTTGAACCATGAGGGTCCCTCTCCTCTCTCTGGCGCGGTTTGAAGCTGCGCGTTTCGTCCCGCAAATGTTTCTTTGAAGCATCGTCCTTGCTTGGCATTGGTCTGTTGAAAACAGCAACCCCCAGACACAGTGCAATGCAGACGGCAGCAGAGAAACTAGTGGTGCCCAGCCGCCAACCGGGGAGAGGGACCCAATGGACCCTTGTCCATCACCTCCCTGTAATCAGATCCCGGGCCTCAGCTGAATGCATGTTTGCGGGGGCTTCCCGAAGGGCAGCGGCAGTGATCAAGTGAGGGACGCTCCCGGCGATGCTACCGACGCGCGGTTCTCGAGAGATGGTACACAAGAATTAGACGGATCTCGTCAAGCATCAGACCCGACATGCCTTCACGCCCCTTGAGCTTCTCGGGGGGGGGGGGCGGCGGGCGCCATGGCAGATCGTCCAAACCCTATCCAGGAAAGGCAAGGTAAGCAGATTAAGCGGGCGGGAGGCGCAAATGCCCCATGCGCCGCGCGCGGACGTTCGCAAATGCCAGCGCCATGGGAAGGCTGTCAATTGTCAATGCACGCAAACGGGTCGGGGACAAGCCTGCATATCCCGTGCCTAGTGCTGTGGCATTGAGTCGCTCGCCAGCGTCAGGTATAACAGAAGTGGTATTAAACCACGGCAAGACACCGTGTTGATCTTTGCTGCGACAATATGTTACGGGGAACAAAAATTGTCAAGCTTCAATGTTGCGGACTGATAGGCGAACCCTCTAGTCCCAATGGAGAACGACTGCATTTCATCAAAGGGGGTGGCCAAGCGAAGGGGAGGGGGGTAAGGCAACAACCGGTGACTGGGGCTCCAGCTGAGGCGGGTTTTCCAGGGGCAGACGGCTTGATCCCTGTATTTCTCAACTCGGCAAGCGACTTTTTCGCGACTAGCCCGGAGCACAACCATCTTCTTCCTGCGCGGCGGTTGCCGTGGAAAGGCACGCTTTCACGCTACCCATGGAGGTGGTGAGAGGAACCGCCTGGTGCCCGGACTGCCGGCATCAAGATACGGCCAGGGCAACAACGGGCGGCGGGGCTTGAATTGGGTTTAAACCGGTGTGGAGCTTTATCCCTGCTGCAAATCATGCTTTTTCGACATGCCCGCGGAGAGAGAAACACAAGCCGCTATCCCCAGATGAATACCGGAACACGGCACTCGAGCGGGCGTTTCCTCCTGCGGGATGTCATCGTGGACCCCATCCCACGCTGCTGCTCGCGGCAGAAGACACGAATGACCAACTTTCTGGAACCTGGCCACGTTTTTTGGGGGGTTTTCTTGGGGAAAGCCAATCTGTCGAGCTGAGGGAACGAGAAACGTCCCATGCCTGAAGCACGCGGACTGCACCCCGGGCAGCAGACAACCTTAGTAAGATTTGGGCAAGCAGGCGAGGGGCGCAGGCAGCTTCTCGCTTCTCGACACCTCCCAACATCCTTCCGGAAGGTTTGCTCAACGCTGAGCATCTTATGCAGGCTTGGATTCGCCCATGCCTACCGGGACGGCAAACATGCACTAGTCCAGTTTCTTTTGACAGCCAGAACACTTCCCTCCCGTTCCTCGCCCATCGGGCTCCCAACCTTTGTCCACTCAGAAGTGACCGCCCTCTCTAGGACGGTGGAGGTCTTTCCTGGAAACGCGGGCTATGCCGAATTTGGACGTCTTTGCTGGGCTGGACCTTTTGAGCTGTTTCCCTTCTTCATGCCCATCTACCTCGGCACACCCCTCCTCGCTTTGGGTTCACTGCCTGGGCACGCTCCCACGCAGAGCGCAAGGGACTCCCCTCTCCCAGTCTGCCACATCCCCCTTGTCCGGGGAACTGGGTACTTTCCCCCAACTGTGGGAACCTTTGCGCTAGTCACTTTGACCGATGTCGTTGAAGGTGGGGGGGGGGGGGGGGGGGTCTTGATTGAGTGCGAGTCCAGTCGCCTGGATGTCTTGACCGTGAAGTCTGGAAAATATGAAAAGTGAGCCCCTCCGCCCCTGGAGGGCGGGGTAAGGAGGGTGGTGGTTTCTGGATGGGGGAGGAGTTGTGTCTGCATACTTCCAACACCCTCGGCCGTTGGTCCCATTCTTCAACAACAACTCCAGCAGCGAACATCGAAAGCAAAATTGACGCTTCACGGCTCCTGGCGAAGCCCCGCCCCCTAATCCAGACTCTCGTCCTACGTGACCCGGCACCAACACGGTTCCCAGTCCGGTCACTACGATCCCCCGGAGAAGGTTCACGGCAGCAATCAGAACGGAGTTAGACGACCAGGACGTTCCGGTACTGCTCTCGCCACGCCGTCTAACGTACACCTCACGCCGCCACAGGCGCACTACCATCCAGAGTAGAGATATGGGAGCCTCGACCGTGGCCCTCCCACAGACCACTCCCACTTCCGGAGACTCAAAGTACGCGATACCCCAACCATGCTGCTGCGGCCATGGCCACAATCTCAAGTGACAGTCGTCCGGCGGCGCAGCCAGCCACGCTTTTTGCAAGCGCTACTACTCGGCCGCCATCCCTGACTCACTCCTCCATTCCTGCCCCATTATCCTCCAACACCGACACCACAAATATCTCAACCGCCCCAAGCCCCAGTGTTCTGACTCCTTCAGGAGTAGTGTCGGACGGTTTTAACCCGTCAGGGGCTCACGCCAGCAGCCCGCACACCTCCCAGCCCGGAGGCTCGCTATACTACTCGGGCCACATGACAGGCTCGTGGCCAACGCCGGGCTTGTCCCAACCTCCCGCGTACACGTACGGGAATTCCGGCTCCAGCGGCCCTGGCTCAGGCTCGCTTGCTCAACCGCCGTATAATCGAACATCGGCATCCTATAGTTCAGCCCCCTCGCCGTCCCAACATAACTTCCCCGGTCGCGCTTCAACATCGGCCCCGAACGGCGAATCTGTACCAGCACCGCACTCCTATCAGGACCAACCAAGCTTTCCGAGCCCAGTAGGCGTTGGAGGAGCCGGGGCTGGCGGAGGAAGCAGCCTCGGGTCGCCGCTCAACGCCCCAGGGGGCCACCAGCCTGGGCTTGCCCAGCCCATGCTCAGCAACCCGACCCAAAACACGACACGTCAAGCGCCAGCTGGGCAGAACAACCCAGGAGGAGGCCCTGCCACGACACAAGACGGAGGCTCCTACCGCTCCCCAGCTACCTACTACCCACAAACGACGGCGCCGCAGCAGCCCTCATTTTCTTCTTACGCCACCCCAGCGACACAGCCATCACCGACAACTGCCTCCCCCGCTACGTCTTCAGGGTCCGTCCCACGAGGTGCCGGCTCGATTCCGGCAATGGCCCCGCCGCTACAATATCCAGGCGGACGCGGCCACCCGGTACAGGCTATGATGTCGTATGCATCATATAGCCCAACGTCGGGCCCAGTCATGAGCAATATGCACCACCCAGGAGCTCCTTTGGCCATAGTAGGCGGCATTTCGGGGATATCCAGCTATACCCACTCAGGGATGTCTTCTCAGCACCCGCATCCCCTTTACGTCCATCACCCGGGCGGCCCAGCGCCACAATCTGAACGCCCTTTCAAATGCAACGAATGCCCACAGGCCTTCAATAGGAATCACGACTTGAAGCGGCATCAGAGGATACACTTGGCTGTCAAGCCGTTCGGGTGCGAAGACTGCGAAAAGAGGTTTTCGAGGAAAGACGCACTGAAGGTGAGCTGAACCCTATACCGTGGCCTAATTTTGAACTTTCTCTTGTGGCACGTTGCTAACCTTGCCTAGCGTCATAAACTCGTCAAGGGGTGCGGCAGCACTTCACCTCCAGGAGCGGCGGGGCCTGTTACCGGCGGCAACGAAAGTGCCCCGGATGATCGCAGTGCTGCGGCAAGCGGCGACAGGGACCATAGCCCAAAACCGATCAAAAAAGAGCGCTGAACAACGCCACCCCACCCACCGACTATGTACACAACTTGAGGCGATTCGAGCGAGCATGGGACCGAGCGTGTGTGGTTGTTGTGCATTCATTCGGTCTCAAACATTAACCGATTCATCATCCGGTCATTTTACGGCGTCAGGGAAACGGAACAGACTTGCAAACTCAGCGCTAGGCAAAACGAGGCGGGAATATGGCGTCATTGTGGAATGGACATGCAAGTTAGGGTCCGGGGACACGAAACTGGAAAAGGGGTTCGGGACAACACAATTCATCCAAGCGGGAGAGGGATATGGGCGACGACAAGGCCGAACATTTGGCTTAATTTTTCTTTTTCGTCGAAGTCTGTTGGCATTTTGTTGGTCCATTTATCTTGATACCACTTGGCCTTTGTTCAGTAGCTCTGGTTTTGAATTTGGGCTGGCTAACTTGGGTGCGCAGCTCCTGCTGCCCCTTTTCGGATTGGGGGGGCACGTTGCATTGTTTACACCTGGGATACAGCGATGCTATATAGTGTACCTATATATAGGTGATGGGCGAACGAATGATGCAAACCGCCACGGCACTTTAAACTGCTCGTTAAGATCGAGCAGTACCGTCCGATCCCGCAAAGACAAGCCTAGCACCCCTATATTATTAGTTTGACACACCATGGCCGGGCCCAGGGGTTCCATTACCCCCAATAATGCCTGCTGGCGCGGGGCGGACTCACTCTGTTCACGGACATAGACGGAAAGTTGTGCTCACCCCCCGAACCGGAGGGCGCAGTTGGGGCTTACTCCAGGGGAAGATGGCTTTCTGGGTAGCTATTAGGAATACCGAACGGTTACGGCGGCGTACATGGGACCAAGGCACATGTCCTATCTCAGCGCCCGCCCGTATCTTCCCAGCGGTTTGGTCCGTTTGTCAGAGACAGACAGGATATCACAGACCGAGTTTGTGGGGGAGGGGGACAGGGACGGAGGATTGGCACTGAATACGTACCCCTCCAATGCAGATTTCACAGATATGTTGGGTTCCTCCCTTCGGCGTCGCCGTCCCTCGCGCCGCATGAAGGCTGGAGAAAATAGACAAATACCTCAGCTTTGGGGGGCAACACACCCCGTGGTGGCTTTCTAGGATGGCATGGCCGTCTAGGAGCATCCAACGGGAGACCGGCGGCTACACACCTCTTTCTCTTTCTCTCTCTCTCCATGCAGGTCAAGCAAACCGGAGGGCTAGTTAGTGTTGGGGGGGCGGGCGGCGGTGGCCACGCGCATTGCCTTGCGGTTGTGGTTTTGCTTTTTTTCCTTACCTGTTTTGGCTCTCGCTCTCTCGGTGTGTGTCTCGAGTGACCGGCTTTCCTTTTTTTGCGGTTCGTTCCCGACCGCCAACGTGTTTCACCGCCGGCCCGCCCACCCACTCAGGTCTGGCAGCGCGCCGTCCCACCTTGCCCGGCTCATGTTGTCTTTATCTCTGTGTCAGTGTGTGGGAGGGAGAGAGTGTGTGTGTGTGTGGGCTAGGCGAGGGCTGGGTGAGGGTAGACCGCCGAAACATCCGGGGGTTTGTTTAGTTGCCGGCAAGTCTAAGCGAGACAGCCTGGACTAACTTGAGATTCTTCCTCGGAGTTCTGGTTTATCATGGTCCCAGTTTGGCTAACTGGGTATCTTCACCACAGCCCACGTTCACAGCCCACGTTGGGGGAGCAGTTAACGTGAAGCTAGGTGGCCTTTGTCTTCTTCTTTTCCTTCCCGCGGAGAAAAGGAACCGGTCGACAGCCTGGAGCAGCGGAGCGCGCTTGATGCGAGGAACCACACACACAAACACACACACAGAGGAGAGAAAGGGGGACAGAGAGAGACAGAAGCGAGTAAGACACCGGGCATGCGAGGAACCGGCACGGGAAACACCTGGGCTCGGGCGCCCTCCGATATTTTTCGCTCTCTCACTCGTCCGGCGAGAGAGAAGGGGGGCTGGACTGAATTGCATGGTCGCCTGAACTGGGGATGCAGCCCAGGACTGGGGTGAGCGCTAGTGTCTTCTTCTTCCCCTGGGAATGCAGCGCGCGTGGCATGGCGTCCTGGGCGCTGCGGCTTGCAGTTCAGCCCGCCCGGATCAGGAAAGGGGGGCGGCTTCTGTTTGTCATGCCATCACCTACCGGCTTGCGCAGGAGGTGGGACGACCATGCGTCATAAAATCCCGGTGATGGGTGATGATTATGTTGCAGATGTCCTATCGCAAACGGGTTGCGGCTGCGCGCATTGTACCGTGTCGGTTGGTGGTGCCGTGTCGGTTGGTGGTGCCGTGCCAGTTGGTGATGCCGTGCCGGTTGGTGATGGACGGACTGCCCGGCAGCCGAGGACTCCAACCTCCTCGCGTTTGCACCCGGCGGGCTGTCTTCGGCTACGCATGCTAAGGAGAGATGTTACCTTACGGTTGTTTGTGTACGTCTTGAATGCCCATGACAGTTCTTGGGACACGCGATCTCACCACTGTTCCTAGCTTCTGGGGCGCTGTCGGTGGCCACGATGTCACTAGAGCGGCCATCTAGGCGGCTTTCAGGACTCCTGTGTAAAACAAGCCCTTTCATAAGAGTGTACATACATGCCGGATTCAATGAGATTGGCGGTCCCGCCACGCTGGCTGTGGCTGCAGGGGTCCCACTACAACGGCTCGGTTGAGGTGAGGCTCAAGTTGTGGTGCCGGCGGAAGACGATGACCAAGATGGAGGGTGAATGGTATTGGGCAAGAGTAGCTTAACACCAGTTATGGGTGTTTTCAAGTCATCGAAGAGAGAGAGAGAGAGGTCTGTACTCGAGGATCAGCATTCCCTGCAATGTTGCCACACCTCATGTTGACAGACTAGTTACGGTGCTACGGCATCTAATTGAAGCGAAGCGCTTTCCTGATGAATTTTTGAGATATACAATGTATATTGAGAAAATGAAGAAGGAACACTTCGTTTCATTTACGAGGTAAAACCTCCAGAGTTCTTAGGGGAGCGATTGGATGCCACCGTCTTGACTGCTTAATCGTGTATAATCTTGCATTTGGCTTGCATTGGTGGCTGTATCGTTGTGGGACTGTAGCTTGATGATATAAGTATCGTGGGATTGAAGTGGAGGTAGTTGGTATTAGGATATAATTGAAATGGATATTGTGACGAACCTACCTCAGGACCCTGTCCTGTTAGGGTTCAGCGTCGGTTGAAGGTAATCTCTCAAGGGTGCTTAGGTTCGGTGCAGCCAAAGGGTGCACAACAAAGACTTGTCTCAACAGTAGGCTCTCGAGCTTGTAGCGAACTGTAGTTGTGATTGCTAACTTGAGAACTCCCAGAGCTCTCCAGAACGAGTGACTATATACCACCTGGATCATCCACCTCGTCGTGATCCCTCTGTCTTGGGATCACGTTTCCCGTAATGATCTCTTCCTGGTGGGATCGTTAGGCTCACGGTGAGCTTGATGATCCCGTCTGCTTGGGATCACTCCGCCAAGAGTGATTCCCTTCTGGTTGGTTCCTTAACGACTGGCTGGGGATGCGGCCATAACCGTGACATAGCGTAGTTGGTTATCGGCCCTAGGCGATGGCTGGTCGTTGTATTATAGCGGTGTAGCGAGGGCGGGTCGTCGGCTTTGTTGTTAGGATATTCGATATAGTAGTAGTAGTAGTAGAAGTATCGCCCAAGGGGACAAAAAAAGTAGGGGGTCTGGGGGGCGTAGCCCACCGGGAAACGTTTGTGGTGGACGGTCAGTATCGCCAAGCTTCGCTTTACACTTACTGGGGTAGGCCGTGGGCGGGGGTGGCACAGTCAGTCCGTTTTAGGATTTCTCCTGGACAACATCCCCGGCCAGAACGACACGTTTCCAACACAACACCACAACACTGACGAAAAACACGGGTCCACTCAAGAACCACAAGCAGGCAGCAAATAAACGCTGCCCGATCGATCGGGGCTAGACGTCGAAATAGGCTTTCTAGTCCCCGGCCCGGCGGGTTGCAATCTCGGCCAAGTCCCGGTGCAGTTGCATGCGGGTCCGGCCGTCGCAATATATGAAGCCCCCCCGCATGACAATGTGCCCTTTGCAGGTGCCTTCGAGATATGGCCGTCGGGTTATAATCCTGCAGATAGGCTGTGGGTTATCAGCGCAATATCCCAAAGAAGGAGGCAGGCAGTAGATCGGCATAATAAGTAGTAACGGGTGAATGGCCTGGACGTTTCTCGAGCTTAGGTACCTCCCGTCCACACTTCATCGTATCACGGCAGAGCGCTGCGGGCGTCTGCCAACCAAACTCAAGTGATTTTGTCTTTCCGTAGTTTTGGCATTTCCCAAAAGCTTGGAGTCCTCCATAACTAAACCAAACAAGACGGTTTGAGGGAAGTCGACGGCCAAAAACAAGAAGTTCATATGGTTACCAAGTTTGGGGCACCCCCGGGCATCAAAAAAATGGGCATAATTTTGAGAGTCTGGCTAGAGGGGAGGAAAACAACCGCAGTAGACAATTAAGCATCTGCGATGTGGGATGTAGCATCAGAACTTCTGATTCAGGAGAGACAAGACGGTCGACGGGAAGGAAGCAAGGCCATTGTGGGGACGTGTTAGAGTTCATGCTTTGGGCAGGTACTGATACTTCTACGGGTCCGTGCACGAACTCCTTCCGTGTGAGCGCCAACTCGAGGGGGCCCCGGGCGATTTTAAGACTGAAGTCAAGAAACAACTTGTGAACGACTTCAAGTCTGTTTACAGCCTGGGAATCAGTGGTAATTTGGTCGGATTTCGCAAGGAATCGTGCCGGCATTTGCCGTACCCGAGAGTATTATCATGCAAAGTCAAATCTTGCTCACATGCAACACCGCTGGCCTGCCCGTTCATCCCGCGCCGCATTGAGCAAGTTTCGTCGCATTCTGAGCCAAGAGGAGCGGCGACACACCAGGAACCTTGCGGGCACCGGCCGATCGCATTGCCGTGGATACAATAAGGAGATCCCATATTTTATTCGAGTACCTCGCTCAACTCTGTTCTCGATGATTTTTGCCAAAGTCCAATTCCAGCCTTCGTTTTATTTCATCCCACCCATCTCACCATCTCATCTCTCTCCGGTTTGAAGCGACGAACACCCACCGAAGCGCATTGTGACCAGATTGCCTTCGTGCCTCGAGCAAAAAAGGCCTCATCAACCCCACGCAGCGGCTAAACGGTTGCCGACCGAAGGAATTACGAAGAGATCTTGCACAAACACATACATCCTCGTCGTCCCACAAGAGCAACTCGAGAATTGGTGCGGGGTGTTGTCGTTAGCCGCACCCGCACAAACACATAGGCCACCAGGCACCCACCAGTCAGAACCTCACAGGAACAATAATCACCAACCCGCAACCCTCAACCCGATATGCAACCCCACCTCATACCCCGACAACACTCCGGCCACGACACCATGGACATGGGCCACGACAGCAGTAGCAGCAGCAGCAGCAGCGGGCACAGCTCCGGGCACACGAGCGTGTTCCAAACCTCGATGGCGACGGCGCTCTTCTCCACCGCCTGGACGCCCAGCAGCACGGGCGCGTACGCGGGGACGTGCATCTTCCTGATCGTGCTGGCCGTCATCTTCCGCGGCCTGCTGGCGCTCAAGTCGTGGCAGGAGCGCCGCTGGCTGGACGCCGAGCTTGCGCGTCGTTATGTCGTGGTCCAGGGAAAGGCGCCGCTGGCCGATGCCCTCGCGCGCGACCCGGCCGCCAAGAATGCCAGCTTGGTGCTGAGCGAGAATGGCGTCGAGGAGAATGTCGTCGTCGTGGGGAATCGGGGGGCCGCCGCGGCGCATGTCAGGCCGTGGAGGTTGAGTGTTGATCCCCTGCGCGCGGCGGTTGATACGGTGGTGGCGGGGGTTGGGTATCTGCTGTGAGTTTTCTTTTTTCTTTTTTCTTTCTTGCTCCTTGCGTCCGAGTTGTTGATGGGAGGGGTTGTGGCTAATCACCCGGTGCTTGCAGCATGTTGGCGGTCATGTCCATGAATGTTGGCTACTTCCTCTCTGTCCTCGGCGGGACATTCCTCGGGAGCCTCCTCGTAGGGAGGTTTATCTCGGTTGGGGAACATTGAGCCCGCAGACTGGAGGCATCGAAGGCAGTATCACGCCCTGTTTTGGGAGTTTGAATCGTTGACGAGCAAGGAGTTACGGTAACGGATCGGGAGGCTTTGTGTGTTTTGACCCAAGTTTAAGGGCCGGATTTTTCGCTCGATGCATTTCTATCTCATCCTCAATCCTCAGACCGTGGCCATCTGAGCGTGTTTGTCGTGGAATCATTTTGAGCAGCAAACGCGACTCTTCCTTATGTTAGTGTCGAGATGCTAAAAGGTACCGCTACCTCCGGGAGCTGGGAACGAACTAGCGCAGAAACTTGCTCAAACCCACGCACCCCAACCCGCGTTTGAGCCGTGGTGGAGTTTCCCCCACACTCGGCCTTTGCCAAGCTAACCGAACCGCCGCCATTTCCGGATCCGGTCTTGGGTCCCCGCGGTTCCTGAGTTTGACCGGGTCCGGTTCCGAACCCTGAAGTTTTACCGCTAACGGAATCCTGGCGAGGGTAGCGGATGTACGTTAAGATTCTCACGTGGATCATTCGGACGGTATGGCGTAGCTCCGGTAGGCACTTGGTTGAGTCTATCACCGCAATCGAACTCGTTCAGCTCAGCTGTCTCGGCTTGGAAGGCCTCCCTTCCTGTCGGGCATTGCAATGTGTGAAGGCTAGTAAATTCATCTCAGTTTTTGCTATGTACTTCCCGATATTGTGTCTAACATCCTCTGGATTCGAAATGATGCTCATCAAGCCCAAGCCCAGGGGCGCATGGACTCTTTGAACGGACAGGCACCACTCAAAATCGCCTCTGTATGCGGGCAAAAGACGTTCCATCAGTCAACATAATCACGTTCTTTTATGCATTTTGCTGCAAGTCTCCGAGACTGAGTCACAAATTACTGTAGCCCTAAGGGTCCTTACACCTTTGATCTGTGCGTTTCCCTGCATAGATACGGCGTTGTGGTTGCATTGGCCTAGGACATTGCAAACACTCAAACGCAGGAATCGCCGGCGCCGCTTGCCGAAATCCATCCAATACATGATCGAGTAGGAATCTGGTGAAATCTTGAGCCCTGCAACTGGTTTGCCTCTCAGCTGTGCGTATGGACATGTCTCAGAACCACTCTTTCACCACCAAATCGGCAAAACACATGTGTCCAAGACCGACGGGAAGAAAAAAACGGCCACCCGCCCGGGTACACAACATTCAGCTCCCGGATAGCTAGCCGACGGGATGTCTCAGCTCTCAGGAATATAGTGGACTATCCGAATTGGCACTGCATATTGGAGTCACCCTCGGTGACCGCCGCCGGCGTCCCGGTTCTCGAAGTAGTCAGAGTTGCATGTCTCCAGCGGCCCCTGAGCGGTTGCTACGTTCAATAATGTTCCTGTCTTAAATCCCAATTTCCATCCATCCAATCTAATGCCCCTACTGGCATTGACGAAGAAGTCGCTCGCTGAATCACCAGCGTTTGGTGCTTCCAAACCGTGATAGCTAGGCCTTGATGGACAAATGGCGAGTGCTATATCGCACGTCATTAAGACAAGTTCTCCCGACAGCCCGGAAGCCAGTCGATTCACCCTTATATATTGAAAACCTCAATCAGTCCTATCTTTGTTCCCACCTCCAGGCTAAATCATCAACACCCTGCACGTTGGTGCCCGAACCAGTTCGTACGCAATACACACGGCCCCCCGTCGTGTTCCCACACCCTAAGAATAGCCACACCGACAATACATCCTGCATCGCAGTTTATGTACGAACTAGTAGATCCTGCTCATCATAGGAAGCAGGCAGGTACATACCTACATGCAGCACGCCGATGTGGGCTTTCTTCCCAGTGCTGTTGGCCCGACCCCCCAACACGCCTTCAAACAGCAACGCCAGCAGCCCGCCAACCTCCATGAAATACACAAGAAGCGCAACCCATGCATAATCATAGAATAGTTCAGATTCCCTCAATTATCTTGTCTTTCAACCGGACAGGAAGTGAAAAGAAAGATGGCACGTCCAACATCTTCCCAAACCGGAAGGACACCTCCCAATCAGGAAATACCTCCATCTGTGTAAGTGTGTGTAAGTGAGCGACTTTCCGGGACCCGGGACCCAGGACCCCACGATGGAAGATGGCGTCACCAACGCGCGCCGATTTTCCTGGATTGACCCGATTTGTGGCGTGGCCGACGCATGGCCTGCCAGCATAGCACATGGCGAAAGCGTGGTATTAATTCAAAGCCGCAGTGGATAAGTCGGGTCTGTCCAGACCGCCACCGCTGGTTGACCGGGTTGCTTATTCGGCGGCTTGGGATATAGGTGTTGATCATTTGCACGATGAGGTCAAGGCCAATGTATAGTAGATTACAGAATGCATGCATGATATGGAGAGCCAGTTTGTTCTATTTTGTTTTATTTTATTTTTTTATTATTATTATTTGTGTGAGACTGAGCTATCATTAGGTTGGCAACGCGCAGTTCGTCATTTGGCAACCTGTGATGCGGGAACAATAGATGCGTTTAAAGTTTCAATATTATTCATTCGACCAGTTTCTTGGACCCCGTTAAATTCGTGGTAGGAATTCATCGTTGTCATGGACCTCGTCTCGCTACACAAGTCGAAAACACAACAGCCCACCGAACGGACCACCCAGACACAGGCACCCTTTGAAAGTGCAGAGAAAAGCCGACGCCGTCATGTGCAATCTAGCTCCCCCAAGCGAGTGCCAACGAGTTACTTTCCTTGGTCTCTAGCCTCCAGAACCAAGCGCCCACTTCATTCTTTCCCGCAAGAAGCATGTGCGACTGGCTCGCCGTGGTGCGTTGTAGCGACATGTGCACGAATATCAACTCGCGATCGGGGAGATGGCGGATATGCCGTGCCACTAATCGAAGTGAAAGCCGAGGAAACCGTCCGAGAAATCGTAGCAGATGGAATGAGCAGCATACATCCCCAAAGAAACGCCGGGCCTTACAGGCCTCGATAGTGCGAGGCCGTTCCAAAGTTGTCGATCGAAAAATGACGATTCACGAATGCATTAAGGTAGTGGGTATTTTGGCGCACGAGTTGAAAGTCATGATAGAAGTCGACGCGGTGATGCTTAGGATTGGTGACCAGCATGCTGCTGGAGGCTGGATGGCGGCATGTACTGGCTTCCCCGTTGCTGTTGCACATAACCGTACGCGAGCGCTTGTTGGGGGTCCATTCCGACGTTGGGCATGTATCCGGGAGGCATGTGGCCCTGAGGCATTCCGGGCCGGCTCTGCTGAGGCGGCAGGTGGGCGCTCGTGGGCTCTTCGGGGGAGTCGACGGCATTACCGTCGTCTACGCCCGTTGTCCCCAGCAGGGGGCTCGGGGGCGTTGAGGCAAGCCTGGAAATCATGTCAGTCAGGCGCCATAGATGCGGGGGGCCACGGGAAGCCCGTGTCCTTGTGGGTCAAGACCTACCTGGATCAAGTTCTTGCCCTCCGCCTTGGTGACAAGAGGTTGTAGCTTTGGGGTGGTGAAGGTGTAAACGAGACCGGTTTCGGACACCACGAGAAGGAGCACTTGGGTGCCTGTCAAAACTGACAGTTCGTAGGCCTGGCACACGAGATTTCGGTTAGCGAGTGCTTCCCAATGACGCACTGATGCGTTGGCACGAGCGCGGGCGCGGGCGCGGGTTGCTGCTCCCAAACACGCGGGTTGGCGCGGGAGCTTCGGGGGATGTTAATTACGAACCTTCTTCATGATGCCAGCCTTGCGTTTGGAGAAGGTGATGTGGCGGCGCGACTTGTCACCAATGAACTTGATCTCGATCTTGCGGCGCTCGCGACCGCCCTTCTCGTCGTCATCATCGTCGTCGTCGGCCGTGCTAGGGCGGGCGCGCTTGATACCGCGGGTCTCGCCGACATTGTTGTTGCCGTTGCCGACGGTATGCGCGTCCTCAAGTTCGGTGGGCGACGTTTGGTCGTGTTGATCAGTGATGTCGGCCATTTTGCCGTTCGGGTATCACGAAAGACGAAAAAGGCAAAATGGTGGAGATGCTGTTTTGAGCGTTGTGCCGATGGCCTAGACTTGATCTGGCGTTGAGCGGAGAGGTCGCCTTTTGTCGCAGAAACCTGGTTGGGCGTTGCCTGGATTGAGTTTGGTGTGTCCGCCGAGGCAGGGCGAGGAATTCACGTTTAATTTTTATTTGCTGGGGCGGGCCAGGTCTCGCGTGTGTGGCATGCAACACCGGTTTTACTGTGTGGTGCTGACAAAAGTGCCAGTTGCCGACAGTGCAACGCGAGTTTTCCTCTGGTGGGAAGATTGTGGTGCAGTCCAGAAATCGAGACGGTGATCGTCTGATACGTTTTCGGATGGCAGATTCCCTGTCAGGAACGAGCAGAGACGTCAAAAATCAGATCTTGGCCGACACCTGGACCGAATGGGTTTGGCGACTGCAGAATGATTGAAAAGAGGATAGCGAGGTGGTGGCACGCAGTCTGCGGGCCGCGACCAGGCAGTTAAAGAAACGAAGGCGGGGAGTGGCGCCCCCCAGTGACTGTACGGTGCGAGAAGGGAAGGGGGGTTGGTGGCATGTGGGGCTAAAGTGGGGAAAGAAACGCGCTAGACACTGGCGTCCTGCACGATGCTGCAAAGCTGATTTTGAGACGAGACTACTGTTCTGAGGAGAGAACAAGGAGAAATGATTCCGAGCGGTATGTTGTGGTACGTGACAGGGAGAGGGTCTGAAAAGCTCTCATAATGAGTTATCGTTTGTTTTGCGGATGTCTGCTCTCAAAGAGCCGTGTTGGAGCAAGAGCAACCGCGAAAGGAAGGAAGGTGAGCTCGGTCTGTGGCCAGCATCGCGGTATTCCTTCCCTTGTTTGCAGGCCTTTGGCTCCCAGTGCGAACGGCATCTCGCTAGCTGGCACAGTTCAGATTAGCAAATGGGATACTGTGCTGAGAAGCCCAGAGCGGCACCGGAGATTGGCGGGAAGGATCGAGGTGTGGCCAGTGCAAACAACCTTGCGTTCAAGGGAGAGGAAGGTGTGGGGGAACGGCAAACTGGCACCTGGGAAACCGCGTTGGCTTCCCCGGGTTTGCATTTCCACTTGCGTTCCATTTTTGGACGAGACGGCGGGCACGGACAGAGGGGAGAAGGGAAGTAGCAAAAGCTTTGGCCAACGTGGACACGAAGGGGAGGCGGACAGGCCGAGGCATCGCCAGAACCTTTATTGCGCGTAATGCTTCCGGCAGGGCACCTGCGTCTGACAGAGACAGCGACCCCGAATGGCTGCGCAAAAGTGTGCATCGGGGCCTCTAGTTCGCCGGAGGAGGTCATGGGTGTGGGGACCCAGCCCGCTGTCTCGCGGGTTGCTGGGCCTGGAGGCTGCAGGGCAATATCTCGCCAGCACGTCTTCACGACAGGGTCATCTCATGCCCATCTGCGCCGCGAGCCTTCCGGGTTGCAGGCAACGACACAAGGATGCTAGACGGGCGGGAGCCACCTGTGGGCGCAGTGTCCAATGACGCGCCGCGGCTTCCCTCAACCTCATCAGAGAATGCAGGCGTGGAAGGGACGCACGGAGAACTATCGAATTCGAAGCCTTCTTTCCCCACCACCTTCCCACCACCTTTGAGCAGTGGATGGAAGTCTGGTTTCGCCAGCTGGCGAATGCCGACATCAACCTCACAATGGCAGTGGGCCTCCTCGTTTTTGAGTTGCAACGCCCCCTGCTGCGACCTGCTTACCGCTCAGTGGTCGATCAACAAATTGTGTCCAGCTCCTCGGATCGATAATAAGATGAGATTATGCCCGAGTATCTGGACTGAACCGGCTGAAAGTGAGTGAGGAGAGCCCCAAATATCTACCTATCTGTTCTCCCGGTGTTCTTTCACATGTAACTAGGTACCTAGAGGACGGCACGACAAGAGAAGCAGCCCCGTGCGGTGCAGCTGGTGAGCGAGGCCGGTGAACCCCCAATGCAGCCACGACAGTCGCGAAAGTCCAGAACGCCAAAAACGCGATTGATCCGGGTCCCCCGGGACTGGCGTTGCTGTGCCGCAGTCTACCCTGGGCTGACTGGCATCGCAGAGCGCTGGCTTGCATCTCGAGCAAGGGTAAAAAAGCGGGGTTGGCCGATAGTTAGCGTGTGATTGCGCACAGTCAGGATTTGCCAACATGTGTCCTGCGCGTGAAAGGGGCGCTGATTGAGAAAGCCTGATGGGGGCTGCCATGGACTCGCTGAAAGGCAGATTGTCGAAGGGTGGCTGAAATCTGCCGTAGGTCCTTTTCAGGTCTCCGGCATGGCATGCCTTTGCTGTCTCGCCGGTATGGGGGAAGTCCAAGGCTGGGAGGCGCTGGCATTTCAATTGGACACGCAACTTGGCGGGCAAGGCAACGCTAGCCAGAAGGAGGGTTGATGGCCATATCACGGACACATCGACGTTCTGTTTGTGACGGAACTTGAGACAAAACAAAAAGGCTTGTCGTTAGTTCCCTTTCGACGCTTTTTGCTCTGGGGATGCCCCCATGGGCCGGCCGGGCTTGGTCGAAAATGAACAAGCGGGCTTCGGCACAGGAAAACTTCTCCTTACGGAAGCAAGCCGCGTGCTGATTCGCCGGTCTGATCAGTTGCCAGAACACGAAATCTGACCTGACGTGATTGGGCGAGGGCAATCCTGCACAAGCTCCCGCCAGATCTGCATGTCAAGCGTGGCAAGGACTCGTCGGTTGCTGTCGAGGACTCGGATGCTGAACCGATACGAATACTTTTCTTTTTTACACTGCTTGAAGCTTCAACCGCAGGAGGCCTACAAGACGAGTGAAGCCTCTTTATACTGGATTGCAGTACGGGCAGGAACGTGTCGCTGTACAACCCACACCCTGGGAAAGAAAAAATTGGAAACTTCAGACCGTGCCGAGCACTCGCTCCACACTAGGTTTTGGTGTTGCCACGAGTTTCGTTAGCTACTTGCACGAATCTTACCTTCAATCAAGGTTGTTGCCTCTACACAGTAGATTACGCACTCCATTCTCACCGGGGAGTTAGACTCGATATCCTCCAACTTTTGCTTTTGAAGTTTGATATCTTGATGGCTTGCATGTAGCAGCTGGGATTGTTGTGTCAGAAGTCCCGTCGGGGGTATCCCTCGAGCGCATCCCGGGTTCCATCCAGGCCGTGGAACAGGGTTCAACTCAGAGTTCGACTCCCCTGGAGCAAGGTCCACAGCCCGGCGAAGCTCTTCGTTGCCCCAGTTCAACAAACCGAACACCCAAACACCTTCCATGCCGAAGAGGTGGCTGTCTGGAGATTTAAAGGATCTGGATGACGGCTTCGTACACAGTAAGCTCTGTGGGCAAGTTGACATCCTTGATGATTGCTGGCTCCCTAACCGCCCAAGCAGAAAGCGGCTATTTTATTGAAGCAGTTCCCCTCCCGACAGGCCGCTCGGCAGGCCTTTGCTGGCGCCAGTGTAACGGCGGGCTTTGGGGTGGGCGCCTACAGGCCCGTGCGGGGCCACCCCCTCGCCCCATTGAGACCAGCCCATTGTCGCCAAACCCCGGTCTCCCGACGCCATCTGAAACGGTTCCCGTCAGGGAGCGTAAAATCGAACGCAGGACAACCTCTGCCACAGGCTGAAGCAGATGGTTGACTCGCTCAGTGGAGTACAATCGCCTGCTTCTTTTCGCCTTGTCCAATCTCTTACTGGTCGCTTTGGTCTTGGTATCAAAGCAAATTCTGGCAATTGTGGCTCGCCCTTCTTCAAGCCAAGCCCTGGCGAAGGTCGGCCCCGTTCATCGTCCCATCCACCCCAGCAGTGCTTCGGTCGTGTCTCTGCTTTGCTCTCCCGTTTTCTCTCTCCTTTGCTGGTTTTGAGATGGGGTATCCTATCTAATATTGGTAACTTTGGTTTGAGGCGAGAACCTCGTTTCTTTCTTTTTGGTGGTTTGAGTTTTATCGTTCTCTTCTCTTCGGCTTCTGTCCCTCTTCGCTTCTGCCCTGTCAGGTCAGACCCGTGATCCCACCAGGACTCATTCGTCGAGTTCGGTGCTCGAATGTCTTGGTGACAGCCCAGCGCCGTCTTTTTATTCTTCATTTCTTCGAGACACCTTCTTTTAATCCATCTTTCTTTCTTTCCGCCGGTACCGGGATTGGCCGGTCGATTCTCGCCCGTTCCACTTCCTTGCGAGCAGGAAGAAATCTATCGACGCTGGTCGTCAATCCGTTGCGAGTTGTAGAAGTGGATATATCGAAGAGATAGGCCACGGTTACGTCACCCGAAGACTTGTTCGACTTAGTTGGTCAGGATGGCGAACCAAGATTCAGATCGCCTTACTTGGTCCGCCGATGGCCTCTTTTTTGCTCATGGGCGTATTTCATCCCTCGGCTTCTCCGTCATTGTCAACAACATCAAGGATGAGGTACCAGAAAACGGGAGACAAGCGGCAAGGAACCTCTTGTACCAGGAGTTTCCGCTGACAGGTTGGTGGTTGCCGCATCAGTTCGCGGATGGGAACCTTTGGCTAACTAGCATACAGCCGGTATTGTCAACGCCATCTTCGTTTTCATCACCTTCTTCGTCACGCTTCCCGGCCTCGCCACGTCCTCTCGCAAATGGCTCAAGCTCGCGAGCTACATGGCGGTGGTCTGCCTGATATTCAGCATGATTCTCGGCCTGTACCTATGGATCCAGACCCTCAAGCTGAGGGAGGACTTCGCCCCTCGTTTCACCGCCCAACCCAACGACATCAAGAGCCTCATGCAGGTCGAGGTTAGTATCTCAATCACCACAAATCCCCTCTTCCAAAGCCGGGCCCCGGCCCCTTCCCGAATAACCCCCCACTAACACTCCGCTTACAGTTCAACTGCTGCGGCTATTTCAACAGCAGCAGCCCGGCCTTCGTGACGGACGCGACGTGCGCGAGCAAGGCCGCCGCGGCCGTCATGCGCGGGTGCGCGACCCCGATCTCGGGCTTCGCCAACGTCTTCATTGACAACATCTTCACGGCGCTCTTCGGCATCGTCGGCTTCGACGTCATGTTTATTATGGCCACCGCCTGCCTGCTCAAGGATCGCAAGGAGCGCGAGCGGTTCCAGCATATTGATGAGAAGAATGGGTTTGGGAGGATCTAAAAGGGGGGTTGGGTTGGGTTGTGTGTGGTGCTAAGGGGTTAGTGGAGGAGGAAAAGGGGGAAGTTGCTAGTTAGCTCTTCGACAAGCGCTATAACGTCCATGCGTTGGTTGAGCTACACGGGACGGGGAGACGGAATAATGAGCGTGGCACGGCCCCTCTTGCATTACCTTCAGACTTGTTGGCTGCATTTTCCCTAATATAGAGGGTTTATCTTCTCTCCCGCGTGTCAAGTGCGGTAAAGGTAGCCCAGCTTAGGATGACCTCGAACCAGAATTCAGCGAGCCAATTGACACGAATCGCCATCCCAGAGGGATGTTGTTGTGTTTGAACCTCATGATGGGGAAGTAACGTTTACAGGTGTCAGGCTGTTAGAAGCGCACACCTGATCCTGCGCTGCGAGAGTACCTCCATGGTCTGAATGGTATATTGTATATAATCCTGCTTCAATGCATACAACGCCACGCCAATGCAGATCCAAGTTGGACACCAGTTGAACAAAAGAGCAAAAACAGACTTGATTTAAACTGGGGAATCATCCCGTTTCGTCCTCCCCGGCCCCGGCCCCTGATCTGGCCTCGAGTCAAATACCGGTGGCGGCGGCCTCTCCTCTGAGGAAGGGCCTGCCAGCCCGGCCTCCAAATCCTCCCTGCAGGAGGGAGCTGCTGTCCAACTTGCAGAACTCGCCCTCGGAGAGCCCGTCAGTCCCATTGGCCTAGGCTTATTCCCCCACCATTTCAAGCCAAATACATTTCTCGCCAGACCTTGAAAGCCACCTGACGACTTTCTGGCCGTGGTTTTCCTAGCTGTGAAACCTGGGAAACCAGTTGATTTACGCCGCTTCTTGAGATTTACCCTCTGTGACGGCATAAGTGGTTGGCTTTCTTCGGTGCCTTCGCCCTCCGTTGTCACTCGTCTTGTTGTGAACGAGAGTGAATGTCGATGACCGGGTAGAGTGGTCGATCGACGCCTGCTGAACGCGGGGGACGTCGGTTCCGGAGTGCTACGGTCCTCGAGCTCATCCCATATCTCGGCTTGTTCCGCCCAACGGGACGAGGCTGCCCTTGTAGCGCGGGTCATCGAGCTTTGTCTTTGGGGCTCGGCAGCGGCTGGGGCCATGGAAACATCGGGAGATTGAGGTACCGCAAACGTTTGATAGTTGGATTGTGTTGATGATGCGCCCCCAGTTTCATCGAGGAGCGCAGAGCGCAACGAAACCTCTTCGCCATCTTCTTCGCCGTCCGTATCCTCGATGAGTCCGAGACCGGGTGCCAAGGTTGACTGCCCAACGCCCGGAGTGTGCTGCTCATCACTGAGACGCCATGACAGCGCAAGCACACCTGTAAGAAGGATGACGGTCCCGAGAGTGATGAGGCATGCGCGTAAGGGGTTGATGAGGTCGGTCTGGCGGAAGTAGATGAGCCCGTCGAGGATCGCGATGATGTTGTAAATGCAGAATATTAGCGGATATAGAACGGATGTCGAGACTAGCTTGAGGCCTCGGTGAAGATAATAGAGTTGAGTCAGCGCGAGAGTAATGAGCGCGATAACCAGCATCCACGACTGCCAGTGGATGAACTGGTTGTCGCCATCGGCGATCGTCCTGACGATCAGCTCAACGGCTGACTTGGCCACGAGAAGAGAGTGCGCAGATAAGGTGCCGCTTATGCACCCGTATGAGAAGCCTCGCGCGAGGCGGAATCGGGGGTCTTGCATCAGCGTCGTGAAGTGGCTCACGAGCTCGGTGGCGACTGCGAGGCCGACGACGAAGACCGCCTGGAAGGACATCCAGAGCACGAACGGTCGTCTCCCCAAGAGGTCCAACAGCTCACTCAGCTTGTGCGCCGGTGACGGGATCGCGCCGAAGATAGCGATTAAGACGGCTCCGCCGCAAACAAGCAATGTCCCCCACAGTGACCACCTTGTGAACGGTTCTCCGAGTATGAGGGTGGCGCAAATCGAGTTGAAGACTAGGCCCGAGGCCTGAAGTGTCGACAGAACCGGCAACGGGAGCGTAGATATTTGAACCGAACTTCCGACTACGTTGGATATGATGAACATGCCCATTCCCACCTGCCACCTCCTCCTCCGGTATGGCGGCCGTCTCACATCGTAGGGTGCCTTTTCGTCTTCGAGGATATGCGACTTTCGTTGAAGTGTGAGACCTAGGCTCTGAACGCTCGTGGACAAAAGACCGACTATAATTCCGAGCTACGTGTCCGCCCTCGTATTAGCAACAGTGACTAGGTGTGTCAAAGTAAAGGCGGACCAGCTTACAGCAATGCTCCCGCCAGGAGAGATGCCGCCTATGAGCCCCATTGCGGTGGCGGCAAGAGGCTACAGGCGGTGCACTATTGGAATCGCATGGAATAAACGATCTGAAGATGCGCCGGTTCGTTTGGAAAGTTGGAGGAGGATGTAGGGTTTGTTGGTGAGATTCTTCTGGTTTGGCCCCAGAAGCTGCCCGGTCGTGGTTGGCCGCAGGTTGGATCACAGGCCGGATGGTGGACCGCCGGGTTCTGATCAGATTATAGTCTTCGTTCGTACAGCGGTATAGAGAAATCTTCAAACAATGACGCCACCCTTCGGCAAATGGATGTGGGCTGCGTGAGCGTGGTGGACAGGCGGGTGGGTGTTCGTCACGACCACGGGGGTTGCGGCCAGCGATCATGCGGCGCAACCGCCCGTCGTGGGGAAGCGGCCCTGAGGCGGCCGGGTGCGGCACAAGTGTGAGACAGTGGGCCGCAGGGCCTCTTCAATTGTCGTCGCAAGTGGTCAGAGGATAACCGCCAAATAAGGATGCATTTGCGCTCTGAGGACGAAATGGTGGGAAAAAGACGACGACGAAATACAGGCGAAACGTTGGGTCCTCTTAGAGGTCCTGACCCCTGGCACGACGACGAACCTGTGACGCCAGCTCAGATGGTGAGTGGCGCTGCACGCCAATGCACTGTGCGTCTGGGCTGGCTTTGTTGGGGCGATGGAACGAAGCAACCACATCCATCCATCCAGTAATTAAGCCACGGCCCGGGTCCTGCGACTGTGGCTGGTCTACGTTGTTTCACAGGCCAACCTCTCGTTATCTTATCGCGCGGGACTCGGCAAGGTGGGGTGCCGCTGTGGCTGGTGATTTCCAAGTTGGCCGTCAGCCCGCGCCTTTGCCAAGCCGCTGTAGCAGGTCATCCATGTCTCAAGCAGCAGCTGCGTCAACGGCGCTGTTGGTTGGCACCCTCAGACACACCACACTGCAACACCAAGACCACGAGGTTTACGCAGTCCACCCAGTCCGACAACCCTCTCGTGTAAACTCGTACCCAATATCCTGACAAAAACGACATTTTGCTTGATCACCGTCTTCAGGCTTGCTTGCTTGCTTCTCCCCCCTTCCTCCTCGAACTTGCCGGACCCGCACCCTTCCCAGTCCGCCCAACAACCACCCCGTCAAGATGTCGCAAATCCACTCGTTGTCCGACGACCAGGTACGCGATATAACCAATCTCAAGCTCTGCGCGAGGCGCTGCTTGGGTTATCCTCAACCGAACATCACCCACGTTCAGCGCCCACGTTCCCCTCCACCCCCTCATGACGACCCCCACACCACCACCTACGAACCACTTCTAACCAAGCCATGATTCCACTAGGTCGGACAAGAGCTGCGTAAGATGACGGCGTTCATCAAGCAAGAGGCGACAGAGAAGGCGCGCGAGATCGAGATCAAGGCGGACGAGGAGTTCGCGATCGAGAAGTCGAAGCTGGTGCGGCAGGAGACGGACGCCATCGACACGGCGTACCAGAAGAAGTTCAAACAGGCGACTATGTCGCAGCAGACGACGCGGTCGACCGTGGCGAACAAGACGCGCCTTCGCGTGCTGGGCGCGCGCCAGGCCCTGCTTGACGACATCTTCTCCGCCGCCGCCGACCAGCTCGGCGACGCCGCCAAGGACCCAGCCCGCTACGAGGAGGTCCTCAAGGGCTTGGTTCTGGAGGGGTTCTACGCCATGGGCGAGCCGGAGCTGCAGATCCGCGCGCGCAAGGCCGACTACGAGATCGTGCGCAAGGCCATCGACGCCGCCGCCGCCGAGTACAAGGAGAAGGTCGGCAGTGACGTCAAGGCAACGATTGACGAGGAGAACAACGTGCCGGATGGGAGGTAAGACTTTGCTGACCAACCAACCAGCTGGCTCCCTGATATACTGCGGATTGGAGTACTAATATCATCCGTCTGATCTAGCACTGGCGGTGTGGTCATTGTTGGCGGGAACGGCAAGATCGATCTTAACAACACATTCGAGGCGAGGTTGGACTTGCTTCGGGAGAGCGCCCTGCCAGCTATGCGCGAGGCTCTGTTTGGCAAGAACCCTAACCGCAAGTTCTACGACTAAGGCTCGTTACTCAGTTATTGGCGTTGTTTGCATTCCACGGCATAGATCGTCAGGGGATATTTGGGATTCACGCAGGACAGCCTGTTTGGGAATGTGCTTTACATCATTAATCCGAAGCGGAGCCGAGCCGAGCCAAGCGCCAACGGGGGTATCTCTAGGGTTTGTATGATAGGTCGAGGACAGGGGATGGTTTGGGTTGAGATGGAGAATTCAGAATAACGTGCACCAAGGCTGTTGCTTCCAAGTGTCGCCTGTGTTCTTTCTAAGGAGTCCTCGGGGATGCCTTTGTTTTCAAGAACCTCTTCATGAACTGCTGTTGCTTGGGGCGCTCGAGGTCGTCCTCGGTTGGATTGAGTCCAAAGATGTCCTCCTTGGGACGGGGCCGTGTTCGCACGACGTGTTGTAACTTGCGCTCGAAGTCTCTCAGGTGTACGCGGACTTCTAGCCTCGACATGTAGGCAGCTCCCTGCTCGTGGATACTAGACCACAGTAATTTGATCTTACGTGCCAGCTCGTCGACTTCGGCATTGTACTGTTTGACAGCCTCCGGGCTTATGTTTTCGGCTGGCGGTGATCCGTCGCCAACCGCAACGCTCAGCATCTCAGATAGTGCTAGTAGCTCCACATAATCCGTGTTAGTGCGGTCCACGATGAATTCATCGGCCTGTTCGAGACGATCGATGATGGACTGGATGCTGAAGGTGTCTTCTGGCGGAGAAAAAGCTCGGCGTGGGTCGTCGAAGACAAACACGAGTGCCAGGCGTCGGCGCAGCTCGACCAGTTTCGCATGAAGCGGCGGAATAGAAGAAACGGCATTCCAGCGGAGGGTAGCATCTTGGGTATGTGAGTAGAGCGACTCGCTCACGTTTCCGCACTAAGAGGGGCGAAATATGCAGGAGTCAGACAGCGAAAGGTGTGCGGGTTAGAGAGGGTTCCTCACGAAGTTATTCCAGACTCTCCACGGGACCGCCAACGCAGTTTGTAACAACGCATCTTGGTACTCTGTCGCGACCGCTTCATCCTCACGTATGATGTTGTCGATGCCGAGTCGGAGGAGGATGGACATGGTCCGTGTTAATGTTTGAGTCGTTGAACCGTGAGCAGTCCCCGCCAAGATGCGAAGCACAGCCCGAAGGCGGGTTCGGCAATCCTCTGGATAGGGAGCGCCGTTTTCCGAGTCTCCGCTTGGTTGAGACGTCGTCGCAAGAGCTCGCTCTGAAGCTCCAAGGTCTTGAAATAGCCCGACGATTTTATCGTCTAGTAGCAGTCGCCTGATCTGGTCCGAACAAATGCCAAGGAGCCGAATATACTCGCCTTGGAGCTTCCTCGACTTTGTGAATCCCGCCTCATCTAACACCCACAGGAAGATCCGGTCAGGCAAGTTCTGCATCCGGCATTGGACATTGTAAGGCAGCCCGTCTTCGAAGATCTCGGACCTATGCTTTTCCGGACCGAGGAAGGCCCAAACTCCGGTGGCATCGGCCTTGGGAAAGGGGTGCCGTACTTGAATCGCCGTGCTGTTAGATTGATTCTGGCGATCGAAAAAATACCACTCCTTCCGGCTGACCGTTGCCTCGGTTCGTTTCACCGCTTGCATCAGTCTCCCTCGATTCCCCTCGTCCTGGCTATCCTCGGGATCAGATAACACGTCCAGCATTGTGTCACGAAGACTGGTGTGCTCCTCGTTTGCCGCCACACGGTCGCGTGCTGTTGGGGATCCCTGGGCAATGAGGGCCGCGGTACGCTGCTCACCCTCTTCGACGGCTTCATCCGCCTCGGCATGCTTGAGTAGTGCCTTGATATCAAACTTGTGAGGTTTGGTGTTGATGGTCAAGGGCGAAGAGTGGAACTCCAGCACTCTCCGCTTCGCCTTGGGCGTTGCATAGATATTAGACTCGTTTCCCGCTGCTTGAACGGGGACCGGAACGCGTGGCAGATTTGAGAACAGCTCCGGAAAGTCGTCATCGGAACCAAAGTCGTCATCATCCTCATCGTCTGAGCCTTTGATCACCGCGTTGCGGTCCCGGAAAGTTGATGCATCGACTGGTGGGGACGAGGGGAAGTGAGCGGATGGTACTGGCGATGGTGATAGCGGGGGAGGGGTTGTCGACGCTTCCGCTCTTAACGCCGCTTTGGGTTGTGGGCTTTGCGGCGATTTTGAGACTGGCTTGAAAAAGCTCGTTATACGGCCGGGCCTCGCCATTTCAGAAAAAAGCCGGCATCTTCAGTCTTCGTCTCTTTTGTGGTTGGTAGATTGTCTCGTGTGAGTCGTGTCCCAAGTTGCGTTCTTGGCGATTCGACGCGTCGACGCTCGCAACTTCCATTGCTCCAAAAGGTATGGGTTATAGATGATTGGGTCGGGACGATTACAGTAATTTACAGCGGGTCGGGATGCGTGGATCAGGGAAATTTGAAACAGGTGCACGGAGCATTGTTAGTCGCCCTCTGGCCAAAAAAAAAAAAAAAAAAAAAAAAAAAAACTCTGCGCGACGCACCGAGCTGCGCCATGATGTTCTTGAGTTTAGATATAATGTCCTTCATATTCTCGTTCACCTGCTCGGATGGGCGCTGTGCCCGGATGCATGTAGCCCGGGCCAAATCTGTCACTACATAGCTCCGATGCCATGTTAGAATCCCCAACCGCGCTGAGCTCTGCGCACAGTTTACCTTGGCTATGCTGTTGTAGAACCTCCCCCTAGCCATCATGTCATCCATGTTCTCCACGGACTCCTCTAGTTAAGCTCGTCGTCACATGCTTGCTGCATAAGCGCCAGCATAACCCCCATTTGGCGCGACTTACACCTAGAGTGCACGCACAATTGTGGAACCATGGTACCATCCCCAAGAATACCCAGCGGTGAAGAGAGCTTGTTCGATATGTTTCTTCCAGGCACTGCTGGATGTGAACACCTCATCCGAGGTGCAATCTGGCCCCGAGCATTTGCGGTGTTCATTTGAATGCTCCCTGGTCGGAAAACTCTTCTTGCACCTGGCTCCCCACAAGGGAACACCGAGGGCACCTAGCGTGGGTATGCCGCGGCATGTCTTCAGTTGAGAACCGATTGAATTGCAATCATGGAAGTGATTGATGCCTGCCCGAGCTGGGGGTAAGGATTGTCCGGCGGCGCCGGGATAAAAAGAGTCTGAATTTTACTCATCACCATGGTGGTGTACTGGATTGTTTATGAAAAAGGCAAAACTAAAGGGTAATATAGCGGGAGCAAGCAGGTGTAAATGAGGTAAATTCATGGGAGGAAGGTAAAATGTTCGAAGGGAAGGAAGTGCCATGTATATTGGATAGGTACGTTGAACGGGAAGGAAGGTTCGATATAAAGACATCTACTTAAGGTTAGGGTTACACGGGTACGTACAATTATGCGAGCCCTCCATCTTGGGTTCTTGAAGTCATGAGCAACAAAACCCCCAACCGAGTTCTCAGAAAGGAGAGACTCATGATGACTTACATTGTATATCTAAGTCTTGGGTGGTTAACAGAACAGACGGACAGCAAGCCTTAGGGTAGATAACATGCCTTGGGATGGACAGTAGCTCTGATTTAGGGGGATGGTAATGTAAGCCCGAACCAAACCCCAACATTAAAAAAACAACAACAAACAGTCATGCCGGGCCAAGCAGTAGACCTAGTGTCGGCTAAGGTAGCCTCGCCGTCGAGCGCAGCGGCCGGCTGTGGTGGAACTAAAAGAAGCTTCCGGTTCTTCCAGCGGCACGGAAACGAATTCGAACACGGAGCACACATCAGACAAGGATTTTATTGATCAAGATTCTGATAACGGGTGGTCGGTGGAGTGCCAGCTAGAGGAGGAGGAAGTGGAGGCGGCGGAAGAGCGCCCCGAAGATACAGCGGAGTCGGAGGGCGGGGATGATGAGGATTCGGAAATCCTCTATATTGGGGATGAGGAGACTTGGGCATTTTACGGAAGACGATGCATCTCCCCGGTGCATTCTTTTTTTTTTGGCAGACCTTTGTTCCGTGCGGAGCCGAGTTCACGAAGGAGGCCGAAGGGGTTGCGTCGCCCTCCAGCTAGGTACCTACCTACCTAGGTACCTTAGGTACCCGGCTTGTCATCGGCCCTCTTTCAAACTCCGACTTTCGTACGGAGTTGCCGACGAGGTACGCGTCCACTGCGCAGGACTGACCCACTACGCGATATACGGAGAGGTCTTGTATCTGCGGTAGACGGTACAGCCGGGAATCGGAACCAGGGCTGAACTGAGGCTCGCAAATAATCAAACGAGATGCTGTAGCAATGTTGAGTCCCGTTCCCCCTGCCGTGGCGCTAAGGAAGAGGATCACTAACCCCGAGGTTGGTTAGGTAGTTAAAAAGGCGTAGGCTTTCGATGCGATCATCCATCTTGATGTCCCCGCTATACGTGCAATGATCGCTGTCTATACATGTAGCGAGTGCTGGTGTGGTTCTGGCTGTCGTTGACATATGTAGCCTACCTGAGTCTTGAATGAGGTCGAGGAATCAGACAAACCTCGACGCCACCACGATCTTTTCTTCGGGTACCTCTTCGCGGATGCGAAGCAAGAGCACAATGATAGAGCGATGCGAGGGACAGCAGGGTATCCAGAGACATACCCTTCGCCCGCTCTTTCCACGTGCTCCTTTCGGCGAATGACATAGGATGGTAGACCAAATTAGGTATCTATTCGAAAGCCCAGTGTCTACTTTTTAATTTGGTTTCTTTTATTTGATTTATTTTGGTTTTTTTTTTATCCCTTTTCCTTTCTAGTTTTCTTCACTCTCTTCTCTCTTTTCCTCTCCTTTTAATTACTTATTTAATTACTTATTTCTTCTTTCTGTACTCTTCTTTCACTTTTTTCTCCTTTCTCAATTTCTTTTACTTCTTTCTCTCTTTTCTTGATTTCCTGCTCCCTTTCTAGTTGGAGGTAATGGAGAATTGCCTCCAGTTGACTTACGCGTAGTATTTCGGCGACTTCGGACGCTGCTTCTTTGTCGATCTCGTGCGGCTTGGTGAAGAGCAGGTCGACGACATTTCTTCCTTCTTGGTTACTGCTTTTTCCGAGAGCACAATCAATGAAGCTGAGAGCCTGGAGAAGATGTGTTCGGTCCTTTGTATCGTGGTATGCCGCGATGGCCTTCAAAATTGATGTCTTCCTTTCGCTGGAGACTTGCGTTTCACAGAGCCCCTGCCTTGTTTGGCCGATCAGACGCTTTGTGGACGTCGAGGAATATGTGTGTCTGAATGTATTTCTCGTAGAATTCTGTGATGTTCTGCTCCCACTGTGCCAGCCTTTCCTGATGCTGGGTCGCTGGCGGACTAGAGTATCCGTCCACTCGGGGTAGTACCCCAGTCGCGTATACATATGATTTGGATGGGAGTTGTAATACCCCGCAGAGACCTTCCTTCTTGTCAACAAGGACAAACAGGTTTGCCCAGCCGCCCCCTAGCTTTCGAACAAAGATTCGTGTGTGCTCCTGGTCAGGAACGATGTGGTGGGCCATGGGGCTGAAGTCATTAACACTGGCGCCTCAGCGGCAAGATGCAGGCGTCTTAAATTCTGGTTATATCTTTGAGTCCTGGCGTATCCGCGGGAAGAATCTCGCCCAAGACGACCACGAAATCATCATATGCTCCATGTGTATTCTGCTCTTGCAGTTCGAAATGATGCTCTGCCCCAGAGCGGTCTGAGTCCATCAACTACAACGTCTCATTCGCCGCTTGGTTGTCTTTCCGCTTATTGTCGGATCGGATGGGGATGACCAACTGCCTCGTCCGGTTTACCTTTGCGAGCTGGTACTCGAGAAGGCGTTGATTGAACGCCTGGTTGAACGCCTGGCGATGGCCCCATCCCCCGTGGCAGTGGCCATGATGGATGATGACCACGGTTATTTAGAAGGTGATAGGTTGTTGGGGAAATTCTGGATATGAGTGGTGTGATGAGCGAAAGATACCTACCTAGATATGAGTTGGTGGGAGCTCTCGGGATTAGCTGAAACCCGTCCACTGGATTTCGTCCACTGGATTTGTAGAGGCACAGATCTCGATGTCTTAACTAAAGCCTTGATTGGATGAACCACGGGGCGCAGCCGTTAAGTTCCCTCGGACCCCTTCCAGTTTACGACGAGGTAGCAAAGCAGGATGTTTCACTTGCCCGCTGACAGCGAAGGCACCGCCGCAAATCTGCGGCAACGTCCACCAGTACGAAGTGAGGCTTCCAATCCGCGGTGCCACGGGTTGAGGCGGAGTTTGTCGTGCAGGCAATCAGGTACTTTTATCTCGCTTTCGTCGGGTACCTAATTAATGAGAACAGACGGGAAAGTCCAACGCGCACGGGGGCCCTCATGCCATCCTCAGCACAACGTACTTCCCTTCTTTAGTTAGAGCCGAGAATGGTTTGTCGGGCGTCCAAGTATGGGAGTCGCGGATGCGAATACCTTGATTATCGGCCTTCGATCGGAGTCGGTGAACGGGGTCAATTCTCAACGGAGGGAAACAGGGCCGCAATCCCACCATGGGCCGGCCACCGGGGTCCAGCTAAAACCCGAAGATCGCTGGTAACCCCGGCAGTCCGGAAACCATCGACTGGAGGAGGGAAAAGAAAGTGATTCAGAAGCCCAAAGTTTAGTTACTTTTTATTCAATTCCATTACCTGATTTACTTTACTGTTTTGTCTTTTCTTGATTTTTTGCTCCCCTTTGGAGTTCGGCTTTTTTTGACCAGAGGGTACCCGGGAGGGGAAGGATTACTCAGTCCGTGACAAGATCGCCAAACGTACGAAGTCCCAATTTGGATATTTTGTCTCGTCTCCGCCTCCACCCCCGCTGGTCGGTTAACACATGTGCGTGCTGCCGGCCCGCCCGGAACACAGAACTTGAGGATAATTATCTCAAAATTGGGTTCTGAAAGACACCGCGATCCCCGAGCGAGGCCTCGGGATGACGATATCGGTTGATACGAGTTTAAGCGTATTCAAGTACCGCGGCTTGGTGCTGATGGTTGACTTGATCATACCTGATTGAGCACATTGTATTTGTATGTATTGTTAGAGCCACACAGGATTTTATGGCGAAACGGGCACTTCGGAATAGGACCGTCACTCGCATGCTACCCAAGGTGACGGTCCGGATATTACGCTGCGTGAGCAGCTTGGTCCGTTCCCAAGACCAAGCCGAGAGCGACCAAGCGGAAGCCCCACTTTTGGTACCGCGACGCCGTGAAATGAGAGCGAGAGCGCTGACCAATTCAGGGACCTGGGATCCTAGCGACCCTCCCCCCTGGTTCCATCTGCTGTGTTCTGTCCAGAGGAAGAAAGGCCCAGAGCCTTTGCTTCTCGCATTGTACCATTCAAAATCTCTCCCCCTTTCCTTGACGTTCATCTGATCGCAGCCCGGGAGTTACCAAAATCGCTCCCCCAGGTTGCTGACTGCATCGGCTTGCCCATGCCATAGCGTCGTCCTTTCGTTCTTTCTGTTTGCGGTGCCCCCGACTCTTCCGCACGCCCAGCACCGTACGTCCGCGCATCGAAATTTCTCGCCCGGCCGCCCCCCGGCTCTCACAGCGGTCACGAAACACATCGCCATCGCCACCTTCCCGTACTCCCTTATTGCCGCTCCGCTTCTGCACTGGATTCGCGACCGACGATTTAAAACACGACACATCTGGGACAACAGATTCGCGCGAAATCGCCCAGGTCGGACCCCACCGCCACTTGCGCTAAGCTTTGAATTGTAGCGGCCTGGACGAGCGACTCGGCCAAGCTTGGCCAGCCTGGCGACCATCTCGGGGTGATCGGGCCCAGCCCGCGATCCCACCATCATGGCGTCTCCCCAGGGGGGTGCGGGAGATGCTGCTGAGCCGCATCTGTCGTCGATGCAGCGGTCTCGATGGGCCACTCGGAAGTTGACGGTTAAGAGCAGCTCCATGAAGCGTCTCTCGCTAATGGGGAGGAAACACAACAACAAGGGCATGGCGAACGAGAAGAAGAGAACATCTGGGGGGACTGACGCGTCCCAGCCCGACGATGGCGACCAAGAAGACGACTCCAGTGTCCAGGAGGAGGTTGGTGATGGGCCGGGGCCGAGGCAGCTGTTCTTCAACCTCCCTTTACCGGCCGAATTTCAAGACGAGGAAGGGTACCCGTTACAGCAGTTCACGCGAAACAAGATTCGAACCGCCAAATACACGCCGCTCTCCTTCGTCCCCAAGAACCTGTTCTTCCAGTTCCAAAATATCGCCAACATTTTTTTCCTCTTCCTTGTTATTCTAGTGGTAAGTCGGTTCGCGTTCTACTCCTTTGCGCGCGGAGAGTTGACAAGAAACTACTTGTTAGATATTTCCTATTTTCGGCGGTGTCAATCCCGGGCTGAACGCCGTCCCCCTAATATTTATTATTTGCGTTACGATGATCAAGGACGCGATCGAAGATTACCGAAGGACCAACCTCGATAACGTGCTCAACAATGCGCCCGTTCACCGGTTGTTGGGCAAGAAGAACGTCAACGTGCGGGAGGATAATGTCTCGGGGTGGCGGAAGTTCAAGAAGGCCAATTCTCGCTTCTTCGGTTCGATATGGCGCTCGATCGAAGCGCTGTGGAAGAAGGAAGAGCCAAGCCACCAGACCTTCAAGACGGCCGACCCACGAATGTCTATCGAGACGAGGAACACCGCCTGGGAACCCGTCGCGTCGCCGCACTCGCGCCAATCAGTTGCCTCGGCACACGAAGATATCCAGATGACCCCAGTGCCGTCGCCCTTGCCCCGTGACCCCGACATGCCCACCATGTCGTCCACCATGGAAAACGAGGCAGTACTCTTGCAAAACCTCAAAGGCGACCTGATAAATCCAGAGGAGCCCATTTCCGGAAATGCGAGGTTTCACAGGGATGCTTGGAAAAACTTGGTGGTCGGCGACTTCGTGCGCATCTACAACGACGACGAACTCCCCGCTGATGTCATCATTCTGGCGACGTCGGATCCAGACGGCGCGTGCTATGTGGAAACAAAGAATTTGGACGGCGAAACCAACCTCAAGGTCCGATCCGCTCTGCGATGCGGACGGACGTTGAAGCATGCACGCGACTGCGAACGCGCCCAGTTCATCATCGACAGCGAGCCGCCGCAGCCGAATCTCTACAAGTATAACGGCGCGGTCAAGTGGCGGCAACGAGTTCCCTGGGACCCCAAGGCCGAGCCGAGGGGAATGTCGGAACCCGTCGGCATCGATAATATGCTTTTGCGGGGCTGCAACCTCCGGAACACGGAATGGGCGCTCGGTGTCGTCGTTTTCACCGGCCATGATACGAAGATCATGATGAACGCCGGTATCACACCCAACAAGCGGCCCCGCATCGCGAGAGAGCTGAACTTCAATGTCATCTGCAACTTCGGCATCCTTCTCGTCATGTGTCTGATCTCGGCTCTCGCGAACGGTGTCGCCTGGGCGAGAACCGATGCTTCCTTGACCTGGTTCGAGTACGGCTCTATCGGAGGAACCCCGGGCTTGACTGGTTTCATTACGTTCTGGGCTGCCCTGATCGTTTTCCAGAACTTGATTCCCATCTCGCTCTACATTTCGCTCGAGATTGTAAGAACTGCCCAGGCGTTCTTCATCTACAGTGATGTCGGGATGTATTACGACAAGATCGACCAGCCCTGCATCCCCAAGTCGTGGAACGTCTCGGATGATGTCGGTCAGATCGAGTATATCTTCTCAGATAAGACGGGTACCCTCACGCAAAACGTCATGGAGTTCAAGAAGGCGACCATCAATGGGCAACCATATGGCGAAGCGTATACTGAAGCCCAAGCCGGCATGAATAAGAGACTGGGCATCAATGTCGAGGAGGAGGCGAAGACAATCCGGGCCGAGATCGCCGACGCCAAGGTCAGAGCGCTCCGTGGGCTTCGCCAACTTCACGACAACCCGTACCTTCACGACGATGACCTGACCTTTATCGCCCCCGATTTCGTCGATGACCTGGCCGGCAAGAATGGCCCTGAACAGCAACAAGCAAACGAACAATTCATGCTAGCCCTTGCCCTCTGTCACACGGTCATCGCCGAGAAGGAACCAGGGGATCCCCCAAAGATGCTTTTTAAGGCCCAGTCTCCAGACGAGGCGGCCCTGGTGGCCACAGCACGCGACATGGGGTTCACTGTGCTCGGCTCCTCAAACGACGGAATCAACCTGAACGTCATGGGTACCGACAGGCACTACACCGTCCTCAATACCATTGAGTTCAACTCTAGCAGGAAAAGGATGAGTGCGATTGTGAAAATGCCGGATGGCCGGATTGTGCTTTTCTGCAAAGGCGCCGACAGCATCATTTATGCTCGCCTGAAGAAGGGCGAGCAAGCCGAACTCCGGTTGGAAACGGCGAAGCATCTTGAGCTGTTTGCGGTCGAGGGTCTCCGGACGCTTTGCATCGCTCAAAAGGAGCTCACGGAGGCGCAGTACCTCGAGTTTAAGAAAGAACACGACGTGGCCGCCACGGCGCTAGAGAACCGTGAGGAGAGGCTCGAGGAAGTAGCTGATAAGATCGAGCGAGACCTAACCTTGATGGGAGGAACTGCCATCGAAGACCGTCTCCAAGACGGCGTTCCGGATACGATTGGGTTGTTGGGCGATGCCGGAATTAAACTCTGGGTGCTCACAGGCGACAAGGTCGAGACAGCCATCAACATCGGGTTTTCCTGCAACTTGCTGAACAACGACATGGACCTCATTCGTCTCCAAGTCAACGAAGACGAAGGTAGCTTGGCGACCGAGGCGGAGTACCTAGCGATTTGCGAAGAACAACTTGACAGTGGCCTGGCGAGGTTCCATATGACGGGCAGCGACGAGGAGCTAAAGAAGGCCATGAAAGACCACGAACCCCCCGCCGCCACTCACGCGCTTGTGATCGACGGCTTCACACTTCGGTGGGCGCTCAGCGATACCTTGAAACAGAAGTTTCTGTTACTGTGCAAGCAGTGCAAGTCAGTCCTCTGCTGCCGTGTCAGCCCCGCACAAAAAGCCGCCGTTGTCGCCATGGTAAAGAACGGCCTCGATGTCATGACTCTCTCGGTAGGAGACGGCGCCAACGACGTGGCCATGATTCAGGAGGCGGACGTCGGCGTCGGCATTGCCGGCGTGGAGGGACGGCAGGCCGTCATGTCGGCTGACTACGCCGTTGGGCAGTTCCGCTTCTTGCAGAGGTTGGTGCTGGTCCACGGAAGGTGGTCGTACCGGCGTTTGGCAGAGTCGATCAGTAACTTCTTCTACAAGAATATGGTGTGGACGTGGGCCATTTTCTGGTACCAAGCCTTTACGGATTTCGACATCTCGTACATTTTTGAGTACACGTACATCCTCATGTTCAACCTTTTCTTCACATCGGTCCCGGTTATCCTTATGGGCGTCCTGGATCAGGATGTGAGCGACACGGTGTCGCTGGCGGTGCCCCAGCTCTACCGTCGCGGGATTGAACGGAAAGAGTGGACTCAAACGAAGTTCTGGTTAGCATCCTACCTCGGCTCCGTTGTTCTTTTTGCCCGGCCTGTTCACTGACACAATACCTCTCCAGGGCGTACATGGTTGATGGCATCTACCAGTCCACTCTGAGCTTCTTTATCCCGTACATCTTTGTCATCCTCACGACCACGGGCTCCGGAAACGGGCTTGATGTTTCGGAGCGGACACGGCTAGGGTGTTATATTGCCCACCCGGCCGTGCTCACCATCAACTCGTACATCCTGATCAACACCTACCGGTGGGATTGGCTCATGATTCTCGTTGTTGTCATCAGTGATGTCTTCATCTTTTTCTGGACCGGCGTGTACACGTCGTTCACGTACGCTGCCGGTTTCTACCAGGCAGCTCCTCAAATCTACCAGGAGTTGACCTTCTGGATGTGCCTGATCGTCACTCCGGTCGTCTGTCTCCTACCGCGTCTTGTGATCAAGGCGATGCAGAAGCAGCTGTTCCCCTATGACGTGGACATCATCCGCGAGCAAGCCAAGCGCGGCGACTATGCCGACGCCGACGCGGCTGCTGCTGCGGCCGTCGACGCGACCGAAGGCGTGGAGGACGCATCAGCCAAGTCATCGTCCTCGTCGGGCAAGTTATCCGGGCGGAGCAGGAAGGCAAAGCACACCCAGTACGCGAGCGTCGATGAGGACAGACGGCCAATCTACCCGCCATCGATCGCGACGCACAACACACGCACGCAAAACGGAAGCGACGGGACGACCTATATCATGAGCCGGGCCTCGGCCGAGCTGCAGCAGCAGCGGGAACAGCAACAACAGGATGACATGGGTGTAGAACCGGAGCGCGCTGTCACCCGGCCATCGATAGATCGCTGCAGGCCGTCATACGACAGGGTGCGGCGGTCCATCGACGGGCGTGTGCGCCCAAGCTTCGAGGCCAGTAACGACTTTACCTCAGCTGCGCGCTTGAGCAGGATTGAATCGACACATTCGGCCCAGGGACTCCCGGGCCAACGGCGGTTCAACCTGACGACGGTGAGGAAGCGGGGGCTGTCTGCTTTCTCCAAGAAGAGTATTGACCCATGATATGACGGAAGAGAAGAAGTTCGGACTGTATATGTGGTGTTCCCGCGCGGTATCGTTGATGGGTTCTTTGTTGTCCCCCGTTTTTCTTATTTCTCACTTTTGATCACCCGTCTTTTTAGATGTCCCAGCAGGCGGCGTGCATGCGTGCATGGATGGGAAGTAACATGATATCCCCCACCCTCACCCCACCGACATTTGCGGAACAAGGAGCAGAGAGGGGCGAGAGGGAGTGCAATATTGTCGGTGTTTAGAGTTGTTCAACGCGAAAGATGAAGGGAGGAAAATTTGGTTGCGGTTTGGGAAGGAAATCGGGACTTCCCCCCGGCGGCTGTTCCCCGTTGCTGCTTAGTGGTGCTGTTCCCCCTTTCTTTCCTCTCTGTCGCGCTTTGTTCTGTTTTCTTTTCTTTTTTTTTCTTCTTCATGGCATACGGCGTTTTGGATGGGATACATTTGCGATGCTGGGAGGAAGTTATGTTCCAAAGCGGCTTGAACTTGCGTTGTTGCTGTACAATACAAGAGCCATTTTGCATATATACCTTGTGCAGATGATATCAGTACGTGTGCTGCGGTTAGGTAGACGTGTTTTGGGAGAGCAGCTCCCTTATGTCTTAATGTACCCTTAGCTCCAACCTCCAGCGGAGTTAGAGAGAAGCCCGCTGGTGGCTCCGCCGAAATCCCGTTCCCGTTTGAAAGGCAGTGCCAAGGGTTCGGCACCAGCCGCTGGGGATGTGGGTCGTGCACCCTTGCGGCCTCTGTGAGTTTCCCCTGCCAAGCCCCTGAGCCAAGCCCAAACAACCCCATCAACAAAATGTGGTGGCGTGAGGTTCAAGCAAGTCGCGACCGCGCGTGGGCTTTGGGCCACCTCACTTCTTTCCTCTACCAGCACCCGCCCTAGATCCTCACCGGTATCGGGTTCATAAGTCAGTCAATTGCATTGCCTTTTACCCGTCAAATGTGGCGAGACCGTGGTAGACACAAAGGCCTACGATAATGACGACAAAAGCGGTGGAGAGTTTGCTCGAGCAACTCCGCGCCACGGTTCAAGATTTGGGGTGAGCTTAGCCCATTGGGAGAAACTGCTATACCATTTCTAACACGAGACTTATGGGCTTTCTAGTTTAGTAGACATCCCAGAACATGCCTGGCCGCTCCTCTTCACGGGCTTGGGCGCCCTAGCCCTCCTCTATCTTGCTCTGCGTGAAAACGACCAGCCGATCCGCTACAACGTCCCATCGCCCAAGAGGCCTGAAAAAGTCGAGATTCTTGACGAGCCTGCTATCAAGGTGCGCTATTCTTGAGTGCCGGATCGCCGGTTGCCATCACACGGCTGACAATGTTGAACTTAGGTCTCCGGCTCCACCGCCGTTCAGTGCTATGCTCCCGCAACCGGGCAGTTCCTCGGCCTCGTGAACCCCTCGACTACAAACGCCATCGACCGAGCCGTCGAGCAGGCACAAGCCGCCCAGACGAAATGGGCTACCACCTCATTCCGTGAGCGCCGCGCCGTTTTACGTTCTATACTCCAGTATGTCTTAGATAACCAGGAGGAGATCTGTCGCGTGGCTTGCCTCGACAGCGGCAAGACCATGGTGGATGCGCAGCTTGGGGAGGTCCTCGTGACGACCGAAAAGCTCCAATGGACCATCAAGCACGGCGAAAAGGCCCTCCTTCCTTCGCGGCGACCGACAAACCTGCTCATGGCATACAAGCGCAACACCGTTTACTACGAGCCCTTGGGTGTTGTGGCCGCCCTCGTCAGCTGGAACTACCCCTTCCACAACTTTATCGGACCGGTTATCAGCGCCCTGTTCTCAGGCAATGCCATTGTGGTCAAGGTCTCGGAACAAACAGCATGGAGCTCGTCATTCTTCACCAACATCGCCCGCGGCGCGCTCATCGCCCACGGCCACTACCCAGCCCTCGTCCAAACCGTCGTCTGCTGGCCGCAAACAGCAAACCACATCACCTCCCACCCCGGAATCTCTCATATCACCTTCATCGGCTCCCGCCCCATCTGCCACAAAGTCGCCGCCTCTGCCGCCAAGTCGCTTATACCCGTCGTCGCCGAGCTAGGTGGCAAAGACGCCTGCATCGTCCTCGACACAGTCAGCAAGCGCGACCTCCCCCGCGTCATCGAGATCCTGATGCGCGGCTCCTTCCAGGCCTCGGGTCAGAACTGCATCGGCATTGAGCGCATCGTTGCGGCCCCCGCCATCTACGACCGCCTGGTCTCTATCCTCGAGCCCCGCGTGCGCGCCATCCGCCTGGGACCCACCGCAGACATGGGTGCCATGATCTCCGATGCCTCCTTTGCACGCCTTGAGGGCCTGATCGCCGACGCTGTCCAGCAGGGCGCGCGCCTGCTCGCCGGCGGCAAACGGTTCATCCACCCAGACCACCCCAAGGGCCACTACTTCTCGCCGACCCTCCTCGTAGACGTCACCCCCGACATGGCCATCGCCAACGAGGAGTGCTTCGCGCCCGTCATGGTCCTCATGCGCGCGCCGGGCGCCTCCGCCGAATCCATCCTAGCCGTCGCCAACGCCCCGCACTTCGGGCTGGGCAGTTCGGTATTCGGCGCCGACTCGGACTCGCGCATCCCGCACATCGTGCGCGGAATCAAGGCGGGGATGATCGCCGTCAACGACTTTGGCGCCACCTACGCCGTGCAGCTACCTTTTGGTGGCGTGTCTGGCTCCGGCTATGGGCGCTTCGCCGGTGAAGAAGGGTTGAAAGGGTTGTGCAACGTGAAGGCCGTGTGCGAGGACCGCTTCTCGTGGTTGGGGATTCGCACTGCGATCCCGCCGGCGATGTGCTACCCTGTCATGGACCAGGGACGAAGCTGGCGGTTTGCAAGGGGCGTGGTGGAGGTGGGGTATGGGATGGGGATCGTGCGGAAGATTGGGGGGGTGTTGGGGATTATGAAGAATAGCTAGGGGTGGTGTTTGTATGATGCTGGACGACTTGACAAAGGAGCGGAGGATCCGCGACCGCAGCTGCGGTCAAGGTAACATCTAATACCATAATATATTTAAACAACTTCAAATTCCACCTATTTTTTGGTATAAATGTAGATATGGCAACTTCTCCGTCTCGTATTTTGGGGGAACCGAGGACGGCCATATGAGTACACCTCCTATATCACCTGAACAGGCACCATCAGAATCACAGAGAATATTCGGAATATTGATCCATTTACACATGTACATACCAAGCACTAACCGTGATTCCTATACTGCCAGTCCCCGTACATATCCCCATCTCGTATCCCCCTCACCCACTCTCTCAAACCCAAACGTAGTAAGGAAGGGTATCCCAATCATCTACCCAAGCCCGTGGCCCGCCCATCTAGGTATCCTCCAGCACCCCCCATCCCAGAAAAGAACGAAAGAAGAAGAAAATGAAAGGAATTCCCCCGAATGTATATACGTGAGGAAAGCCCCCGGACCATTGCGTGGTGTGGTCCATTCCGTCCAAGTTCCTTCCAGCCTGCATCATCACGCATCCTCCGAAAGGGAAATGAGCGTGACGACTGGGGGGTTAATACCGGCCCAGCTATGTAGAAAGACAAACGCCCCCAAAATCCATATGTCAACTGTCGTGTGTATAGCCCTCTTTGGTTCGTTTCCATCATCAAGCGCCATCTCCCCTCATAATAAATACGGGGTTACCATCTAGCCACGCCAAGCCTAGGCGATGCGAGATGAGAGCAATCCGAACCGACCAGAGAACACGGGCACCTCGGCCACGAAGCGAACTCGGCCGTGCTGCAGCCACAGCTCGATTGCGCAACACAAACAATCCCCAAGCCCGGCGGCTCATCCAAATGGCCTTTCAGCAGCAAGCCTCGGACTCTCACCCTCTTACTTACAAACTCATGGTCAACCACTCCCACTCCTGGGGCCCGGCCCGCTGGCTACCCGGCCCAGCCAGCGGCCGCTGCGGCTGCATGGCTGCGCTGCCAAAGCCACCGGCAGACAAGCTCAAACTGCTCGAGCTGGGCTGCATGGCGGTAAGCGTGCTGCTCGAGCCCAAGGGCCTGGATACGGCGGCGGCCTCGTTGGAGCCCGTGGAGCTCTCCGGGCTGTCGATGTCCATACCAGTAAGCGATGTCTGCTCCAATGTCACAACACTCTTGCTGTAGCGGCGCTGGCGCTTTGAGGAGGAGACAGAGGGGGCTACGGTGCGTGGGAAGGCGGCGGCGCCTGGGCCGGGAATGGCTTTTGCTGGCGCAGCGGCAATGGGGACAACGCCTTTCCCGCCAACCGCACCGACCGCGCCGTTGGACGAGCCAGCGCCGTTGTTGTGGCTCGTGGGTGTGTTTCCTGATGAGTTTCCGGCCGAAGCGGCGCCACTCGCGGGACTCTCGCTACCGTTCACGCTGTTGGCTCTATTCCGGGTTGCCGGGGGTGTGCTTGCCTGCACCGGTGGGGGGTTGGCGGCCGAGGAGACAGATAATGTAGAACCGCGTTTAGTTATGCCTCCTGAAGAGCTAGCATTCTTTCTAGTTCGGGTACTTGAACCGCCAACGGGGAGACTTGAACCGGAACCGCGGTTTCGCTTCTTGATGACGTCCGTTTTCAGGCTCAAAGGCCGGACCACACCGTGAAGCTTAAGGAACAAGCCGCAGGCGTTACACAAGGGCTGGCCCTCGGGGTTCCGGCGCCAGAGCGGCGTTGTCTGGGTGAAACAATTTGTACATGTCGTGGGTGTATTAGCGTTGGCATTGGTACTACTCTCAGCCTGGCTGCTTCCCGCAGCTTGGAGGTTGGTTGTCGACCCATGTCTCGATGCTGGAGGAGGGGACGAGGGACGGCTGGTAGCCGCAGAGGAGAAAGCCGAGGCGTGATTGGCGTCAGCCGGTGGCGAGTTTGGTGTTGACCGCGCCAGCCTATCGAACGGATTTGTTCCGTTGGCCAGTCTCGGTGTCGAAGCCGTTCGCGGTACTTTACCGGTGCGCCCATCCGTGGTACCAAAAGATTGCGATTGCGACCGGTTCAACCCCGATCCTTCCCAATCGCCACCCGAGTCGACGTAGTCGGTCGTCGTACCACCTATTGTCACCTGTTTCCGGGTAGGCCCGGCCGGATACCTAGCTGCCTGCATACTAAAATTGCCGGGGAGGGACGGGTCCCATTGAAGTGACGAGCTGTCAAACCCGCTGTCTTCCATGCCTTGGGGCGAAAGGTCTTGAGGTATCGGGATGTTGCGGTCAGCAAAAGCACCTCCCTCCTCGTCATCTGAATCGGCGCCAAACGAAAACATGTTCTCTTGGCCCAAGCCGACAGCGGGAGATCGAGTAGGGAGCTCCTGTTGAAACACCCGCGTGGGGTCAACATGACCAAAAGAGGCTGGGGCGTTGAATGTGGAAGTTGGTTCGGAACCGGTGGAGGCGGGAGGGAACATCAAGTTGCCATTAGCCCCGTACGGGAATTGCTGGCCCAATGCGTTGCCCATCCCCGAGTGAACAGTTCTGTACGACTGCTGCTGACGCAAATGGCGCATATCCATCTGTCCAAAATAAAAACCATCGGCATCGCCTAGGGGGTGCGGAGTGGAAACAGCGGACTGGTAAGCAGATCCTGGAGGGGAATAGAAGTCGGTAGCCAAGGGGCCGGAAGGTATCGAAGAGCCACCGTAGAGGCTGGAGAACGGGTCATTGGCCACCATTGGCGACGTGGCGGGTGAGAAGGAAAAGTGATGTTGGAATGGGCCGGTGGAGGTTATGTTGAGGTCGTTCAAGCGGAAGGTGTCAAGCGGGAAGGGGACTCCCGTGTGATTGGGCGGCTGGGTCAGGGAGGCGGGCTGGTGTAAGTGGTCCAGCGAGTACTCGTTCAATTCTGCGTCGGCGTCCAGTCCATTTGTCGTGACGCCGCTGTTGACAGCGGGGACGTGAGGGGAGAAGTTGGCCGGACGCTTCCGGGTCTGTTGGGGACAAGCAATATCAGATCGCCATCACAAATGGGAAATACGTCATCGCAATAAGAGGCGGGGAAAGGCGACGGATCTCTCGTCCCAGAGCCGTCTTTTACAAAACAAAGGGCGTAAACTCACACGTTGGCCCGTCTCGTCGATGCTAGTCTTGCGCGGATGGCGAGGAAGATAACCAAACTCGTCCTGGACTCGCTGGTGGGCGGCGACGGGGACGGACTGGGGAGCCAGATACTGGGACGAGTCCTTGCGAGACTTGATGGGAATGGCCGTCGCCGTGGGATGGGCCGACCTATCCTCGGCCTGACGCATGGCTTCCGGGGTCGGGGTCAGGGCAAGGCCAGCTGGCGTTCCGACGTTGTCGTTGTGAATGAAGTCGTCTAGGTTCATTGGGTCTGGTGGTAGCGGGGCATGCTCGGAGGACTTGCGCAATTGCGCAATCCCGCTGGGGGCATTCGCTGCTGGGCCTAGAGCACGGCTGTTTCTTCGTCGGCCCACAACGTCAGTACTCAGTCTTCTTTTCCGCCACCGTCGAACTTCCCAAAGCAGCACACTAGAAACCGCGGTAAGACGAAAAAACCTACTTTATCGCGTTGGCTGTCCTTGTCCTCTGCAACTTGAGATGCATCATTCGCCACGTCAAGTTTTCCATACGCTCCTGGGCAGGAAGAAGCTGCTTCGTCCTGGCGTAGAACTTCCAAATCTGGGTGGCCAGCGGGTCCTGCCTCTGCATCTCGTCCAAGTTCTGGGCCTCACGCGCGGCACTCCGCTGAAACGGCTGGAAGGCGGCGGAGCGCAGCAGGTCTGGGTGGGCAGCACCCTGAGTCAGGGGCAGGTCTAGACGAGACTCGCGCGGCCCCGGGCGTTGGCCGCTCGGCCCTGTCGTCATTGCTCTTGGTGCGCCGGTTGTCGTGGATGCCGCCGCCGCCATCCTAGAACCGGTAGCAGATGTGCGATCTTGGTCGAATCGGTCAGGTCTCCGGTTCAAGTGGTTGCCGGCCGCAGCGTCACCTGGCCTCCGTGGAAAACGGAAGTCGTGCTCAGTCATTGTAGGATGCATCGAAGCCAGCGGGCTCGACGCTCCAAAGGGGTCCGTCGCGGTCGCTGCCATTGCGATGCAACAAGTGAGACCCGGTCGAGATTTGGGGAATTTGGACGGACGGGAGGAAAAGAAGACGGGCGCCGCCGAGGTAAAGGAGGGTTGGCTCCGCTACTCTCTCTCTCGGCTTGCTGGGCCTTCCCCACGCCCGAGTGCAGCACAAGCCCGGCTCAAGTCGTAGGTTGTGGTGCAGTGGGTGTGGGCGGACAGTTCCAGGTGACGGGAGCCAGGTTCTGCTGAAGGAAACAGGCTTGTGCGGGCCCGGGCCACCTAAAAGCAGCAATCCAGGGCAGCGTGCCACCCAAGTCTGCGATTGCGCCCGCCAAAACACACAGTGTGCAATTCGCCCGTGTGGGGACTTGCGGCGAACTTGGACCTTGGCAATGTGTTGAAACCTGAAAAGAGGAAACAACGATGCAAAGTGGAAAAGGCTTATTTTCGCTTTTACGTTTCCCTCAAAGGGGGAAGTTTGGGGGAGGGAAAGCAAGGGCCGGCCGGCAAAGTGGTGACCTTCTAGGAAAGAGTTCAAGTGGGCTCCGCTCACTCACAGCGGGCGGCTCGCAGGCTAGGTGAGAAACAGAGATGTGGCCCCTGCCCGCTGCCACCTACCGCTGAGCATGGGGCTTCGATGCAACACGACTCCGCCAAGCCTCGTGGGAAGCCCCGAATGTTGACGATGGAAGTGGGGAGGGAGGAAGAAGGAGGAACCTACAAGTAGCCCAGAGGAGGAACTTGCTATAAGGGGAGACAAAGGATGGGCTGCCTACCTCGGTACCTAGCCACACCCAAAGGAGGCAATGATTATACTGTGTATACGAACACGTTTCGTTGAGACGTTCTGCCCACGTTGAGAAGTTACCTCGACACTGTTCAAGCCCGTCACTCTGCACCAATAACTATTTGATCGGTGCTCACTCAGGTTTGTCGCAGGCCAGGCCCACGTCGCACCGCAACCCGCTCGGGAACAAGACCGACAAGGGTCCCGTCCTGGCTGATGTGCTTCTCACCCCACTACGATTCCTCCCCACCACCACAGGCAATCATCCAAACAGTCCACAACGCAGGTTTCTGATGCCGCTGGCCCCTAAAAGAGAGGTGTGCAATCCAGCCGTTGTCGTATCCGCCGACTCTAGAAATAGGCCATGATGAAATGAACCGTCCCTGTGTCTCGAGAATTTGGGTCGATCGGGGGTCCCAGCCCTCCACCGTGCAGGTACACAGGTACATTAGGCAAGGCCCCTCCATGTGAAGAGCAAGCCAAAGTTACTGGTACTTGCCCCACCGGTGAGCCGTGAAGCAGGCAGGGCGGGATGTGGGAGTTCTTGGCGTGGAATGTCCCCGCGTGTCGCGCAGTTACATGTTCGCGATGCGGCGTCAGCTGCTGCCACGATAGGTACTTGGGGTGTCCTGAATGCCATCGCTCTAGTTTGTAGATCGCTGCTTTGTGGGCATGGCTGAGCAGACGGTGAGCTGGGATTGATGAGGCTGGGCTGTTAACCATTGCAGACCTCCCTTTCTGAATGCAGTGTGTGATGACAATGGGAGGAGGAAGCATCGAAGCATGGTAAAGACTCCCGCGCGGGGGGTCACCGGGTAGCGTACCAGCTTCGACGAAAGTCCGGCACAAATCATCCCCCCAAATGCGCTGCATCGACAGACCAAGCCATATTTTGGATGGCCCCCAGCCTCACGAATGGGGGTTACAAACAGCCTGGTTAGTCGAGTCGCCATCCCGCGTGTGCGGATTCTCAACTAAAACGAGAACAACCACACAGCATGTTATTGTCGAGAAGCTTAAAACCCGCCAGCCCAAATTCAATTCTCGTTCGGCAGTATCGGTTCGGGGCCGATGCCGAGCTCCTGTCAGCGGCGTTATTTCCCGTCCCTCGCTGTTCGCATGTGCGACTGTCCTATCGCAACGATAACTGCCTAGGTACGAATACCAGTTCCGTCATCCTCGGGGGGTTGGAGCTGTCACCCCACCCCCCCGAGGCGGGACGGTGTGTGCCAGGGTCTCGACCGTCTGTGGGGTGCAGGTCGCTGCTGGCGGTTCTAGAAAGGGGACAATACAGATTTGTACTGTGTATGGATGTCAATTCATGATGAGCGGGAGACAATTCGAACTTGGAGGCGCGTTCAGCACATGGATGGGGTGGGGAAGTACTCGGTACATCGAGACCAGGGGGCTAAAGCGCTTGCATAGGACCCCCACTTCCGCAATCAATTCAATGGTACCGTCCTCACTCTCATTTTCCGAGCCACCAAGACACTCTCCCGCTGGTAGCCTTTGAATTCCGAATTGGACGGCCCACGGCGAGGAAGAGGGCCTTTCCGATTTTGCCTTGCACCGTTTCTCCAGCGCGTGAGCGAACATGGACATTGATCGCAGCTCACTTAGCTAGCACGCTCTTACACTACAAAGTACGAATACCTCGCCCCACTTGGACCCTCAACCACGAGATGACGATGGATCCGAGAAGTCGCACCCAGCAACGGCCGCTTTCCCGCCTGCAGAAAGCTCCAAAAAAAACACACAAGAGGGTGTCCGAATCCGTACAAGGTACGAGGTAACTAAAGACTCGGCGAAATCACCGTTGCAGACAGTTTGTCCGCTCCCAACCCATCAAAGACGCCTTCACGCCTTCCATGCGCCTGTGGTGACCATCTTCCGACGCCGTCGCGTTTCTGCTTCGAGCCCCAAGACAGGATAACTAACGGGGAAACTCCCCGACGCCCCCAGCCTCTCCACCCGCGAACCTCGAATTTAGCCTTTTGCAAGAACCCGCATCGGTAGGAACCGGAACAGAAGCTTCGCTTGCAGCCTCCCAAACCCTCTCTTCCGACATGGTGCAGTTGCCGTCTCTCCACAAAAGGATCCCTTCAATCTTCGCCCGTCCCGGAATCGGCCCGTGAAGTGGCTCTCAAATCGTTGGCGCCGGCCTCACCGTCGCGCGGTCGTCAACGAGTCGTCCATCCGATTTCGCTGCTATTTTCCGCTCTTGTTCGCGCCCCAAGGGATAGACACCCTTATCAGAGCTGAGGGGTGGGGTCTTTGCTCAGTCCCCTGCCATCTGGACGTTCCGATGCTTGGCTTCTCGATAAGACCATGACCACCACTGCGCTTCGTCCTTGGCACGAAGTCAGAGACCGGCCCGTTCGAAATCCGCAGCCATGTTAGTTCCCGCCGTCGGAAAGCGTTCCCGGCGATGGGACGGCGGTACTTCGTACTTGTAGATATCCGTACATCCTCCCAAAGTTCCCCCCACCTCAAACAAGTCGAACTCGCCGGTGTCGATCTGGTCTGGATGAAATCAGGAAAAACACATCTCATCGGTCCCTTCGGCTGCGCTCCATCATTGCCGCGGAGGATCCGTGCTCTTCGACCCCTCGATGATTTCGTCGAGCATTCGTGCCGGGAGGCTGATCTCCGAACAGATGCCCAATAAGGGATCCTCCCGCCCGGGGGGGCTGAACCACTACGACGGTGCGTGGGGGTGATTGATGATTGCCCGACTCACCGATATCAATCGATTGTTTTGGCTGATGACTGTCATTAATGGGCCCCGCGCCGTTGGAACCCTAACCCTAGTACTCATAGAACAGACGGGACTGACTTGTAGATGGGAAGGGAGAGGGAGTGAAAGAATGGCAAGGGAAGGGGAAAATGAAGTCACCTTGCTCAAAAGCATTTGAGGCTTGCAATAACCGCCAATACCAGAGCGAAAAAAAGGGACAACATGCCGGGACAAGGCCATCCTATATACCTCGTCGAGGGCAGACCAACCCCCGTCCCTTATCATCCAAAAGTCGTCATAGCTATCACATTGTCCATTCAGCGCTTAGGGTTCGATGAGATCAGATTCGCAATCTCTAGCATGAGAAAGCCCATACATCTCCGTGGACAACACACACGGTCCGTATCTGACCTCTCGATCCAGTCCCCGTGCTTAATTGACCCGTTCCGGGACTTTCCCTTCCAACATATCACGTACATCCTTGACCGAAGATCCTTCCTGCGCCACAAGAACAATTCCCGGAACATCATCCCACTTCTCCCATATTCCTCAAACGGAGGGGCCTGGCCTTTGGGTGTCTAATTCGTACCTAGTATGGATGCCTACTCTAAACAGGAACTCTGTTTGCTACACTTTGGGGTGAGTTGTTCTTCCATCTAGTTGTGGCGTCAAATTCATCTCCCAACATACAACCCATGCCTCCTCTATTAAGGAATAAGATGCCTAGAACTCAACAAACACTTACATCATGTTTTCACATCACCCAACTGCTGCTGTCCAAAGTCATCGACTTTTGTGTTTCTTCTTCCGTTCCTGTACAACCCTTTGGGTCGACCTAGGCTCAAGGGGAGTATTGGAAAACTACATAGCCTGTAGTCTGGGTAGCCCACATCGTTTATTGGAACATGGCTGCCATGATTTACACACAATGCCTATGACATCAACTGATCCTTGGAGTTCACTTTGAGCACAATGTCACATGACAGGGCCGTTTCATTAGTATATCGGCCTGCTCTTGCCGGGGCTTATTAAAATCTCAAATATGCTCGGGTGATTGGTATCGCTTCTCGTGGCTCTTGACCTAGGGGGGTGGTGTGAGTAGAGTATCTAAAGGAAGTGTTGACTTGCAAACTGGATGCTAGGAAAACTTTGTGATATACTTGATAGTGGACATGGGTTTCCTGTAAAGCTAAATTCATGTGCTGTTCAAAGAACTCACATGTGACCGCGTCGTGACAAATGTCGTAACCAAAGACCGGAGCAGAACCTTTGACAGTCGCTCTCGGCTTCTACACAGGAGCGGTACAATTTACCGTCCCACCTAAGCAACCATTTCGGTAGTTTGCAAACGAGGATGACTATACGGTATGGGTCAAGTAGCATAGAGACATATTTTTTTTCATCATGATGAATCCCGGCTATATTCCAAGATTCCTAGCTCACTGCTGTTCACTTTCCCACCACCGTCCTGAATCCGTTCCGAAGCAAACCCGCAAACGCCAGTTCATCAACTACATTACCCCAAAGACCACTCAAAAGAAATCATCAAAATCCATGGATAAACGAGTGCCCAATAACCCAACCTTCCACTCCGATCCGAGCCAGATGGCGGTTGACAAACCCAACCCCCCTCACCCACGCAAAACCCCTGAATCCACCAAACAAACTCACCACAACATCAAACACCCACAACCCACAACCAACTCAGAGCCACGCAGCAACAGCAACCACGCCACCCAGCATCACCGCAGCCACCTTCACCCCCAACGCCTCATTCCTCCCCGCCGCCCCCGCCACGCCCCCCGTCGGGTTCGCATTCCCATCCCCACCACTAGCTCCACCCGTAGCAGCAGCACCCGTCTCCACCGCCCCAATAACGCTCGTGCTCGTGACGTCGCCGCTCGCGGCCAGCGCCACGGCGGCCAGGCCCACGCTGGTGGACAGGGCCGTCGCGCCGGCCGTGTCGGTGACGGTGACGACGCGGGTGACGGTCTGCGTGACGGTGCTCCAGGTCCAGCCGCGGCCCCAGGGACCCCAGGGCGAGCCGCCGGCGCCGCCGGGCGCGCAGCCCCCCGGCCCCCCGGCCCACACGTTGCCGTTCCATTCGCAGCCCGTGACGGTGTAGCTTCCGCCGGACCAGGTACGCGTGTATTGATCCCTGAAGGGGGGGAAGGTTGGTTAGTTTGTTTGGTGTCTTGTGTTTATGGGGAGGGGTGTGGTTTGGGAGATAGGGGGTTGTTGTAAGATGAAGGGACCACATCAGGCTTGGTATATAGTGAAAGAAGAGGGTCGAGACATAACGTACCACTGGTCACGGTCATCGGTGCCGTCATTGTCCCAGTCATGATCCCAGCCCCAGTCATCGTCGTCATTGTCGTCGCCGTGGCCGCGGTGGCGGTCACCCCAGTTTCCGGGACCGTTCCAGTTACCAGTGAATGCTGCGGATGGTGTTAGTGACCCCGTTGTTGTCAGGGAAC